AAAACATTGAGCCAAAATGATTTTTTTTTTTATTTTTATTTTTTAAATTTTTTTTTTTTTCAACATTTATTTATTTTTGGGACAGAGAGAGACAGAGCATGAACGGGGGAGGGGCAGAGAGAGAGGGAGACACAGAATCGGAAACAGGCTCCAGGCTCTGAGCCATCAGCCCAGAGCCCGACGCGGGGCTCGAACTCACGGACCGCGAGATCGTGACCTGGCTGAAGTCGGACGCTTAACCGACTGCGCCACCCAGGCGCCCCATAGCCAAAATGATTTTAAAAACATATCATACCACCTTAAAGGGAGACAATGCTTATAATATTCAAAGTTTCCCACAGAAAAGAAAAAGAATGCATTAGCAACAAAATCAGGTAAGGACATTACCAGGAACAGAAATTATTATTTCAATACATTCAAATGGTTTTGTTTTTGTTTTTTACATTTATTTATTTTTGAGAGACAGAGCACAAGTTGGGAGGGGAAGAGAGAATGAGACACAGAATCCGAAGCAAGCTCCAGGCTCTGAGCTGTCAGCACAGAGCCCAACGCGAGGCTTGAACTCACTAACCGTGAGATCATGACCTGAGCCAAAGTCAGACGCTTAACCGACTGAGCCACCCAGGCACCCCTCAAACAGTTTTTGGTAAATCTGAGAAACCATGATCAGAGAGGAGTGTTCTTAACCTGACAGACTCCACCGAAGGGATGAAATACCAGAAGCTTACTCCTTCACTTCATTCAATTCTCTGCTCAAGTGCCACCCAATCTTCTCTGATCACCCCGTATATAATAGCTGCGGCATCACCCGGCCTGTCTTAGCAGTCAGTATAAGGACTGATGACAACAGATGGCATTGGTCTGTTGAGTAAATAGAACATCTATGAAGACTGCAGCATGGGAGAGATCTAATGTGTCAAGGGTCCCAGAAGAGATCTCTAAACACTTCACTGAGGTGGGTGTATAATGCCAGCTGCAGATCTTAAACAAGTTTTTTTTTTTCTTTTGAATTTAGGGAGGTTCTTGAGGTCAAGGATCAGATGGGATTAGCCTTCACTCTGTCAAGTGGATTCTACATAATTTACATAACTTTTTCAGGAGTTTACTGAAGGCCTTACCCAGTGCTCAGTTACCTGTACAGTGCACAGATTAAAAACACACGAATTATGTATAAGGCAAAGTCCTCTTCAATTATGGTTAAGTATCACCCCTCTCAAATGCTTATAAACCCTTTTCACATTAATAATCTTTTCTGTAGCTTCACAGAACCCTTTTCAGAAAAGGAAAGACGACCATCTCTATAGATCAAAAAAAACAACAAAACTCGAACTCACAGAAGAGATGTAATTTATTTAAGGTCACAGTGAGAATTAGGTATTCCAAAGTCATGGAAACCACCTGGTTCCACAGGAACCAGACAAAGTCGGCCTTTTAGAGATACATCTAACGTGAAGCAGAGTGTGTGGCATGTAGTATGTACTGAGTATATTATCTGCTTAAAAAATCTCAAAGTAACTCAAAATCCCTTCTGAGTCTACGTGTGATTGTAGAAGAAAATAAAGGACCAACCAAGAAGTCTACTGGATAGAGTCGGTGGTTGAGCACCTCAGCTGGGGTCCAAGCAGACAAAAGAGACCCCTTTTCCCTGCTGTCACACATTATTTCCTTTTACCCCCTCGCACTAGCCTTCTCACAGAGTTAAGAGAGAACTGGGAAGCGGGGGAGTGGATTCTGAGTGCTCTCAGTACTGTGTTAGGAACCAAGGACCCAGCTCCAACACCCTCAGCCCAGCCCCAGCCCCAGTGTGTCCATATCCTGCCACCCACATTCATTAAATGTTTGAAGGAAGAAAAAAACACTTTTTTTTTTCTGTCCTAGCACTGCCAAAAGTATCCTATTAAAGCAAACAACCAACTAGTTCATCAGGAAAGAACTAAATCAGAGTGGTGTCCTATTCTTTTGAAACAATAAAGGCAGCATTGGAACTGATTAAACTTTGTGCAAATGATAAATTATTTGTTCCTACCTTGTAACAACAATTGATTTCCAGCTCTTGCTGTCAGCACCTTCAAGCTGTGGACCTCTACTTTCTGCCAACTGTAATCTCTTGCCAGTCTCTTCTAGTTGAACTGTCATCTTCTCATTTAATATCTCTAAATTATTCTTAGCTATCCGCAATTTCTCTGCAGCTTCAGTCTCCTATCATTAAAGGCTAATTAGTACATGATGACAAAACAATATTGTTCTCATAGATGCAATATATTCAAAATTACCACCACAAATTAGAAAACAATAGTAACCTGGAGCTCTACACGCTGATTAAAATTCTAATAAAAATCCAATGTTTCCTTTACTCTAAAACAGCAGTATGATCATAATAATTAGAACAACAGATGATGTAAACCAGGTTAGAAAAATACATTTTTGGGCACATAGGGTAGCTCAGTCACTTGAGCGTCCAACTCTTGATTTTGGCTCAGGTCATGAGCTCACGATTTGTTAAGATCGAGCCCCACTTTCAGTGCAAAGCCTGCTTGTGATTCTCTCTCTCCCTCTCTCTCTCTCTCTCTGCCCCTCCCGCACTCATGCACCCGTACTCTTTCTCACAATAAATAAATAAACATTAAAAAAATACATTTGCAAGTATTTTACTCTAGCGGTTGCTTTAAGTTTGTCATTTTTGGTGTGTCTGTGTGGCTCAGTCAGTTAAGCATCGACTTTGGCTCAGGTCATGATCTCGTGTTTTGTGAGTTGAGCCCCAAATCAGGCTCTGGGCTGATGGCTCAGAGCCTGGACCTGCTTCAGATTCTGTGTCTCCCTCGCTCTTGGCTCCTCCCCAACTCGTGCTTTCTCTCTCTCTCTCTCTCTCTCTCTCTCTCAAAAATAAAACAAAAAACATTAAAAAAAATAAAAACAATAAATTTGTCGTTTTGTTTGGTTACTTTACATTTGTCATAGTATTTATAGAATAATGGGATAATGTCTTAACACACTTAAAAGAGGTTTTGTTTTGACCAATATTTGAGAGACCTAGCTATTAGCACAAACTATGTGTAAGTACCATAAATTATTTCCACTAGTAAACATCCATGCAAAGCACACTACCACTACGGCCTCACAATATATTCAGATACTATTGTAACCAGTTTAAAAATCTCAATTTCAGGGGCGCCTGGGTGGCGCAGTCGGTTGGGCGTCCGACTTCAGCCAGGTCACGATCTCGCGGTCCGTGAGTTCGAGCCCCGCGTCAGGCTCTGGGCTGATGGCTCAGAGCCTGGAGCCTGTTTCCGATTCTGTGTCTCCCTCTCTCTCTGCCCCTCCCCCGTTCATGCTCTGTCTCTCTCTGTCCCAAAAATAAATAAACGTTGAAAAAAAAAAAAATTTAAAAAAAAAAAAAAAAAAAAAAAAAAAAAAAATCTCAATTTCAGTTTATTCACTGAATCATCCATATAAATAACAACACCTAGTTGTCTGGGGCAAGGAATATATTTTACGACTTAAATAGAAAGGGATCTTACTATTTAACATAACCGTTTCATATATTCCTTACTCTATACCAATCATTGTTCTAGGCCATGTGCACAAATATTAACTCACTTAAGTCCCACAGCAGCTCTGTGAAAGAGATATTTATGATTCCCAACTTCATAGACGAGGAAATTGAGCATTAGAGAGGGGCTGGTAGCTTGTCCTTGTTTCCACAGCCAGTTAGTAATAGAGCTAGGATTTGACTCCCAGACATGTGGCTTCTACATTATACTGCTTCTTAATTTTTGTATTTTCAATGTTCCTCATAGTGAAAGGATGGCAGCCAAAAAGATACAATTCCTAAGTCTCTGAATATCTACTTTGAATAGACATTCTCATCAAATTTTTCATTCACTTTTTCAAAGATATATTACTTAAGATAAAAAAGTAACTATAATCAGTAAAGAAAGTCATACTTTTTTAAGTTCTTTACGAAGTCTTTCATTTTCAGCAACAATTTTCTCTGTGCCTTTGGTCTTGGATTCATAGTGCATGCTCAACTGACGTCCAAGATGAACTTTAAGTTTTTCTAATTCAGCCTAGTAAAAGATAAATTATACATTATCGGAACAAGGAAATAAAAGACGATCCTATAAACTCGTAAAACTTAATCCATAACAGTTTTAGAGATTATTTTTGATAGAATTAAAGTTTTCCCTTTCATACTGGTCATCTAGAGCAGAGGTTCCCAACCTTGGCTACACATTAGAATGAGCTGATGACTTAAAATCACAACACCTATGGTAGGACCCACCCCAAAAGAATCTAATCAATGTCAGGCTTGGGGGCTTAGGCACCTGCATATTTGAAAATAGACACTAGTGAGTGAGAATGCCAGAGTGAGAATCATTGGTCTTGAAATAATAAAATGCCCGAGTGGAGCTACTCTAATTTCTCTTGGCCTTGTCTCCGACAAGTTTTTCTGTATATGTAAAACAGTTACTGCATCTCTTAAAACCGTTTTAAATAGCAGGAATATATTTAAAAATTTTCTTTAAAACACGGAAATTATGTTGGGGTGCCTGAGTGGCTCAGTCAGTTGGGCGTCTGACTTCGGCTCAGGTCATGATCTCGGGGTTTGTGAGTTCAAGCCCCGTGTCAGGCTCTGTGCTGACAGCTCAGAGCCTGGAGCCTGCTTTGGATTCTGTGTCTTCCTCCTTCTCAGCCCCTCCCCTGCTTTCTCCCCCCCCCCCCCCCAGAATGAATAAACATTTAAAAAATTTAAAAGAAAATGGAAATTATAATGGTGAAACATTCCATGCAAATTATCACATTGAGAAACTTAACAGAAGACCATGGTGGAAGGGAAGTAAAAAAACAGTTACAGAGAGGGAGGGAGGCAACCATAAGAGACTCTTAAATACAGAGAACAAATGGTTGATGGGAGGGGGAAGAGGGGGAGAGGGGAAAATGGGTGACGAGCACTGAGGAAGGCACTTGTGGGGATAAGCACTGGGTGTTGTGTAAGCGATGAATCATGGGAATCTACCACAAAACAAGAGCACACTGTATACACTGTATTTTAGCCAACTTGACAATATATTACCTTCAACTTTTCATTTTCCAGCTCAATATTAGCCATTTTTTCACTGGTCAGTACTCCTGATGCTTTTTTCAACTGTTCATTTTCCCTTTGGACTTTTTCAACTACTTTTTTCATTAAACCAATGGTTTTTTCTAGTTCTGGAATTGTCTTTCCACTTCTACCAGACTACAAAAGAATATATTAACTTTTTATTCAATCAAATATCTGAAAGAGTATGATATCAAACACCAACAACACAACACACTCATTATTACATTCATTTCTGATTCCTAACATTTGAAGCCAAAACTTGTATGGAATTTATCATTACAATAACCCTATGCAATAGGAATTATAATTCTTACTTTACATACAAGCAAATCAAGACTCAGAGAATTTGATATTCCTAGTCATGTAGCTAATGAGTAACAGCTTAAATACTCTAAATTTGATGTCTGTTCCAAATGAATAAAGCTAAGAACCTTAATACTCGATTTAGCTAATGTTCTTTCCAGTATACCAGAATTCTTTTTACATGGGGGGGAAAAAAAACCCCACAAAAGAAGAGTTGTGTCATTAAAGAGCTCATGAGTTACCAAATTTGAATTGCAGAATAGAGGTGATTTTCTAACAATGGCCACTGATTAAGAAATTCAGTTTCTGTCCAGTATAAATACAAGAGACATCTGCAATTAAAAAAACCTAGTGTAGAGTTATCAACAGAGATAGGTCACCAATTAGGAAGTTCAACTGCTTATGCTTTAAAATAAAATAAATAGTTGAGTAAAATAATCTTATTTTTTTTGCATTTTAGTCAGTATTCACACTATATAATGAATAACCTTATAATACATAATTTTAATACATACTATCATAATTAAAAATCAAATTAACCCATTTAAAAAAATTATTAATGTTTATTTACTTTTGGGAAGAGAGAAAGAGAGAGAGAGAGCATGAGCAGGGGAGGGGCAGATCGAGAGGGAGACACAGAATCTGAAGCAGGCTCCAGGCTCTGAGCTGTCAGCACAGAGCCCGACAGGGGGCTCAAACTCATAAATTGTGAGAACATGGCCTGAGTGGAAGTCGGATTCTTAACCAACTGAGCCACCCAGGTACCCCCAGGTTTTTATTTATGAAATGAATGTTCCTGTCAAGCTAGATATTTGTTCTGAATACTTTTTTCTAATAACAACTCCGTATTTTCACCAAATCTGTCACATATTTAATGTTATTACTTGAATAAGTTTTAAAATTGACTGCTTCTATCTGTGACCCTTGCTAACATGAAAACAACAGGGGTTTAAATCTTTGGCCTGGGCCTCAAAAACAGCATTTATTCATTGTAAAAAATGAATACAAAATAACATTAGAAGAAAAACAGAATAAAAAACCTAGGAAACATTTACAGAGCATTACACTAAGAAGTTGCCATGGAAATCATAAAAAAATAGTCACAAAATGTTAGAATTGGACCAAGGAGCAGTGAGTAGTTAGTTACCTTAATGAACAGAAGGAAGATTCCTAGAAGTTAAAGGTTTTCAAGGTGTGAAGGGAAATGCAATGAAAAAAGATGATGTGGTGTCCAGGTGAAATAAAATGCTTGTTATATGTGACACGTTACAGCTTGTTAATGTTAAAATACATTAATTTGAAACACAAACAAAAGCTTAATGATGTTTTACATTGTAGATCTGCAGAATAAAAACCAAGACTACAGGTAAGTAAAGGTATATCACTACTGTTTTGATGTATCCAAACTTTTTTTGTTTTTCATTTCCAGCTTATCACTGCTAAAATCAACACAAATATATGTCATATTCTCACACACTCACCCCTCTAACATGGCCAAGTTTCCGCTCAACTTCTGCTTTTTCTTTCTTAAGAAATTCACACATTTCCTTCAAATCTCTTACTTGATTCTGAAAGATTAAAACAAACACATAACAGTTTAACATAGCTATAGCCACTGAAAAGGAAAGGAAAACAATTCATTTGAACTATCAATTTCTTCAACTATATAGCCTAATTGAACAAGGTCTCTACAGCAATAAGGACTTTGAACTAAGACATATGTTGAAGTGCAGTGATACAAGAATATTTTATATGTAAATTTCAAGAAATATTTTCCACATTACTGCCTTTATATAAATGTAGTTTTTTTGTAAATGTTTATTTATTTTGAGAGAGAGTGTATGTGCATGTGCATGCAAGTGGAGGAGAGGCAGAGAGAGAGGGAGAGAAAGAATCCCAAGCAGGCTCCCCGTGGTCAGTGCAGAACCCACGCGGGGCTCAAACTCACAAACCGTGAGATCATGACCTGAGCCAAAATCAAGAGTAGGACACTTAACTGACTGAGCCACCCAGGCACCCTTCCAGTTTTAGAACTCTGATTTTAACCACCCCATAAATGACATATATAGATCCTTATCCAGATGGTAGAGAGCAACAGCTGATCTAATAGTATGGGTTCTAATAATGTAAAAATAAGTGTTCTAGAAGCAGGACATAACTTAATTATATCATTACCAGTGGAATTAACAGACTGCTAATATTCCAGGTTAGAAAACAGAACTGAAACAATTAGCCAGCAAAAAGAAAAAGAGATTCCCATAAATAGGATGAGATTTGGAAAACCAAAGATAAACTTCTTATAAACATCAAAATTCCTAAAAGAGATAATTATCCTAATTTTTTAAGCTTAAAGACTTAATTTTTTTAAAGAAATACCCTAATTAAGAGTGATAATTGTTTTTGAAATATACCAACCATCCACTTGGCCTCAGGACTTTGAACTTGCTATTTCTGTTGTCTGGAACTCTCTTTCCAGTATTTGTATGACCCACTTCCTAACCTCCCGCCCTAGCTCTCTGATACAATATTTTATTAAGAAAGCCTTCTTAATTACCCTATTTTAAATAGCAATTCCATATAGTCCCAACCAACCCTCCCCCCACCACACACACCTTTCACACCAACCATGCTTTTCTCCTTACCACTTAACATGAACTTAACATCAGCTGACACACTGCATATTACTTATTATCAGCCTTTCCCACTAGAATATAAATTCTATGTGTGCAAGAAATATTTTGATTGCTGTTTCCCAGCACCTAGAAGAGTACTTGACAACAAAGTAGGCTTTCAATAATTGTTACATGAACAAATGTAGAAAATATACCACTACCATAATATTTTATGAATATGAGTTATTGGCATCTTCATAAACTAATACAAAGAGGGAGAAAAGGTTTTCAGGTATTAGATTTCTTAACTAAAGAACATTAAATTTACCTTTAATCTTGGCAAATCTTTATTTGCTTGTTCAAGCTGAAATTTTAGTTCAATATTTTCAGATGACAGCTTTAAGTTTTCCCTCTGAAGCTCTTGTTCTCTTTGACAGTGTTCATCTGACTCTATTCCTGAAGTCTTCAGGAAAATAAAGTTAGGAATATTTTTAAATGTTAGTAATAAAAGTTATATAGGACATATTGGATAAGAAAACCTAAAACGGTACACTTTCCCTCAAAAAATATGAAAAATTAGAGAACTCTAAAAAAAAAAATGACCCTAAAGAAGTCAGAATATAAAAGTTGCAGGAGAAAAGGTAATAAGTTTAATATAGACAGCACAGTGAAGTATGTCTTAAAAACATCCACACATATAATGTCTACATGTATGCTCTTCTAAAACTAATTTGTGCTAATTTTTCCTGTCCAAAAGTAAAATATGACTATTATTTGTTATGGTTTATATTATGCCCTAAATCCTACCCCACCCCAAAATTCATACGTTGAAGTCCTAATCCCAGTACCTCAGAATGTGACCTTGTTTGGATATAGGGCTTTTCCAGAGGTACTCAAGTTAGGGTCATTAGGGTTGGCCCTAACCTGGTAGGAGTAGTGTTCTTATGAAAAAGGGAAATTTTGATACAGAGATATGCATAGAAAGAAGATAATGTAAAGAGGGCACAACTGGCCATCTACAAGCCAAGGAGAATGGCCTGGAACAGATTCTTCCCTCACAGGTTAAAAGAGTCATCAACCCTGCCAATACCTTGATTTTGGACTCATAGCTTCCAGAACTGTGAGAATAAATTTGTCAGGTCACCAAATCTGTGGTGCTTTGTTACAATAGCCCTAGCAAACTAACACACGAGCCTCCAAAAAAAAGTGCCTTAATTCTTTCCTCTTTTGGAAAGCTCTTCTTCGTTCCTTAAGTGCAAGTAATAACTTCCTCCTCTGAAATCCAGTAACACTACATTGCATTTCTCTTGGCACGAATCTACCTTGGGCTATTATTTATGTTCATTCTTACTTCTCATTCTAAACTACAGGTCATTTGAAAGAGAAATATGTGCTTGATTTCTTTTTTTCTATAAAGGGGGTAGAAAACCACCCACCTCCTATGATTGTTATGAGCATCATATGAAACATTTTGTGCAAGTACTTTAGTTTTTCCTCCCTCATCCCATTCTCTCTCTGTGGTTTGATGGGCTATCAAGCCAATAACTCTAAAGACATTATAGTTTAAAAAATGCAATGTTATACAAATATATCCATGGCTCTATAATAGCTTTTAAATTAGCAGTAGGTTAAATACTTCATATTCTGATATATTTACCCTTGGGTAATAAAAGCAAAAGAAATTAAAGACATTAAAACATAGAATATAGAAAAGTAAAGAAATTCTAGGCTATTTGATTCTGACCTGAGGGTGCAGAACCCTGGCAGAAACACTGCCTGTGTCCAACCTGACTTGTCTTTGTTCAAAGGAATGTGTGTGCATCTCTTTGTGTGCAAAAGACAGACATATTTGTTAATGTCTGTACCATAGGAATATGTCCGTGCTTATGCTCATTCTCTGTCAAATAACCCAAGTATCCATTCTGATTCTGCTACTATTAGGCTAACAGTAGGCAAAGCATGCCACCTGCAAGGTCCTCAGTTTCTGCATCTTACAAATGAAGGCACAAGATGGGGTAATTTTTAAGGCCTCTTCAGACATGGAAATCTGTAATGAATGCCCTGTCCCTGAGCTCTTCTGTCACCCTCACTTCATCTCTTCTGTCTGTGGTAGCGATTTAACAAGTGATAAACACTTATGGGTACCACTGATTGACAGACATAATATTTGCTAATTATCAACCACAGAAGAGAGTAATTCTATCTGATGATCTCACATGAGGATTTTTTTTTAACACATTCTCCTAAAACATGGATGCAATTATGTAAGTACATACAGATCGTTTTTTCCCCACAATTCTCAAAAAACAAAAAGTACTAGTTGAAATCGTCCAATTTCTGGAAAACAAATTCTAATGAAACTCTGTATTGTGTAAAAGTAATATAAGTAAAATTCTTGCATAATGAATTTTATGAGATTTCCAATTCTTTTATGGAAGAGGAATCCTGTTGAAAGGAATACAGTGCTAGAAACCAAATTCTTAGTGGATGGGAGTTAAGAAACACACAGTGGGAGCCTCAATTTTACAGTTACTTATTATCAAGGGAAAAAAGAGAAGCATTATGAACTTGGATAAAGATATGAAATAAGAATTAAGTCACTTTCATCCATGTTTTCTTAACCTTTATTTTTATTTTTTTAAATGTTTATTTATTTTGAGAGAGTGGGGGAGGGGCAGAGAGAGAGGGAGAGAGAGAATCCCAAACAGGCTCCACACTGTTAGTGTGGAGCCTGATGCAGGGCTTGATCCCATGAAACATGAGATCATGACCTAAGCAGAAATCAAGAGTTGGATGCTTAACCAACTGAGCCACCCAGGCACCCCCCTCCCCGCCCCCTTTTCTCTTAAGATTTAAATTTTTTTTTTTTCAACGTTTTTTTTATTTATTTTTGGGACAGAGAGAGACAGAGCATGAACGGGGGAGGGGCAGAGAGAGAGGGAGACACAGAATCGGAAACAGGCTCCAGGCTCTGAGCCATCAGCCCAGAGCCCGACGCGGGGCTCGAACTCACGGACCGTGAGATCGTGACCTGGCTGAAGCCGGACGCTTAACCGACTGCGCCACCCAGGCGCCCCTCTCTTAAGATTTAAATGTTTGTTTTTATTGATGTGTTTAGGACTTAGGTGACTGGCATATCTAGGTGGAAAGGATAAGGGGGAAAAAAAAAGATATATTCTATTTGATTTCAAGTGGAGACAAACATGTCTTAGTCTGTACTGCATTGTAAACTGACCAAAAGTAGTGTGTACATGGAGAGATCATCAACTGTGAAGTTAGACCTGTGTTTAGATCCTGGTTCTGCATCACTAGAGATGATACTCATGCTCCAAGCTTCCCATGTAAAACAGAAACAATACTCTGCAAATATGTGAAAATTATACCTCAGCATCGAGCCTAATACAACATAGACAGCAACACATGCAAACTCTCTTTATTCATTATAAAAAAGTATGTTATAAAATATGTGGCAAAAAGATGACCAAATAATGTCACACAGTATCCTAACACATTTTTACTGATATTATTCACTGTAATAAAAGTTTGTGATGAGATTTCAGAGCACCTTGAGTTAGAAATTTCTAAGGCAAAATGCACACCTCTAAAGAGCCTGGTTTTTGTTATCCTGTTACCTAACACTTTTTAAGTGAGTACCGGTGGTAAAATAGTGAGTACTAAAATCAATAAGAAATGCATAACCATTAATTTTTATAGGAACTCATCAATTAGAGCTTAATACACACTTCATGAATAGTTAATATTTTTTTACAAATCCCACGCAATTGATTTCCATTTGCACCACATACTGTATACCACTTGCTATAAGAAACAAACACAGGACTGCCATTGACTCAAACCTGGGACACTTCATTTCTTGGCTGGACTGGTACATCGGTTTCAGAATTTGCCTGTGCTTCCTCCTCGGCACTCTCAGTCAGTGCAGCAGCAACTGTGGCACAATCACGGTCTTCTCCAGCAGATCCTTCTGGATCCATGTGGTGGTCGTGACTCACATCTTCAGCTGTGTGTCCCTTTCCTTTCACATTCTTGCCTAGCTCATTCTCTTCCTTGTTTTCATGTTCCTGTTTATTATTTTCATGATAGTCTTGATTAGTTTTCTCAATTTCAGGATCTGGTTCATTTTCAAAATTGGACTTAACATCTGCCATGGTACCATTAGTTGACCTAAGCGGACTTGATTTATTTTTTGGTCTTGCCTCAGATTTATTTAACTCCGCAGAATCTACAATATCTTCTGTTGTGTGTCTTTCTTCATTACTGTAATGCCGTAGAATACTTTTAGGTACCTGATGATGTAAGTTGTTACTGGCATCTATTCCCTTCCCATTTTTAATTCTGAACACCATTATGGGTTTTTTTTTGTTCTTGTGGAAAGTGCTCTTTTTGTGATAAATATTATGCCTATATTTATTAACACTGGTAGCAAGGGTAGAAAGCGTAGTTGTGTCACATAACAGATTCTGCTTGAAGCAGAAGAAAGAGAAGAAACATGAAAAGAAGAAAAAAATAACAAAAATGTATACACTATTGCTTTAAGGTAATATACAACAAACAATTCTACATTAATGTTTTTTTATTAAGGAAAACTAGAAATATATTACACGTTTGAATGGAAACAATGCTGTATTTTTCTAATTTACTTAATTGTATGTTCTTGCCACAGCAAAACTCAAAATAATAACTTCTTTAAAATCTCTGGAATACAGTTTTATGCAAAGTCTAAGAATCTTAGGTCTACTTATGTAAGAAGGATTAAAGAAGTTAATATACATCAGTACCTGGCAAAAATAAAAGTTGGATTTAGTACATTAATATTAATAAGAAGAAGCTTAAGGTTTTGGGCCAAAAAGGTAAAAGTTTATATCACTTTTATTAAAAACAGAAAAATAAAAAGATGTACACTTACTGAAGGTCTAGAATATGCATCCTTTGAAAACTGTTTTTCTAAAACATGTAGTTTTTCTTGGAGGTATCTATTTTGTAAATGTAAATCTTCTATGACAGAATCTCGAGGAAGAGCTTGACGGGTCCTATGATAAAAAACAAGAGACTCTTTACTATTCAAACGCCAACTTTCCACAGCTTTATTGTATTAAAATACAGAAAAGAAAATATATAATGTATTTGTTAACATTGTATTTATTTTAATTTCTATAAAACTTGCAAATTTTATAAAAATTAGGACATGATTATTTAATTATAAATAGTCTAATTATATATATATTACATATATATTATATATGTATAGTCTAATTATATATATATTACAGAGGATTCACTGTAGGGCTCTTTTGAATTATGAGTTAACAAGTGTATTTAGATTTATAGAAATACATTAACATCTTTAAAGAACATGCATCTATTTATATGGAATTGTGTAAGATGAATCAAAATACTATTTTTAAAACACTATATGATAATTTCATGACATACTTCTCAAAAAGCTCAACAATATAAAAAAGGCTCTTAGTGGTGCCAGATAACAATCTGTTAGTCCAAGTCTCACATGTGTCGCCTAAGGCCCTTCATAATCTGGCCCCACTATACCTATTCAACCTAATTGTCCAGGAGTCCACCTTTAGTAAGGCAAAAAAATCTGCCCTTACCCAACATGAAAGTTTCACCCCTGCCACCATGTCTCTGCTAGGGTTCTGCTTTCTTGGAATGTCCTTCCTCCCTTTAATATCTAGATTTGATTCATAAAATTTAGAAATTCACAGCTGAACTGAGACAGAAGGCCAGTTCAATCTCTTCTATCAAATCTTCTCCAATTATTTAAGCCCATACAGGTTCACATTATTAGAAAAAACAAATTAAACCTCTAAAAGTATTAGGTTTCAAAATGAAAATATTTGATCCTGTGAAAACTGCAAAGGAGAAAAAAAGGGTTTAACATTGTTTTGAACACATGTTTAGATCAAGAAAAACAAAGAAGAGAAGGAGCCGCTACTGGGATCAGACAGTAACTACAAAATAGATGTTGCAAGAAAGAATTCTTAATCACTTTTTTCTTCTCCATCAAGGAAAATTCTGAAGGATTTAAGAAACAATGACTTAGAAAAAAAGGGAATCGAATGTAGGCTAGAAACTCATGGGTACTTCTTTAAAGAAGTTCATATTACATTAATACAGACATGATCACAGGCATTAATAAAGAAACACTAATGGTAATTTTTGAAGATCAATGGAGAGGAAAAACATATGATAAATTTAAGAACATGGAAACCAATGTGACAAATTTCATATTAAAAAAAATTAAGAACAGTAAGTGTCCCCATGTCCAAATATAACAGGCAGGTACCACACTTAGAAAATAATCATTAATATGATTCTGGGATGCTTGTAAGTACTTAGAAGGAGAAGTAACAAATTTTGTAAAACTAATCTAAGTTCATCTAAGAAGAAATGAATAAAGCAGAAAATTACAGTTTTGGGTGTTAAGATATGATTTTATCAGAAGACATAAGCTTGGAAAGAGATGATGAAACCAATTTCAAAAGCTTTGCTAAAGAAATGACACTGGGGGCAGGGAGGGGGTCTGGTTCTAGGTAGAGTGGAGTAAACACACCCAATCTTGTCTCTCCTAAATGCATGGAACAGCTATTTGAGAACTCTGAAAAGTAAATATTTTACAGAGTGGGACACTATACCAGAATCTGAAGGCGCAGCAAACGGCAGCAATTTACCTTTCCATTGCTTCTAGTGTGTCTTGGGCTGAACACAACACTGCTTGAAACCTGAAGGTGAGTGTTAGCACTGAGGGAGAAAGCTCCAGGGAAGCCTTAGAGTTCTAGCTCCAGCAAGGAGAGAGGGCACTTACGATACTCTCCGAGAAAAAATCCCACCCCCCCCAATATTTTTTTGTTCTCTCCGTTCTCTCGTACTCCAACCCTCAAGCAATCCCATGCTACTGGTGGCATAGGCTGCATGGGAACCCACAGGAGTCAAAATATTTAGGAAATTGGTAGAGTTGTGATTACTAAAGGGGTAGACGGGAAGTAGCCCCCTCCCTCCCCATTCCCCTTTCTGCCCTCCTATTGCTTGGCTCCAGACATACACAAAATTGCTAAAGTAAACAGTAGAACAGGGTAACCAGAGCCCCAGATTTCATCTGAAATACAAAAAGGGGGAGCCCGGGGGAAACAGAAAGTGTCAGGGACATGGCAGAAAGGGAGGAACTCAAGGAAGGGATCCTATATGAACTTCTGGCCTCAACGTTGAGCTGTGTGTGCATGAATCTGATCTTACAGTAGCAAAGACTCACAGAACTAACTAATGGATGGAAGGCAGCCCGTATACCAGACTTCCAACAGGGAGGTGCACAGGCAGGACGGAACCAAAGAGACTATAAAGGCTTTGAAAACAAAACTGATATTAGAACCACAGCCCATAGAAAGCAGGTGGGAACTCGGGGCCTGAACCTATCCAAGACTGCCTGCCTGTGAAAACAAAAATACTACATTTTCCATAGAATTTAACCAAGATCCAAAGTTTCACAACATGATATTCAGAAGTTCAAGAATACAATCCAAATTATGTGGCATACAAAGAACCTATCTTAATTCCCACGGGAAAAGAGAACAAAACCCAAGCCTAAATAAAATAATACACATTCATTACATCAGTTTTTATGGGTCAGCCAGTATTTCTTCATTGTAATAGGTCCCACATTTCACATAACAGCTTACCTCATATATGATATGTCATTTTCTAAGTCAAGATTTCTCTTTTTCAATTCTTCCAACTCTTTTTCTGACTCCAAAGCTCGCACTCCCATAACCTGATCAACAGTAATGCCAGTTGTTTTTAGTTTCCTCTGCAAAGTAAGTTTCTCTTTGTCAGCCCTGTGGGATTCAATATAGCACCATGAAAATATAAAATTCACTGTTTTACTTGTTCAATTTATTAAACTGAAGCTTACTACTAATTAAACAACATCATAAAAAAAACCCAAAAACTAGATCTTGCTGTATTTGCTATGAGCTAACATTTCAAAATTGTAGGAAACTCCGTTTACAAATTGTTAAAATAATTTTAAACACATTTTAAAGAAAATAAAATGAATCACAGATAATAAATCATAATTAAAACTATGAAATTTCTCAAATATAACATCAAATATGTACTATCAAATACAATAAAACTATGTAACTTCCAGATCAATTAAAGACTTCACAAATAATTAACTAGGGTTAAATTTAAACTCACTTGGCAAAAAGATCCTTCAAAGTATTCAACTGCTTTGTTAGAATATACACTTCCCCCTCTTTCTCTTTTAACTTGTTTCTAATTCCTTCTATTTTGGTTTGCCATTTTTTACCTTCTTCCCACCTAATTAATTCTTCTTTGGCACTCTGTAAACAATAACGAGGGAGAAAATTACCAATATTTTAATTTCAAGATTTATTAATTACAATTTACTGGAACAATGGTAAACCAATACTTCCTAGGGAATATGTGAATACATTCATTTTGCTATATAATGTCTAGAATCTTTAGACATGCCAAGCTACTAACAAAAATGCCCTTCAGTTTAAAGGTTCTGTATTCTATTATTGACGGGTAAAATTCTAGGGAACAGTTTGGACTAATGTCAACAGACTTAAAAGTCTTTAAGTAAAGATTCTAATAAAGATGATCATGACCAACGTAAGCTTCTAACAAAAATATGTATGTACAAATGACCAACCCAATTTTGACCAAAATAGCAACTCCTAGTATCACAGCCTCTTCAAATCTTATCCAACAGATGGTTATATACTGCTAATCATCTGCCATACCACTCTCGGCATTAAGTGTAGAAGCACTCTCTGATCAGAGAAAAATCAGAGAAAAAGCATTATAGTCTAATTTATGTTGGTTGGGTAGATAAGGGAAGGGGAGCAAAATACAGAAAAAAAGCAAGAAAAAAAATATTTTGTAGTATGTTAGCTGCTGGTAAGTGCTGAGCACGGAAGAGAAATAGTTAATGGCATTAGTAATGCCACTGAATACATTTCCATCAGTTTGCACTTGTAGCTCTGAATACACCTTAATGCTATAAATCTATTTCATTATGTTTTCTAGTGTAGTATGCCAGAGCATCTTCATGTTGAAACATGACAGATGTAGAAACATATTACTTTTGTGAATTATTTTGTTTCTCCTTTATATTTCAATTAGGGCATTTATAATAATATTTAAAAAAAATTTTTTTGTGTGTTTATTCATTTTTGAAAGAGAGAGAGAGAGCACAAGCAGGGGTGGGGCAGAGAGAGAGAGGGGTACACAGACTCTGAAGCAGTTCCAAGCTCCGAGCTGTCAGCACAGAGCCCGACACAGGGTTCGAACTCACGAACCGTGAGATCATGACCTGAGCCGAAGTCAGACGCTTACCCGACTGAGCCACCCAGGCGCCCCTATAATGATATTTTTGAAATTACACATGTAGGTAATTTCTATTAACCATAAATTTCATGTGGATATTATAAAACACTGTTTATTACAAAAGGCAATGTCAGGGCTGAAAGAGTTAAAAGCCATAGTTTAAAGTCAAATGCCCATCTAAGATACGTTGTCCTATCAACACTATCTTCTTTGATACTGGCCAATTTTTTACCTTATTTATTTAATTCAGTTAGCAACTATCCTTTTAAAAAAACATAAAAACTTCGGTAAATGTTTAATAATTATTAACTTTTTTTCTGAAATATATACAAGAAATTTTGTGTACTTCCAGGAATGTAAATATTAGCTTGGGCATAATGGTATAGAAGTAAATAACTCTGCAGCATGGAATTGAGCATTTACCCTCTGATACCAACCTCTGAAGTAAGAGTGAGGGAAACAAGGCTGGAATTATTTAAAAATGAACCACAAGAAAAAAATAACAAAGGCAAACATCACCATAGATCTGTTCTTGACTGGGGGAGAAGAGAAGATGCAGGGAGAAGTTCTTTTTTCATGGTTTGTGTACCAAGAGCCACTTAGGATGGATTTCAGAATAATGTGACTGCATTTAAAATTTTTCATTCATTTAACAAATACTGAGCATCTAATACATGCTAGGGACTAGGGACTGTTGTAGGTGGTGGGGATACAACAATAAACAGGTAGAATTCCTTCCATTAAAGCTTATAGTCCAAAAGATAAACACATAGATAGGTAAATCTCTAGTATGTCAGATAATAATAAATGCTATGGAGAAAAGTATAACAGCATAAAAAACACAGGAATGTAAGGCATGGGGGTGCGTTGACAGAGAAAAATGTACAGAAATTTCAGCATGAAATCATTGAATATAAAAACATCCATAAATTAGAAACGCCCAACACTGTCGAATTTGAAATAATACTCTTGCTAGATTCCTGGATAGAAAATTTAATATTAGTGTTGCTCTATGTGTTGTCCTCTTTTTCTAATTAGTAATAATATAAAATCATACAGTGGTATGGACTTGATGGCTTACAAAAGACTTGCACATATTGTCTCATTTGACTGCCAAAATAATCTTGGGAAATTGGCAATGCAAATAGTATCATTTCTATTTTAAGGAGAAATAAACTGAAACAGAGATTAGGAGTCCAGCCAAAGTCACAAGGCTTTCTGACAGGAATCAGGTTAGGAACTGGTATCTGAGGATTAGACCTTCGTCCAAGTGGGGAGGCAGCAAAGAAAGCAAACTGTAAGAATAAGAACATTTTTATCTTGCAGTTTTTACCAGAAAAGCTTCAGACAGCAAGTATTGTGGTTCAATGTATATAAATGAAAATATTTTAATAAAAATTATACTAACACTGGTGAATTTTCATAGGACAAAAATTTTTTGGAATATACTCTATTAAGACATTTTAATCCCATTACTATTTTCTATTCAGTGGCATTAAAATTCCTTAATTTTCTTTTTTATGTCCATGTTATTGAAATTATTTTATAGATATTGAATATTTTCTGCACAAATTTTACAATAAAAATTTTTCCTAACCTTAGCTTCTCTGTTGTGATTTTCTGCAGGGGCAAACATTACTACTAACACCAATATTTCTCAGGTCTCTATTGATATTTTCAGTGCTACTGATATAAGTCTTCATTTTATTATTTGTAACAAATTTAATTATATGCACTTTAGCCAATTGAAGGGATTTGGAGGTTTGATAATTTCTATCAGTAATATTTATTACAAAATAGTTGACTAGTTAACCTGTTAGAAAATTTTAAGCAACTTTTCTCACATTACAGAATCAATTTATGAGTGGTTTCGTTATTGATTACTACCAATACTGAATTCCAAATCACTTTGTTTACCCTGAACTAACAGTCCATTCTACTGGATGATAAAAAGGACACATTTGGGTCAAGGTAGTAGACTAAAAATGCCCAACTTTCTTTCCCAAAGGTCAAAAGCACCTACCTGCATAAACAACTATATTGGGGAAAAGCTGGATATGTAAGGTGTGAGGGGATTTTAGAGGTACTTTGTCAGGAAGAGGACATGATGATGTTGTAGTCACTTCTGAGCAGGAATTACATTATAGGGGCACCAGCATGGCTCAGTTGGTTAGTGTCTGAATCTTGATTTTGGTTCAGGTCATGATCTAGGGTCACTAAATTTCTAAAGGACAGAAACTCATCTTAGACTTCTCTATATTATTTATATTACGTGTTAGGTCCTCAAATTAATACAGTATTTTTTTGAGAGAAAGCGTGCGCACGCACAAGCTGGGGAGAGGGGCAGGCAGAGGGAGGGAGAGACAGAATCTGAAGCAGGCTCCATGCGCATGGAGCCGAATTCCGGCTCAATCCCACGACCCTGGGATCATGACCTGAGCCAAAATCAAGAGTTAGACTCTCAACCAAATGAGCAGCCCAGGAGCCTCTAGCGTATATTACCTATTCATCAATTACATAATTTAAGTGAGGCTATCATTACGTTAAACATATTAATCAGTATGTTTCTTCACATACCTTTTCTTTCATAGGCTTTATTTCTGCCTCATCCACCTTTCTTTCCAGTTGGCTTTCTAGCTTTTTAATTTTCTTTTGGAGTTCTTCAATTAAACTTTGTTTATTATCTAACAGAGATTTTCCCTAAAATATAAGATGTATTTTTACATTTTAGAAGTAAAAAAGTATCAAACAAAATACACAATAAATAGTCCAATTATAGAAACTTTTGAGGCTATAGCTAACCACATTTTCTAAATGCACTACTGATGCACTATGGATGCTTCTGCATTTTAAAGATAGGCTACTCTAAAACAACAAATACAACAGAGGTCACTGGAGGAATTAGCCACATTAATCAAAGTGATCTGAAAGTTGTTTCAGCAAATAGGTGAAATTAAAAAGTGGGAATAAACTACTACCTACATATTTTAAATAAAAGACATTATCACAATTAAACATAAAATTACCTGTAATCCACTGGTCAGTCTTTTAATTTGCCTTTTCAGTTCATCATTCTCTTGATCAATTCCATCTTTCTCTCTAAGCATTTTATTATAAGCTTTTTGTTTTTTTTGCAGTTCATTGGTTAAGTCATTCAAATTATCAGTTAATGAGTTTTCTCTGTTTTTACTTGTTTTAAGAGCTTCTTTCAATTTTAAAAGATTTTCACTTAAGTCTTCAATTTGTGACTAAAACAAAGAGAGGTTTAATTCATGAATCTTCATCAAGTATCAACAATAAAATATAATACATCTATTACTTATTAAAAAGAAAGTGGATCTAAATTTTTATTGAAACAAATTATTCTTAATAACACTTATTAAAAAAGGTTTAGTTAATGCTTATAAAATTAAAACTTACTAAAAGTAAAGTTTCAATCTGAATTTTTAAGGTCGCAGGGAAAAAAACCCCACTAACTACATATATTTTTCTATCTTCATTTCAAATGAACCAAGTCTCTTTTGAGAAAAACAAAACATGAAAAAACAGTCTAAGGCAATTCAGCTTCAGCAAACACCCAGAAACAAAATTTTATCAAATAAGCAAAGGTTTTATTACAGTGGAACTGATTTAAAGGAAAAAGGACATATGAATGTACATGGCATTTAAAATGCCAGTATAAAACAAAATCTCTAACTTGTAGTACTAACCCACTTTGTAAAGACAGGACATAAAAGGGTAACTTGCAGTTCTTGACAGTATGTTGAAGCCACCCGCTACCTAGGAGTCCCCAGCTGTCCCATACAGTAACAGCGATAAAAATACTGGTACTTAGTAGCTTTTGTTGGATAAACTACTACAGGTCAAAATTATTACCAATAACACTAACAAGAAATTTAGCACTATTATAATACAGTTAGAAGAAACATACACTGTCCAGGAGAAGTCAGAAAAGGCTTCAAGAAAAAGGACTTTAAGACTGTTAAGGATTCAGAGAAGATGACATTTCAGGCAAAGAGGTATTGAGGAAGAAATCAACAAAGAGGTATTCCTGTTTATATATTTATTTACTTAATGGGTTTTTACTGTCAACTATACTGATAATCTTGATAGGTACAATGAGAGATTCAAAAAAGCTACAGAAGGACGCCTGGCTGGCTCAGTCAGAAGAGCATGTGACTCTTGATGGTGATCTTGGTCCTGAGGTTTTTTAAAAATTTTTTACTGTTTACTTATTTTTGAGAGAGAGCGAATGCAAGCAGGGGAGGGCAGAGAGGGAGGGAGACACAGAATCTGAAGTAGGCTCCAGGCTCTGAGATGTTGCACCAAGCCTGACCTGGGGCCTGAACTCATGAACTGTGAGATCGTGACCTGAGCCAAAGTCAGACACTTAACTGACTGAGCCACCCAGGTGCCCCTCAGTGTTGTGAGTTTGAGCCCCATGATAGGTAGAGAGATTACTAAAGAAATAAACTTAAAAACAAAACAAAACAAAACAAAAACACCTAAGTAAAATCCAGTCCCTACACAATTTAATGGTGGTGAAGAGCACATACAGGTCGAGAGTAAATCAAAATTACAAACAAAATAAAACACAATTTTTATATTTTTCACTTTATGCAGAATATACTCTATGAAACTTTATGTAAAGAAATTTAAAAACCATTATGAAATACATGTGTTTTGTAAAAAATAATCTTAAATCACCAAATCTAATGCTCTATCGTGTTTGAAAACAATAAAATACATAGCCAAAAAAATACATATTTAACTTCAAAAAAGCCTTCAGAGTTACACAGCTCTATGGGTTAAATGTCAAGGACTATATAATCTCCATAAACTATTTCAGGGAGAAAAAAAGGAAAGCTAATTAACTCATATTATGAACTAGTAAAAATTAAGAAAAATTTGATGAAGCAAAAGAAATAAAACAAGGAAATCTACATACATATCTCATCAACACAGAAACAAAAATTCTAAGTAAAATCTTCATTAATTCTATTAGGAAGAAGTAGCTAATAATGGTCTATTTTTGCTAATTTCCAAGATGACCATCAGTGTGAGAACAATGAAGATTCTTATTACTCAAAAATGTGTGTTTATCTATCTATCAGTAATTCATTAGAATAAATTCTCTATTATCAAAATTGCTATATATCAAAGTGGATCCTCTTCTAATAGTAATTATAAGGAATTTTGTTATATTAATGAATGTGTTGACATTCACCTTTAGCTCTTTAGTATGTCGATCAACCATTTGTTGAACATTGAGGTTTGCCTCTTTCTGAGAAGTTGCAGAAATAATACGTTCTTCAGCTGCTGCTGTCATTTCTGTCCGGAGTTCCAAAAGTGCTCGACTAAGTGCCTGAATATTATAACATATACACTTTTTTAGAATTAATATTTTATATAAACAACGCATAATACAAAAAAATTAACATGCATCACTTTTAACTATTTTCATAAAATGCCATGTCTTTATGCAAACATAATTCACAAAGAGTCCAACTTTTTCAAATGAAATTTCTATAATAATTGCACTCAATTCTTTTCAAACTGCGTGTGAGTTCAAAATCTTGACACTAATTTTGAGAACCAATATTAAATCAAGCCATTTGTGCTATAAAAGCCGTATGTTTTGTTTTCAATATCCAAGTTTGGTTGTTTATTTATTTATTTTTTAGTGTTTGTTTATTTTTGAGAGCGAGAGAGACAGAGCAGGAGTTGGGGAAAGGCAGAAAAAGAGGGAGACACAGATTCTGAAGCAAGCTCCAGGCTCTGAGCTATTAGCACAAAGCCCAACATGGAGCTTGAACCCACGAACCATGAGATCATGACCTGAGCTGAAGTTGGATGTTTAACTGACTGAGCCACCCAGGTGCCCCCCTTCAATATCCAAGTTTAGATATTTATCTGAATTACTTAGTACAAGTGAAATTAACGGAATTTATATAGACAAGTAAAATGACAGGATTAGAAGAGACTTGAAATTTGCCAATAAATTTCACAAGCTAGCACAGAAATACAGTGGCACCTTCTAAAACAATTGAGTATCTCAAACCTGAGATAAATTTTAAAAATACCTCAGACAATCCGCTGACCAACTGCTTCTCAAAAATCTATTTCTGTGACTTCCTTCTTTAAACTTTCCTCCTCACTGTCATTATCTCCCTCATACTCCCCAAAATTGTTCAATCACTCAAAATATTATTCAAAATAGCCTCAGTAGCATAAAATCCCAGTTAGAAAAGGAGAGAAAATAATGGGATTAAGATTTCCCCTTATTTCCTACAGATAACCCACAAATCAAACTGATGACAACATAAAAAGAAACTGGGCTATATCTGTACTTTAAAACCCCACCAAAAGGCGAATATCCTACTTAATAGCATAAGACAAAGCTCATATTTTTTAGTACAACAGATTTATATATATAATCTTTTACAAGTCTTCTCTAAAAGCAATCTATTACCACATATATTTCCTAAATATTGACAATACTCTGTTGTTACTTACTTTTTGTTGTTTCTCTTTCAAGGCTAACTGGCTCTTTAGCCGTTCTACTAGATTTCTCATTGTAGTTGTTGGAGCTCTTGAATTTGCTTCTTTTTGAGCCTGCAGTTCAGATTTTAAACTCTGTGACTCCTTTTGTGACTGGGCCAGAAGACACCTTAAATCCTCTACTTCTGCTTTCACTTTTTTCACTTCATATGCATGGTTTTCTTGGAGCCTAATATAAGCAAACATATGTATTTAATGGAGAGGTTGCTGCAATTAACACTTTGATTGATAGGAATTTTGTAAAGAGCAAATATTGGGTCCTAAGTATCCCTACAACCTAAGTCTTAATTCAAATCAAAACAAGAACAATTTTTTGTTCCACTTAACCCTTAAACTTAACATAAAATAGACTTTTCCTTGTAGTTATTTACTATTTTTGGCAACAACTGCATCAAGTAATTTTGTACCTCTAGACAATATAAGGAACAAAATAGCACTTTAAATACTATGTCTCCTGCAAGATGTAACAAAAACTGAAGTTACTACAAATAATCATCAAATTATGAAAATATGAGGTCTTACTAAAGTAAACACACAGATCTATAATTTCTTAAGACACATTAAAATACACATATCCATGTGCACACAGAATAAAAGTACAGTTTTAGTCTAAAATGACAATGGTAAGGTACAAAACAACCACTCAAGGATTTCATGTGGCAAAAATTTATATATATACAAGGTATTTCAAAAGATGATTATTTTCTACACTCAGGAATTAGATTCAAAAGCACAATCAATTTTATACTCCAAAACATGACAGAAACTTACCAAAAATAACATCTCATGTAGAAAATTTAATACAATGGGGGAAATGAGATTGAAAAGATACCAAATACTATTGCTGGTTCTCTTTTTCTTTCAGAGAATAATTTCTTAAAAGTGGTAGCTTCTTAATAAAGCAAAAGTAGTGTTAATATTGTCAGAGACATCTTGGATAAGTAGGTTAAGAATATAAAATTGTAAGACTTTCAGAGCTGGAATGGAATTATAAAGTCAAGTAGTTCAACTTTCATTTTTTCAGATGAGAAATTGAGGTCCACAGAGACAGCTGTTAGGTAGAGGCTAGACAAGAGCAGTGGAAGGAACACCTGAGGCAGAGTCCCAAGTCCTTGAAAGGGAATGACAGAGGCCTGAAGTGGAGGCAAGGATCACAATTAAAAGAAAAAAAAAAAAAAAAAAAAAAAAAAAAAAAAGCACACATTATAAGCCAGAGTTCAACATGTGGGCTTTGTGGCTTAAACACCCTGGGCCTGACAGATCAAGAGCCACAGGTGCAGAGAACATGCCCTCTCCTCTTCCACCTCTGCCCCAGGGTAACCCTTAGACTCACTATCATGCATAGATACCCCTACCTGCCTCTACTCCTCCTCGACCCACCTGCCACATGAAGGTTCTGGTGCAAACGTTACAGGGTCAGACTCCCCCTCCCAAACTGTGGGAGGAGTTTCCCAAATGATGGGGCTTCTCCCAGCCCAGAGAAACCCAATACTATCTAATTCCAAAACAACCTAGGGGCTTATTCCACCTCAGGGAACCTACCCACTCTCCTTTCCCACCTTGGAGTGTACTTTTGCTTTAATAAACTGCTTTGTGCTTGCTACTTTCCTTCTGGATGTTTTTATTCTGAGCACTGATCCCCATGTAAATCTTCTCACGGGCAATCCAAGGACCTAGGCTGCCATTCGCACAATGCAGACACTCTCTCATTCCTAACATTCTACAATGATTACAAAATGCACTATAAACTTATTTTAGATCTAAAATCTATATTCGGATAAACTGGTTGAACAACGTTTAAAATCTCTAATAGAGCAAATGAATGCTGTCACTATGATTAAAAAAAAAATTTTCATTCAACAAATATTGAACCTCTGTTATGTGCTAGAAACTGTTACAGGTGTATAAACAAAAGTTTCATATTTATATGTTACTTTACAATTTTCAAATTACTTTCACATACAGTATCATTTGGCCTTCATATAGAAGGAGACAAGGTCATTTCTATTTTATAAATGATTAAATGGATGCTTTAATTAAAGAAATTAAAAATGAGAGTATAGAACAAGAATCATGAGTTGGCTCTTGGGCCAGATTAACTAGATTCAAATCGTGGCTTTTCTATCTCCTCCTAAGGCATGTTACTGAGCATTCCTGTGGCCTTGTTCCCTATATCAAAAATGGAGAGAATAATCTATGTCATAATAGTCCTGAGGATAAAATGAGATAATACACATAAAGGTTTTAGACCATGCATGACACAGCAAATGCTTACATTTATCCTCATTCTATCATTATTACCATTTGCCTGTTTTTATAATACATTCCTAAAACTTACCGCAATTTGGTATTTTCAAATTCTTTGATTTTTAATTCAGTGATTTCTTTTTGTCTCTCTAAATCTTGAGATACTTCTTTTAGTTTGGCTAAAAGTGAGGAGAGAGAATCATCTTGTTCTGCTACTGTCTGTTCCATCTCAGCCAGACGAATAAAATGCTTGTTGGTAGGAACTGGAGTAGGGGACTGTTTTATTAAATCCTAGGAAATATGAATAAATTAGCCATGAGCATGTACAACCCAATGCCATACCTATTCCATAATTTTAATTTGGTTCCTCAAATGATCAAAATATGATTTCTAATTTAAATTTAATGATTTACTAGCCTATGAAGACAAGAAATACAGATCTTATTCTTTGTCGTCCCAATACTGAGCAAAGAATCCACATGTAGTGGACAATCAATAAATGTTGATTGAATTCATTAGCTAAGGCTTAAGAAAGCTAAGATATGTTCAGCTCAGGTCGTGACTTCACACGTGTGAGTTTGAGCCCCGCATCAGACACACACTGACAGTGCAGAGCCTGCCTGGGATTTGCTGTCTCTCCCTCTTCACCCCTCCCCTACTCATGTTTGTTCTCTCTCTCTCTCAAAATAAGTAAACTTAAAAAAAAAAAAAAAAAAAAAAAAAAAAAAAAAAAAAAAAGAATGGTAAGATTTCCATGTTAGGAGATGAAAGTTAGGTCAGTTCACAAATATAGAAGACAAAGATCAAAGGAAGCAAGTATTAATTGAATTCAGAACACGAAAAGCAGTTAGATATTGGTAAACTTAACGGTGAACAGAACTTGAAAAGAAAGACTGAAGTCAGATCATGCAAGGCTTTGAGTACATGGCTAATAAATATAAACATGATTTTGTAGGCAGTGGTGAGCTACTAAAGATGTGGATGTAGGGGGAAAAATGATCAGAGCTGTGATTATTCCAACACAGGTAGGATGGCTTCTACTAAAAAAAAAAAAAAAATCATGAGAGCTAATTTTCAATTATATGGTCTCAAAAATCAACAAAGAATAGAACAGGGGTGCCTGGGTGGCTCAGTCTGTTAAGCATCCGACTCTTGATTTCAGCTCCAGTCATGATCTCATGGTTGTGGGATCAACCCTACATCAGGCTCTGTGCTGACAGTGTGAAGCCTACTTGGGATTCTCTCTCTCCCTCTCTGCCCCTCCACCTCCACCAAAATAAGTAAAAATTTAAAAAAAGAAAAAAAAAAAAAGGATAGAACAAAGTTCCCAGAATCTTACCCAAGCTGTTTGTTTGAATTTATTGAGTGAACTATCAGCCTGTAGTTCTAATTTACGATGAAGAATATGAAGGTCTTCTTCATGTTTCTTAACAATTTCTCTTTGCTCCTGTTTATAGCAAATCAAAATTGTGTCATAAACTATTAAATAAATTCACATTCTAAAGATCTTAAATATCTTATTACCTTTAATCATCCAAAATCCCTATGAGATAGGGAAGGAACATTACCTGTATGGCGTACATATAAATATATTTACACCAGTATTTATTCCCCTGGTACATATTCATATTGGCAAATCCAGCCTTAAATCATACTTTATTCTTAATATTACAATAATATGTATCCATCATCTTTTAACTTGTTTCTAGAAAATTTTTTAAATGTTATAGATTTTCCTATCAACATTCTAGCAAATCAGATTTCCACTGACTGCTAACTAGTGTGATAGATTTCATTCTAACTTATTGCCTCAATCTTTACCTATAAACTCCATTGATATTTTTCAAAATCGTAACGGTTTCACCATGACAGCTAGTCCTGGTTTAGTCAGTCATAAGAGAAAAATACACATTTACAAACTGCCAGGTTTACTGACAGAGCTTTAATCCAATCATGTGAAAGTAAAAATTCCTAAATAGAATCACTTGAAAACAAGAAACAAACTACCACTTCAGGGAAGAATAGTATTTGGCATTTGACTAAAAAACATAATAAAGAAAAGAGCAAAGCATAATGTAATAACATACCTCTCTTGCTTTTTCCAGAAGATGTTGGTACTTCTTTAACACTTCTTCCTTTTGGTTTAACCTTGCCTGCATATTTGCAATGGTCTGCTGAGCAATTTTCAGTGTGTGATGTGATTTTGGTTCTACCTCTTTTCTGCCTAGTTCGGCTATAAGCTTTTCACGTTCTGCAGTGGCAGGCAATCGAAGCCTTAGTTCAGTGATGACTTTGTCCCTTGACAGAATATTTTGCTCTGCTAACCGTAAGGCAGATTCTTTTTCTTTTAGCTTCTGCAATGATCAAATCATAATAAAATTATTAAAGTATATATTTTCATTTTAGAATGCTTCATCTGAATTTTGGTCAGATTAATTATAAGCAAAAAAAAGGAGTTTCACTTTATTTTTCACATCATACTTATATTAGTGATATACTGATATTAATAAGGTTATATTTCTTATATTTCCATGTGGCAGCACACTTGTCTGCATGCACATTTATTTATAAGATTATAATGTGTTATAAACTTCACTGTTTACTTTATTTAGCTCTTGTAATTTTAGAACTAGAAATGTGTGTGGTGGTAGTATATTTAGAAAGGAAATGTAATAAATCATTTCTTTTAGTTTGGCCCAATAACTATCAGAGCCCCAGAAAAGTAAGCCATAAAAGTCAGCTGAGTATAAAAAAATTGGAACTTTAGTGGCCTAGGTCAATGAATCACCATTATAAAATCTGTAGCTTATTAAAATAAAATAGAAAAAATGTTTACTCTTCTGTAGGATTAAGGCAGATATTTTAAATCAAATAACTCAGTGGCAATTCGCATAAGTGACAAATCCTACAATTACTGAAAAAAAACTAAGTTTCAATTGATTAAAAATGTACTAGTTACAACTTTTTTTTACTATTTACAAAATTTTTAAATGTATTTACCATTACTATGTTTAGATGCAAACCAAAATGAAAATCATCTTCAGTTTATATTTTCTGTATGATGTAATAGAGATTTGATCACATATTTATCAAATTTAAGACCCAGATTAAAGAAATAATTTCTAGCTCTCTTGCAAACCTTTTAACCACCCATAAAAGGAATGAACTGAAACTGATTCAGAGCATACAGCATGCACTTCAAAATAAAACATAAAAATAAACAAGTATGAAAACAATTCTTGATCATATAGAGAAAAGGTAATATATTGCTCATAAAACTACAAGATGCTTTTTGTTTCCTTTCATGTTTACTACTACTCATCAGTGAGTGACAAGTAGTGATGAAATGATTCACATTAACCCTATCTGGTGTTCCTTATAATAATGCTCTTTATTAAGAACATTATACTAGAGTAGAAAAGAAGATTAGAATTAGCAACAGATTCATGATTCTATGCTTCAGCCCTGTTAAAAAATATTTAGAAAATTCTAGAAACATACCCAATAATACACTAATAAAAATGCAAATTCTTCTTATTACCTCTTCTAGTGATTTACAAGTTGCCCGTGTTTCTAGGATTATTCGAACATTTTCCTTAATTTTTCTTAGAGCAATCTCAAGTTGATTTGGAAGGGGCAAACTAGGGTCTGGCAATGATCCTGTCGCCTCTTCAAACTATTAGGAAATAGCATTTTTGAGAAAAAGCAGTTACATCACTAAGAATAATACTGTTACAACTATAGGACAAAACATGGTTAAACCTCACTTATATTTGAAATAAAAGAAGGCAATATCAATAAAATTTGATTGGACTTTAAAACCACTTCTGTGGGTTAACACTATAGGCCATGCTATAGAGTAGCAAACAGAGTTAATCATTCATACCTTTTGTGCTGCTTTTAGTATTTCATTTTGCTGATGGTCAAAAATGTCTAGTTGACGTTCTAGCTCAACTTCTCTTTGATCCCAGGCCATCTGCCTTTCTTCATGAAACTATCAGACACACAGACATTCACCAAGCATATGACAAAAAAGTTTACATACATGTTCTTATTTAATCCTTACAACAACCCTTTGGGGTCACTGTATTCTCATTTTATGGAAAAAGGATGCAAACTCAGAGAGATTAAGTAACTTGCCTTAGATCACAGAGATAGAAAATGTGATGTCAGGATTTCAATCTCTCCATGCATGCATCCATCCATCACATTTTTTTTTTTAATTTTTTTTTAACATTTATTTATTTTTGAGACAGAGAGAGAGAGAGCATGAACAGGGGAGGGTCAGAGGAAGAGGGAGGCATAGAATCTGAAACAGGCTCCAGGCTCTGAGCTGTCACCACAGAGCCCGACGCGGGGCTCGAACCCACAGACCGCGAGATTATGACCTGAGCCGAAGTTGGACGCTTAACCAACTGAGCCACCCAGGCGCCCCCCCATCCATCACATTTAATGACATGAACTATGTGCTAAGCACTATTCTAGGCAATAAATAAATACGCATATAATATGTTACAGGATGATGAGTGCTGGAGAAAAATGAACTTAGATAATCCCTAGTTAGGGAATCTTGATGGTAGAATTTACTGTTGTATACTGGGTGGCTAATGAAGGCCTCACTGATGAGGTAAGACATTGGAGCTAAGACCCAGAAGCAATGAAAGCATAAACAATACAAGGATCTGGGCTAAGAACACTAAGTGGAGGGAACAACAAATTTTGAGGCAAGGAAGCATGAGCTTAGGGAATTTTGTCTGCCTCTAAAGTATATGTGCTTTATTCTACACCAAGCTGCCTTCTCCTACTCCATCAATGAGAGCCAGTAGAGACTTGTAACTGTGAAGTCACATAACTAATGTCAAAATAAAAATTAATTATCAAATAAATTTATGTATTATTTCTTTTAAGTTTAAAACTACTATTACAACATAAGTAAATAAATACAAATTTTTGAATGCCTTAGAAAATAAGAAACAGGGGCACCTGGCTGGCTAAGTGGGTTAAGCGTCCAACTCTTGATTTCCATTCAGGTCATGACCTCATGTGAGATCAAACTCTGCGCCAGGCTCTGTGCTGACAGCCCCCTGAAGTCTGCTTGGGACTTCTCTCTCTCCCTTTCTCTGCCCCTCCCCTGCTCATGCTTGCTCACTTGCTCTCTCAAAATAAATAAATATTAACAAAAATAAGACAACGAATATGTTATAACAATAATAATGAGAGCTACAATCAATTAAGAGTATAATGCATGGGTGCCTGGGTGGTTCTGTCGGTTAAGCATCTGACCCTTGGTTTCGGCTCAGGTCATGATCTCAAGGTTCACAAAATGGAGCCCCATATCAGGCTCTGGGTTAATAGCCCGGAGTCTGCTTGGGATTCTCTCTCTCTCTCCCCTTCCCCAGCTCGCACACATGCATACCGCACACATTCTCTCTCATAATAAATAAACTTAAAAAAAAAAAAGAGAATAATGGAATCACTCATACAATATTCTTAAGTTTAGTATCTTAGCAACAAGACCACAAAATAAATATAAAATGAAACCTTGTTTTGCTGCACAATTTCTTCCTCCAGACTGCTGATTGTATGCTCATATTCAGAAATTATATTATTCAAATATTTTATTTCTTCTTTATCCTTGACTAATTCTCTATTTAGTTTAAGCTCTTGAAGACGTAGTTCTTCTATTTTCATATGCCAACTGATTACCTAAACATTTATAAATTACATGTACAAATGTAAACACTGTCCATATAATTATTTCTCCATTGATCCTAATAATTTTCATTGAAATTAATACATATTCTTTGAGATAAAAATTATTCTTGGTTCAGCCACACAGCAAGGTTTATTTAGAATTTTCATAGACTTTTATAAAAATATGTGCCATCTTGGGGCGCCTGGGTGGCGCAGTCGGTTAAGCGTCCGACTTCAGCCAGGTCACGATCTCGCGGTCCGTGAGTTCGAGCCCCGCGTCAGGCTCTGGGCTGATGGCTCGGAGCCTGGAGCCTGTTTCCGATTCTGTGTCTCCCTCTCTCTCTGCCCCTCCCCCGTTCATGCTCTGTCTCTTTCTGTCCCAAAAATAAATAAACATTGAAAAAAAAAAAAATATGTGCCATCTTAACATAAAACATTCTTCAAATTATGTGGGAATGGATAATACTAACACTTTCATTTATTATTTTCATATATGTAATTGAAACATTGGTTTTACTTTCAAAAATGGAAATCCTAAATACTTCTAACCTAGAGATTAAAATTAAGTAGCAAGGTAATTACTTTTCATTTAATGCATACCAAATGAAGGTAAAACAAAATTATATTAAAAAGTAAATGTGGGCCTACTACCTGTAAATAATTTTAAACAGATAATAATTATGAAGGGTAGAATTCAACTGATAACCACTATAATGTTTATGAATAACTAAAATTAGTATTTAGCTAATATATATAAACTTTTCTAGAATGTTTAAAGTTCTTTGATAGTATACAATCTAAGCATTTCAACCAAAATCACAGTTTAGAAGAGTCTCATTTTATTTTTACAATTAGACATTCAAATAGCCAAGCCTTAACTTACAAAACCTAAATGAATAACGTAATTGGAATTTTTGTCTTATACAACACATTTTTCAGATAGCTATTTATTAAAAACTTAAAATTACTTTGTAACTCTTTTGGAAATACTGAACCAAAAACCAATGTTTTACCTTTTGGGCTCCCCTGGCATCCTTTAAAGTGCTTATTAACTCTTCCAGCCCCTTTAACTTTAATTCCATTTCCATTGCTTTGTTCTCCATATTTCTATGCTCTTGTTGAGAAGTTTTCATTTCTTGCATTATCTTAAGTTTGTCGTTTTGTAATTGAATCATCGTTTTAGAGAACTTTTCCTGCTGTGCCAAGGGTAAAGCTCCACTAAACTGTCGTCGGAGAGACTGAATTGTTTGGCGCAGATGTTTTGCTCTGTTTCTCCCCTCCAGACGGGCATAATAGAGAGCCTGTTCCTTTTCATCAAGTTTCTGCTCTAAGCGCAAATTACAGGCCTCCATTTTCTGCAGTTTAGATGTAACTGATTCCAACTTGCCAAGCGCAGTAGCCTCACTGATTTGAAGAGAGACGACATTTTGATGCAACTTGGCAATTAGTGCCTTTTCATCAGACTGTGCCTGATATAAAGAGTATATATTTATAAGTTTCAAGTTTTTCTAATGACACTTTTCATGGATTTAAAACCACGACCTACTACATAAAATTTAAAAAAGTATGCTATATGAGATCCTATAAAAATCTAGCCTGGCTTTAATACAGATTACCAAAAACTTGTCAAAGAAAAAACCCCAGAATCAAACATACTTAAAATCTAAATCTAGTATCCAACTAAATAACAGTTGGCATATTACTGTTCTGTTGGTTTTTTTTTTTAAACTTCCATATGTAAATAACAATGCTGGGACAACACTAATGTTGACAATTTTTTTAATCTTAAAAAATTTATAATGGGAGAATATGTAAAAAGCTACATATTAATAGAAGAGAAAATACAGTTCTGAAAGACTTTCTCCTCAAACCTTAACTTTAATTAGCGGCCAGCACAATATACCTGTAGGTATGTAAATATTTTTCTGTATCATGAAAGATATTTCAAATTAAAGAGTTTTCTAATCAGGTTACAATGAACAAGTACAGGAGCTTCCATTTGATACAGCCTCTGATTAAAACCATAAAATTATCCAATATCTAATGTGGATTTAGGAAAAAGAAAAAAATCCACTTACAAGAGCCAATACTGTACTTACCTGATAGTCTAACAGTTGCATTCTGACAGATTCTACTTCTTTTTCCCTGGACTGTTGTTGTGTATTCAAAATTTCAACTTGTCTTTTGGCAATATCAGAAATCTCTCTCAGTCTAGGAAATGAAAAAATACTTCAGGAAAAATTAGGTCCATTTTCTAAGTAAATACTAGTATTTCAGATTTCTAGATTCTTGGAAAAGCCACTAATTTCCAGCATCTCTTCTTGGTGTGACATACTAAAGCAAAATTTCCTAAACCATTTAATGAAATAATTCCATGAGAGTTCTGTCAAAAAAACTCCATTCCCAACATCCCTCCCCATTGAAAATTCGTAATACATAGTATTGTATGAAATGTTGAAAAGTTCCAAAGTAAAAAATTATCTATCTATACAGCATTTTCCAAATGTATATGGCCATAGGACTAGTCTCCCACACTTTTTTCATAAGATACTTATTACCCTAGTTTCAAAGAGCTAGAATAAGGTTTAAGGTAGGTTTATTTGACATAATTGTACAGTTAAGGATACAGAAATTTAAGATTCCTAGGTTCCCTAGGTGGATTAATATATGCTTTAAGTTTACAAACTATCAGAAATGAAAAAAAGAAAGATTATATGCTTACTACAATTACAAAAAATGGGAGAAGCTTGATGGTAAATTATTAAATTTTCTCCAAGACTACTATTATACGATCACACAGGTAAAGCAAAAATTCATTTTACTTCAGGCTAGAATAATTTTAGTGCACTGTGACATATAAATAAGGTTCCTTTATATTGATTATTAATGCTCATTACCAGTTACATAAGTTTTAAAAATTAAAATATAATAAAATGCATAATTATAAATTAAATTATCTCAAAAGGTGAGGTCTATGAGGTAAGAGGAAGAATACAAAATGGAGTCCTTCATAGTGAAACGGGCTGGAAATGATGGACATTTCAAAGGACTATCAATACTCCAAAAAAATGGGTATTACTTTATAATACGCTAATCATAAAACCCATTTTACGAATTATTTTGTGGTTGACAGATCAACTTATGTTACGGCTCCTATTACGTTTCTACTAAAGTAACACAAAATCACCCATGAGAATGAGTACATAGCATCTATCTCACACACAATATTTACTCCTTAGATATATTTTGTGTTCCAAGTGAATAAACTATTTCCACATGTAAAATAAAAATCACAATGTTACTTTAAGGTTATTAAGTGTAATTATATGAGTTAATATATGTTTAATACCTAGCACAGTATACAGTACTCAAAAAATGTAAACTGAATCAAAATCTGAATTTTTCATTTTACAGCAATCTTATGAAACAAGTAGAAGAGATACTAGTGCTCCCTTAAAAAGGAGAAAAAAACAAGTTTATTTCATTATTTAAGTTTATTTATTTTCAGAGAGTGAGAGAGAAATGGGGGGAAGGGGTGAGGGGCAGAGAGAGAGAATCCCAAGCAGGTTCCATGAGGTCAGCACCGAGCTGGATGCGGGGCTCAAACTCACGAACCATGAGATCATGACCTGAGCCGAAACCAAGAGCCAGATGCTTACCGGAATGAGCCACCCAGGCACCCCTTTATTTTTTTTTAATTAAAAATTATCTTATTGCTAAAAAATGCTAACCATCATCTATCTGAGCTTTCAGCTATCCATAATCTTCTTGCTGGTGGAGGGTCTTCCCTAATGACGCTGACTGATCAGGGTAGTGGTTGCTTAAAGTTGGGGTGGCTATAGCAATTTCTTAATATATTTATTTTATTTACATTTATGTTATGTTGTTTTATTTCAGTATAGTTAAAATTCAGTGTTATACTAGTTTCAGATATACAATAATAGTGATTCAACAATTCCATACGTCACCCAGGGCTCTTCCTGACAAATGTGTTCCTTAATCCCCATCACCTAATTAACCCATCCCCCTACTCACCTCTCCTCTGATAACCATCAGTTTGTTCCCTATAGTTAAGAGTCTGTTTTTTGGTTTGTGTCTCTTCCTCTCTCTTTTTTTTCCCTTTGCTTTGTTTCTTAAATTTCACATATGAGTGAAGTCATATGGTATTTGTCTTTTTCTGACATTTATTTCACTTAGCATTGTATTCTCTAGCTCCATCCATGTCGTTGTAAATGGCAAAATTTCATTCTTTTTTATGGCAGAATAATATTCCTTTATATATATACATATAGCTACATATACACACCACTTCTTTATCCATTCATCTATCATGGACACTTGGGCTGCTTCCATAATTCGGCTATTGTAAATAATGCTGCTACAAACATGGAGGTGCATGTATCCTTTGAATTAGTGTTTTTGTTTTGGGGGGGTAAATACCTAGTAGTATTTAGGGTAGTTCTATTTTTAACTTTTTGAGGAACAACCATACTGTTTTCCAGTGGTTGCACCATTTGCATTCCCAACAACGGTGCAAGAGGGTTCTTTTTTCTCTACATCCTTGCCATTACTTGTTTTTTATAGTTTGATTTTAGTATTCTGACAGGTGTGAGGTGTTTTTTCATTGCAGTTTTGATTTGCATTTCCCTTGATGCTGAGAGCATCTTTTCATGTGTCCATTGGCCATCTAGATATCTTCTTTAGAGAAATGTCTGTTCATTTCTTCTACCCATTTTTAATCAGATTATTTTTTTGGGGTTGAGTTGTATAATTTCTTTATATATTCTGGATACTAACTTTTTTCAGATATAAGAAACTTAAGTTTAAATAAGTTGAATGACCACCCCACTTCCCTCCAAAAAAATATTAGTATGTGGAAGAACTCGACTGCATAGGGTCTTGATTCCAAATTCAGTGCTTTCTGCAATACTATTCCTGGACTCTGAAAACTATGAATCTTGAAAAGTTATTTCCTCTTCAGTATTATTATTCATGCCTGTTAAAAACTAATCTTGTTAGTATTTAACCTTATTCTTACAAAAAACAAAAATAAAAACAACCAGTATCAATTCCACTAAGAATATTACCCCGAACCACTGTAATTAGGTTTCTTAAAAATCAATTAGAGTAGATGCACCTAATGACTAAAAAGTTTGCATGCACTTACTTTGACACTTCAACTTTTAGTTCCAATTCGTTCTTCTCTAATTCTAGAATCCGTTGCCTATCAGCATCACTTACTGTCTTGCTCACACTATCAGCTAGTTCATCTCTTAACATCTGTTCCACCTTCTGTGCTTCCAAATTGATTTTGGTAAGCTAACAAAAGCAACAAAAATGTTCAGATATATTAGTTTTTGGTGAGATTTTCTTCTCAACTTAGATATTACCACAGTTCTCTTTACTTAGCATTAGTCTGGATAATGAATTGAGTGTGAAATATTAAGAATAGATTGAAGAGGGTAAAGAGAGTCAGGAACAGATTATAAGAACTCAGGTTATATGCCAACCCACCAAAAGTCATTTATATTAGACAACTCATAGTCTAATATTTGAATCTATTTTTTTAACATTTGTTTGAAACGTAGTTATACTCATTATGCTTGACTTCAATTATATCATCTATAAATAAACATAAATGAGTTAATAAAATCTTAACATATACTTAGTGACTCAGTTAAAATAAACAAAATGACAAATATGTTTTGAAAAGTATACTAATTCTCAAGGTAAACATTATAAACGTGCCGCTTCATCATTGATTGTTGAATGTTTGCAAACTGTTTTAATTGCCAACCAATTTAATATTTCTGAGCGTATCAAAAAAGTCTAAAACTTACTATTAAAATGTAAAGTCCCAAGAGCAGAGATTACTGCCTATTTTATTTCCTGTGATAAAATTAGCCCCCATACAGTGTCTGGCATGTAACAGGCACTCAATAAATATTTGTTAAATGAATGGATGGTAGTGGAAGGCAATTATCATTACTAAGCAAATAATATCTTTTTACATTAAATCTAATAATGCAATGCTGATGAAAAATAAGAACTCATTCACAGAAATACCTGTCTTCTTTTTAAACGTTTCAGATTTAAAACACATCTTTTATGAAACACAGCACTATATTAACATTACTTCAGAAATACAAACAAATCTCTTACAATATAAAATGTCTAACATGACTAATCCTTTATGCCAATTGCATGATAAAAATTGTATCAAACCTCAGCAAATTTGGTTTCCAATTCAAAATTACGTTCTTCCATTTGCTTTAATGAAGTCCTTGCGTGTTCATACATTTTTTGAGAATGTTCAGCCCGCTGCCTTTCATTTAATTCTTTCATCTCCAGCATAGTAATTTTTTTTGAAATAGAAACAATTTCACTGTTGGTTATTGATTTCTTTGCCTTATCCATGTTTGATTCATTTCCTATATGCAACAATACTAAGTCAATCACAAGCTGTTATCAAAATTAGATGCCAAATATTTTAGCAACTTTTTTTTTTTTAATTTTTTAACGTTTATTTATTTTTGACAGGGAGGGAGAGAGAGAAACGGAGTGCAAGCAGGGGAGGGGCAGACAGAGAGGGAGACACAGAATCCAAAGCAGGCTCCGGGTTCTGAGCTGCCAGCACAGAGACTGATGCAGGCTCAAACTCACAAACTATGAGATTATAACCCGAGCTGAAGTCAGACGCTTAACTGACTGAGCTACCCAGGCACCCATGGACACTGTATACAAGGATGCAATAATATGGTTCCACAGAAAACACACGAGCCTTATGAATTATGAGAGACCTAGCTTCCAGTCTTAGCTCTGTTACTTACTGTTTAGAAACTGCCTATCCCATTTCATCTCTTGGGAACTTATATTCTTCATCAGTCAAATGATAATAAAAGTTAGTCCTTATAGAAATTTAGGAATTTCTACAGGGAATCCAGCACTTATTTAAGAGAGACAGAGTAAAATGAACAGAGAATTTACTACAATTGTATGTAATACTCTTTTTTTTTATATTTTAGCTTAAATGATACCTTCTTTCAGGTAGCAGTTACATGGAAATCAATTCACTTTTAATTTCTTAAAGAATTAAAAATCACATTTCTAAAAATAGCTTATTTTAGATAATATTAGGCCCAATTTTAGGCTTCACTAAACTACTACATGTCCCAGTTACCAATTTAATAAAACAGCTCTACTTTGTAACAGAAACCTTGAATACCATTAGAGCTCTAAGATCTAGAAAACAAACATACAAAAACACTTTATCCAAAGGAGCAAATTTATTTGAAAATTATAAAGCACAATGCTAGTAAGATAAAATTATTTAAACATCATAAACTAAGATAACCATTTAAAAAATGAATATGGAAAACCATTTGAAAAATGAATAAGGAAAATCCTAGCAGGACCCACAAAGATTTTAATATCTGTCATAATATCTGTTAGATATACATGAAGATGTTCATTGAGCACCATAAACAACAGCAAAAATAAGAAGGCCTCGTGATTTAATCACTCAAACAGTAAGATATTACATGGATATTTGTATGTGTAAGAATGATGAATAAAGCAAATGTATTAATATCTACTAAATGAATACAGTATATAATGTTCATTATAATTTAAAGTATATGTATGTTTACTATTAGAGTCATTTACATTTTATTTATTTTATTAAGTTTTTATTTAAATTCCAGTTAGTTAACATACAGTGTAATATTAGTTTTGGGTGTACAGTATAGTGATTCTACACTTTTATACAACGCCCAGTGCTCATGTAAACATGTATAAGGGAATACAAAAAAATAATAATAGTAAAACTATAGGCAATATAAACTCTTTTCAAAATTATTTTGATGTTTTATGGTGACCTTTTAATTTAGATGTATTAAATGGTACATTCCTAATATTACTTTACACATATTACTGCAGTGGAAAACTTCTAAATACTACCACTAAAATATAGGTATTTAAGATTATCACCAGTCTTTATGGTTAAATGGCTCAAAATAGTTAATGCTCTGTCATAATTTTTTAACATATATGATTCAACTAGGAACTAATCTCATCTACTAACTAAAAACCAAATTTTGGTAGAGATTAGCATAAGATACTATTCATCAACTGTCTGCTAAATTAAACTGTTAGGCAGAGTTCATTTTTATCAAAATACTTCCTTTTCATCTGATATAGAAAAGGAACTATAAATGAATAACGTATTCACTATTAGATCTTCATCATTTTACATTATCAGAGTCATCATACTTACCTAATTTAGTTTCTTGTTCCCAGGCTTGTTCAACAGTGTAAAGTTTTTCCTTGGTAATCTCCAGTTCTTTATTTATAGACTCCACTTGTTCTTTCAGGGATGCATTTTCACACTCAATAAAACAGAAACATCACTGAGAAACTACATTATAATTCAGACTAATATGATATGTGATATTGACTTAACCTTATATAATATCTCCTAAAACTCACAATCCAGTTTTTTTTAAACAAAATTAGGAGCTCCCCTACATGTAATATATACACACATACATATACAAACACACGTATATACACAGACACATATATAAAGAAAGCATGTTAAAATAATCAAAATCTTATATATCCAATACGTGACTTCCGAATATTAGCTTCTGCTATGTTCACTTTGGCCAAGTGGAATGCTTAGAGTTTCTCACACAGTTACTGAGCATCACTAGCACACCATCATGTCAGGTGCTGTACTTCATGTCCACGGTGAAAAGAAACAGACAAAATACTGGCCTTCACAGGCCTCACCATTTAGCATCTGTGGGTATCTGTGTGTAGCAGGAGTTGGGGAGGGTATGGAAGGCAGAAGACAGTGAACAGGTAAGCAAACCAAAAACTCTAAGAATGTAAAGATCTAGAAAGAAACAGAGTATGGATCCAGAGCAAAATAAAAGGAACCATATCAAGATAGAAAGGTTAAAGAAGGTATTAACTACTGAGGAGGTGGCATTTAAGTCAAAAGCTAAGGTATGAAAAGGAGCCAGTCTTTTTTTTTTTTTTTTAAGTTTATGTATTTATTTTGAGAGACAGAGCAAAAGCATGAGAGGGGCAGAGAGAGAAGGAGAGAGGGAATCCCAAGCAGGCTCCACACTGTCAGTGCAGAGTCCCACGTGGGGCTCAAACCCATGTACCGTGAGATCATGACCCGAGCCAAAATCAAGAGCTGGACACTTACCCACCTGAGCCACCCAAGGGCTCAAGGAGCCAGCTGACAAGAAGCCAGCAAGAGAGAAGAGCTATGTGTTGATAAACCCTGATGCTCTGATGGAGGACTGAGTTTGGGGCATTAGAGGACTTAAGCACAGACAGCAAAATAACAGTGACGAGTGGTATAAGATAAAGTTGGAGTGATAATAGGGGGTCATACCAGGCAAGGCATGGTATGTCACGATAAGGAACTAGAATTTAACTTAATATATAATAGGAAATCATTTAAACATCTTAAGGAGGAAGTTTTTTTTTTTTTTATTTTAATGTTTATTTATTTTTGAGAAAGAGACTGAGCATGAACAGGGGAGGGGCAGAGAGGGGGAGAGACAGAATCCAAAGCAGGCTCCAGACTCTGAGCCCAAAGCAGAGCTTGAACTTATGAACTGCGAGATAATGACCTGAGCTGAAGTCGGATGCTTAGCTGACTGTGCCACTCAGGAGCTTCTCTAAGAAGGACATTTTAAACAACCATTCTGAATGCAATGTGGAGAATAAATAAAGGGGTAAGCAGAGAAATCAAAATTAAGAAAATATAAAATCCTGATGAGTAGGGTCATAGCAGTGAAGATGGAGAAAAGAGGACACACATATGAATGAATTACATTTGGGAAATAAAAATGACAGGGGAAAGGAATGACAGAAAGTAACTCTAAGGTATCTGCCTTCATGGAGTAGGTAACAGCAGCACCTATTGAAACGGAAACAACTATGAGGGAAACAGACATTCTGGATATGTTAAATTTGAGATCCTCTTGAAACAGTAGTTGTAAAATAGATAATCTCATTACAGTACCGAAAAGGCAGACTGGACACAAAAATGTAGGAGTTGGCACATAAATTTAATATGCTCATTTACTCTTTGTTTTAACAAACAGAATACTAACTATATGCCAGGTATTCTAAGCCCTTGAATGATAAAGAAATTCTGTCCTAGAACTTGTGTTGGGCAGCGGGTAGTTGGAAAAGAAGCCAATACATAATACAATGCTACATAATACATATTATGAAGAATAACAGGATAATGAGTTTTTATTTATTTTTTTTTAAGGGGACGTTATGATAAAAAAGAAAGCAAGATAAGGGAATACAATGTGACTTTCTGGTAATGTGCACAATTACAACCCCGTTCTAGATACTATAAATACATAGAAAAAAAAAAAAAAAAGAGGGCTTAGGGGTTTTTAACATCTTTCTACCTTTTTTTCCCTCTTACTTCCAGACTTTCAAGAACTCTGGTCTTGCTCCAGATGCCATTCTTATTCCCCTGCCCTCGGTGGGGTGCCCTGCACCCACACTTTTACCACCCACCTCTAGAATCTTCAATTGACCTCTCCCTATTTGCTCTAAATTTTCTTTCCCTCTACCCTCAAACTTCATTGGCCTGTTTAAAAAAAAAGAAAAAAAAACAGTTGATAAAATAAATCCTTCTCTTGATCCTACTTCAACCTGTATCTAATTTCTTTTTACTTCTATCATCAGATTTCTAGTTTTTCTGTTGCCTTATCACCCACCCATTCAATTTTTGCATTTTCTTATCATCCACTCTCTTTATATTCTGAAAATTGATTTTTACCACTTTTACTCTCAATAAAGTCTACCCTTGGGGCTCCTGGTTGGCTCAGTCAGTTAAGTGGCCAACTCTTGATTTCAGCTCAGGTCGTATCTCACAATTGTGAGACTGAACTCTGCATTGGGCTCTTCGCTGAGCATGAAGTCTGGTTGGGCTTCTCTCTCTCTTGCTCTCTCTCAGCCCCTCCCCTGCTCTCGCTCTCTCAAAATAAATAAGTTAAAAAAAAAGAAAAAAGGAACTTTACTCTTGAAAGGCATCAACACTTTCCTAATCACCACATCTGATGACCTTTGCACCATGGCTCTACAACATTAATAACTCTCTCGAGGTCAACATTTATTAGTTCTGTGTGCCAAAGACGAAGTACTAAACACATAAAAGTGAATTAAATAGAATTCCTGATATCAAGAAGAATATATTCCAGTAGGGGATGGAGACATACAAACATTCTTAGTATGATGTGATATAAATAGCAGAAACAGGTACAAGATAGAGAATATAGACAGAGAGACTTTGTTCTATAAAGAAAGATGCTTCAGAAAAAAAGATAGTGTCTGAACAAAGATTTTTCTTTTTTTAATGTTTATTTATTATTGAGTTTATTTATTATTTTAATGTTTATTATTTACTATTTATTTATTTAATGTTTATTTGTTATATATAACATTTTTAATGTTTATTTATATTATTTATTACGGGAGAGGCAGAGAGAGGAAGAGACACAGAATCCAAAGCAGGCTCCAGGCTCCAAGCTGTCAGCACAGAGCCCAATGTGGGGCTCGAACTCACGAACTGAGATATCATGACCTGAGCCAAAATCAGATGCTTAACTGACTGAGCCACCCAGGTGCCCCTGAACAAAGTTTTAAACATGAATAGAAATTCACTGAGCACGTAAGTGGAGAGCCCTGGGAGGGCTTTCGAGACAAGGAAACAGCAGGTACATAATATATATATGAGAAAAAACACTGTGTCCCAGCAAACTGGTAGTTCAATTTCAAAAACAAATTGTAAAAGTACTTAGAGCACCATAGGAGATGACATGAGGTAAGTGGGGGCTAATCACAAAAGGAATTTGGCTTTTATTCTTTAAGTGACTGACAGTGATAGATAGGTGTGAAGCAAAGGCGTTGTCCCATGGTCAGATTCATGTTTAGAATGACCACTGTGGTGGAAGTAAGAAGGGGGTTACACAGGAGATAGGGATAGAGTAAGGGCTACCACAATACACATAATAAAGAATAAAACTGACACATTGTCAATAGGGATAAAAATATACTCAGAATTATAATCGAGATGCGGGAAAGAATATAACACAAATGCATTTTTTTTTTAATTTTAAGATGAAAAATATTCTTTGGAAAAATAGATAAAATAAAAGTTAAAAATTACTCATTGCTGTTATCTACATAATATATTTCTTACATGGATTTTCTTGGTTTTTTTTTCTTACATGGATTCTAAAATCATACAGAGGAAGAGTGCAAAGGACATGAAAAATGGGGAAAAATAAAAAAAATTACTATACCTAAATATTCAAAATTTTCTACAAAAATTAACATAATCCTCTCCCTTTGGCAAAACAGTAAAAAGTAAACTGATCATGATTATTGCTAGTTAGTATTAATAAATCACTCAGATATTTTTATAGGAGTAATTCACAGCTATTCAAAATAACATTTGGGTGTTTTATTGAATGTGTCCCTCTAAGCAAGTAAAATCTATGAAGCTAACAAAATCAGACCTCATTCCACTCCTAGGAGAAGATCACAAAAGAGAAGATGTCAAAAGACACAAGCCCCTATTTCTGAAGAGGAAGATGAACAAATCAGGAGCTGGTTTTGCTTGCGTTAAAGGTATGGAGGTCAAGTGGCTAGAAGAGGACGACAGGGTTCTGGGCCATATCCACAGACTGTTTGAATGAATATGTGATACTTCATCCTATTTTTCTTATCTGTACAGTTAGAAAGGATGGGGATTTCCAGAGCTCATCCAGGATCAGGAAGAGCCATTCTCGGCTATATCCATCCCAAGAAACATAAACCAAGGGGTACAAGAAAATAAGTTGCACTGGGATCAGGGGGAAGAGAGAAGGATGGGTACTTAATGATGCCTCCTCTTTCGGTTACAATCATCTGTAACCTGTCTGGTTCATGCTTCTGTTTCTTTTTTAAGTGCCTGGTGTTAAGCGGCTTGATTCAATAAAATTCTGCAAGTGGACTAAGGAGGATGAAAGGATGAAGTCATTCCGCACCTACAGATAGCACCCAAGAGGAATAGCTAATATTACAAGGTTCAAGGACTATATACACTTACCTCTAAGTGTTCCAAGTTATTTGTTCTTTGAACAAGCATATTATCTTTTTGCAAGATGTCCCTGTATTTCGCAGTCAGTTCATTATACTGTTTATTGGCCAATTCTAGCTCAGACAAAGAAACGCTATTATCTATAACTTTTTGCAGAGCTGCAATCTTGAAAATGGCCATTTCCTATGTAAACAAACACACACTGAGTCAAGTTGGTGTATTTTTTCCTAGTGAAGTACTAGCCACTTTTCAGAAGGATAAGATAATATAGCTGAAAGCAAAACAGATTTTAGAATCACTAAAGAAAAGATTTCTTATGTATTAAAAATATTACAATAATTATTCATTTCTTTAGTAGAAGAAGTAGTACTATTGAGAAATTTTAAATCATAAAAAAAATGAAAAAAAAGGAAATCCTTTCATAACTATCATAGTAAAATGAAATTCAATTTCAGAAAAGCATAATACACAGCAGCAAGAAAATATGTATCACCCAGAATACTACTACTTGGCAATGAGAAAAAATGAAATCCTGCCAGTTGCAGCATCGTGGATGGAACTGGAGGGTATTATGCTAAGTAAAATAAGTCAGGCAGAGAAAGATACCATATGTTTTCACTCATATGTGGAACTTGAAAAACTTAACAGAAGACCATGGGGGAAGGGAAGGGGAAAAATAGTTACAAACAGAGGGAGGGAGGCAAATTGTAAGAGACTTTTAAATACATATAACAAACTGAGGGTTGGTGGGGGTGAGGGGGTGGAGGAGAGGGGAAAATGGGTGATGGGCATTGAGGAAGGCACTTGTTGGGATGAGCACTGGGTGTTGCATGTAAGCGATGAATCAGAGGAATCTACCCTCAAAACCAAGAGCACACTATATACGCTGTATGTTAGCCAGTTTGACAATAAATTGTATTAAAAAAAAAAAAGAATGTACCTCTGGATGGCTTTTCTAAATTTCATAAGCTTAAAAATAATTTGCCTTTAGTTAGCTGAATGGCAAAATTAGATTTACCACATTACAACTTACCTATTTCTGCTTATTATAGTTACACAGACTAGTTTTGTAATAAAAGAGAAAACCTTTTATTCACATGAAAGAAACAATACTTAGTGAGAAAAATTTTCTCTCAATTAGCTGTCTCTAATAATACCAATGACATCAGCTATACAATTATAAAAATTCACTACTCGAAGACTCTGTATTAACACTAAGAAGAAACATCTGAACTTTTCTCTCTAAAGTTGACGAAGTAGTGCAAGGAATAACCAAATTTAAAAAGTGAGGAAGATAAAGAACTACAGTTAAAATTTCTCGTGAAGGATAGCAATGAGGGAAGAATATCTGTGGTAGTGCTTCATATCTCATTTTGATAGCTTCTTTTCCATTTAAGTAAGTACACATAATTCTACCTTACTCTTAGAATCTGATTTCACACATTCTTTGTGTGGGGAGGGGTTTCCTATTTCCCATCTCCTAAAAATATCCAATTTTCAGCTTTCCAATTGTTGTGTACTATCTCCCCAAATCCAGGTCGAATAGTCAGGTTGAACAGAAGAACATTCTAGTTCTTTTTTCCCCTTCTATCTCACACACTCACTATATTTGCAATACTTCAGGAAAGCACAAAAGTAAAAAACAAGTACATTTCTTAAGACTCAAAATGTCCTGGAGCACCTGAGTGGCTCAGTTGGTTCAGTGTCTGACTTCGGCTCAGGTTATCATCTCATAGTTCGTGAGTTCGAGCCCCGCGTTGGGCTCTGTGCTGACAGCTCAGAACCCAGAGCCTGCTTTGGATTCTGTGTCTCCCCCTCTCTTTGCCCCTCCCCCACTCGCTCACACACTCTCTCTTTCTCTCTCTCTCAAAATAAACACTAAAAAAATTTTTTTTAAAAAGACTCAAAATGTCCTTATCACATGTCCAAATAAAAACAGCTTTCATTATTCAACAAGTTCCTTTTTGCATCAGGATTCGGCTTTAAGATCATATTGAAAGTAAGTTTGTTAGCATGACAATTTCACTTATTACTATCCTTAAAAGGAACTCAACTTCATTTTAATTTTACTTTGAACGCTTATATGTTTATATGATCCTATGTAAATTTGGACATGTAAACTGAACATGTATGTACATGCTTAAAATAAGCTATATAAGACAAGATGTAAAGCAAGGTGTAGAAGAGTACACACAGCATGCAACTTCTTGTGTCTGTTAATATCTTCGAAAAGAAACATTAAAAAGATGATCAGTTACCTGTAGCAGTTAGGGTAGAATGGAGTCAAAGGTACAGGGACAGAAGTAAGATTTCTCTGACTACATGTTTAAAAGATGCAAATGTTTCATACATTCAAATCAATTCTAAAAAAGAAACTAAAAGTAACTATGAGTTTGAAGACAAATGCAAAACAAATGAGCCTAATTATACATCAAATTTATAGTATAACCTCAAAAGGAGAATTATTTCAAGTTACTGTAGAATATATTACCTTGACTATACATCCTATTGAAAGATATTCTAAGGAAAATAAGAACTATAAGGAAATTAAAAATTTTTTTAGGTTTATTTATTTATTTTGAGAGAGACAGAGACAGAGTGAGCAGGGGAGGGGCTGAGAGAGAGGGAGGGAGAGAATCCCAAGCAGGCTCCTCACTGTCAGCACAGAGCCTGATGTGGGGCCTGCACTCACAAAATCGTGAGATTATGCCCTGAGCCAAAACCAAGAGTTGGATGCTTAACAGACTGAGCCACCCAGGCATCCCAAGAACTATAAAGATATTTTAAACTAAATCTGGTAGCACTGCTGTTGTTATTGCTAATACCAATGCAAGATTATCTTCAAATTAATATGTAAATATTACAGAATAATTATTTTAATATTAATAACAGATTTCCATGTAAGAAAAAAGTAATATGAGTATAAAATCAAATGTTAGTAAAAACTCCATACTATTTCCTAAACCCCACTATGTTAAATCTGAAATGTGGAGATAACAGTATGAACTCATGTTTTAAATATACACATATTTTCCTAACTTGCTCACTGAAAAGGACTAGTAGCAATGACATTTCAAGAGCAATAGCACCTAGTGACCAGTTTTGGCATCTAAATGCCTTTACCACTAAAAATAACCAGGGTTCTTTAGAGAAATGGTTTATTCCAAGTCTGGATTAAAGTATACAATGTAAATCTTGGATATCCTGTTGTGCCAGAAAAGAAACCAACATTTGAGGCTTGGTTCAAAGACTACTGGATTCTTGTCAAAAGGAAACAAGAACTAGCTTTAAAGGGCTCCCATTGGCCAACATGAAGACAAATAATGACTAAGTGTGTTAGTCTGTAATGATACTGAAAGAAGAGAAAGATGGGGAGGTCGGGCAAACAGGTAGAAAAAGTGGAGTATATCGACTCTGATTTCTGAAGACTAGTCATTAAAAGGAAAGGATGAAGCTTTTGTCTTGCCTTTCTAGTAGGAACTATACTTCAAAATAACCGAATAGGCTGGGCTAATGAAGAAAAGGTCTATATTTTATAAAAGAATATCTGCTAATAAGTGTAGAAAGTATAATATAACTAGAAAAATAATGTTTGCAACTCTAATGAAATAAATGAGTCAGGTAACAACAATCATCAGTGGATGCTAAACCCATTATGAGCACTGACAAAGAATTGGTTATTTGCATGGACCAAAATATCACCAGTTAACTAAATCACTTTATAATAGAGATATATGGCTGTCTCCCCCTTAAGATAATAATCACTCATTAAACACGGGACTACCAGACATTCCATCTCTTGAAGTGATGCAATATAAATAATTACTTCTAAAGTACAAAGCATTACTGATGGAGTATTCTTGTCAAAAAACGTTTAACCTGACAATAAACAAGGCTTCAAAGCTTTTAGTAAATAACAAATAGAGGAACAAACAAAATTACAAAAGAAAATAATCACGAATCTTCAACATTTTTCACAAAGAGAAGAAAAACAGGGGAGATTCTATGAACATTGAAGACATGAAAAAAAATAAAGACTTATGACATGTAATACCCAAATACAACACAGGGTCCTTAACTGGATCCTGGGATAATGGAGGAAATGTGAATATGGTCAGGACATTAGATAATGTGAGGCAATTATTGCCAATTTTGTTAGATGTGATAAAGTTTGTGGTTATGTAAACAAAAAAAGGCTTTTTTAGAAATGCACACTAAAATATTTAGGGAAGAAATGTCTACAATTTATTCCTACAAAAACAGATGAAACAATTATGGCAGAACGTTAATAGATATTAACTATTAATCCAGGTGATAGCTGTTCATTGTATGATCCTCTCTTCCTCATAACTGAAAGTTTTCATAGAGTAAAAAAAAAAAAAAAAATCAGATGTACCTTAAATCGTTGCAAACGTCCAATTTTTTCACCAACTTCAGCTTCCATTGATATCAATTCATTCTTCTGTTTCCCGTTTTCTTTCCTAAGCTGTCGCTCCAATTCTACTAAAGTGGTATATTGTCTTATGAGTGACTTTTCATTCACTTGCAAGACTGTAATTTTTCTACTATATTCTGAAAGTGTTTTTTTCATTTCATCCGAATCCATCTGAAGAGCACTAAGCAAATTCTGCACAAAGACACGCTTACATTACTTAGTGAACGTAGCTATCTTAATTTGTACAATAGTATATATTGATTTTGAAGGGGTTTTACTCACATTATATTCTTTTACTTTTATAGCACCTTGTTGGATTTGATCCTCAAGTTTTTTCTTTTCCTCTTTCATTGTTTCAGATTCTGTTTTCCAGGTCTCCTTTTCACTTAAAATAAAAAATGACAATATAATAAACCTAATACTTACAGAAAAAGATAACTTTAAATTATGGAAATTTAAAGTTTTCATGAAATAACAGACATCATAGCTACTGGTATCGATAACAGAATAACTCGAAATTCCATTCCAAAAGGATTTAGCCTGTAAGTTATATTTTTATTAAATAAATGCAGTGTAAAGAAATTATCAAGTTACTTTCATTATTCCATGAATCACAACTCTACGACTTTTACAATATAACAACTGATGATGGATCTTATAAATAATTTATTGAAAACCGAAAATAGGAAAATAATCAACACTCCAAAGTAATTCTGGAAATTAGGTCTCAATTTTCAGACCCTAGTCTTAAGCTTCAGTGTTAAATACTTGCGAAATATAGAATACAAACATTATTAGAAATCATTTGACTTAAAAGGTGTGTAAGATACTGCTGCCCACCCAAGAGACATTCCAGTCACCAGAAATCCAGTCAGCATAAACAAATTACAGTGGCATCGTTCATTCTCTTTGCTACTGAATGGTTTGGACTTGAACATAGGACTCGGACAGCTCATTGGCCCAACTCTGGCTAAAGTGATCTGAGTCAAAATCTGCTCTGCTAGAAGACTTTGGAAAAAATGTTTCATCTAAAAATGAAAAGTCATGTGGAAAAAAAATTGCCTCTTCTTCAGCGGGCATGATTGCATCTTTCTTGAACTCCTGCATCTGTTTTATAAACTATAATAGGAGATAATAACAACCCCTAAACATGACCTACCCTATAATTAGCTTTGGGTTTCTTGTTAGATCACATAATAATTACCCTTCATGTTTAAATCAACTTTGCTCAGGTATTCTAATGACTAATAAGAAAATTTTTCTGTTGATACAGATGAAATAGCAGAGATACGGAGAAATGTAATAGTCTCAATGGATATATATCAATAATGCTGACAGTGATGATGAAGAATGATGCTAACAGCTGACATTTACAAAATATTCATGTGCCAGAACATTTACCAAATGCTCATATCTGAGCATTTCCATATAACAATTTAATTAAATTTTATAACAACCCTATGAAAAAGGCATTACTATCTCAGAAATTTATAGATAAGGAAACTAAGACATAAAATAGGAGGAAAGAGGTATGAGGGAAGGGTAAAACAAAATACCTAAGTGTTCCCTTACATTAGTTTCATCATTAATAAGAACATACTGCAACCAAATTATAAAGTTTTGTTAACATTTATACCTTAGATATTCTTTATATAATAAACTCTGTTGATGACGAATTACTGCAAATTTTCTGTTATAGTCCTCAAGAGAATCTTCTAAATTTTTTAATTTATTTTCTTTATATTCTAGTTCCTAAAAATTGGTTTAGAAATAAGGATTAAAAAAGAATAATATATTTTATATTTGAAAGTATAAATTCATAATCTGACAAGATTACAGAAAAATATATAGAATAGTTACCAAATCCATTAGCAGCTCAGATAATTTCTATACTATTTTGAACATCTTAGTTTAAGGCATATGGAATGAGGCAATATGTTTTAAAAGAAGTACTATAAAATTGGTAACATTATTTTTATCATATTTGTTAGTTTCCGTAACCATATAAATTATCAGATACAATGGCTACAAACTTACCTCCAGTCCACTCAGCCTCACAGACCCTTTTGTGAACTTAACTGTTCATGCCTCTATTCAAATGTCCTTTCCAATTATTTCATTTTATAAATGAAGAAAGAGACTTGGAAAGATTAGCTTAACATTAAAAAACTCATCACCACTACACTTGGTAATCATTTCTAAGCATATATAATATGGCAAACTTGGTGTCAGATGCTACATTTACATGCAGATCGAACACCTGAAATCAGGTCATGACTCTAAAGGCTTTGGCTATGTCCATCACTCTTAGGTATGGGAGTCCAAGTACCTGTTTTGCCACTATGAACAGGTTTTCAGAGTCCCAATACGTGCTCCCTAATCTACCACAATACCTCTCGTGTTTTTTTTTTTTCTATAAAGTTAAAAAAAAATGAATTTCATCTCAAGCAACATGACAATACTGTCATTACTTGTTGACAGTGTCCTATACTGCAGGAGAATAAGTTATGAAGAGCTAAGGGGTGCCTGGGTGGCTCAGTTGGTTAAGCATCTGACTCTTGATTTCAGCTCAGATCATTATCTCACAGTTCATGAGTTCGAGCCCCATGTCGGGCTCCTCACTGACAGCATGGAGCCTGCTTGGGATTCTCTCTCTCCTGCTCTCTCTGCCCGTCTCTCTCAAAATAAATAAACTTAAAAAAATTTGCTAAAGTTATAAACTTAAAAGTAGTAATATAACATGCACTATAAAGTAATGTTCTAATAAGTGGTAAGGTTGTCCCTCCCTGACTTAGATAACACACAAATTCTAATTTTCAAAAAAAGATTAATTTCCAAATACAGAAACAAGTATTTGATAATCAGAACTCAAGTACAGTTACAAATGGATCATCTAGGAGATGGAAACAGTAGTGCTTATAATCAAAAATGCATTTTCATTGATTTCAAACGCATTTTTGTAATTATATTTCCTTAAAAATTTTTTAACATTTATTTATTTTTGAGAGACAGAGAGTGCAAGTGTGAGCAGGGGAGGGGCAGAGAGGGAGACAGAGGATCTGAAGCAGGCTCTGCGTTGTGTGCATACAGCCTGATGCAGAGCTTGAACTCAAAAACCATGAGATCATGACCTGAGCTGAAACCAAGAGTTGGACGTTCAATTCGGGCACCCCTATAATTATATTTTTAATGAACATAATGTTATGGGTATTTACACTTCAAATGAAATAATGAAAAGCACCTCTCATTAGGCCATTCACAATGACCACAATATAGACAGCAAAAATGACAAACAGGGCAAGCACTTCCCTTCCTAATTCACTAATGGATTAACTAACACTTTACAAGATAAAGGGAAGAAAAACATTAAAGACAATTGGGTTTAAAACCTTTTTCTTGTAGTTAACACAAAAAAGGAACAATTCTAATCATTTCACCAAAAAGCTCTGTCAAGAATTTATTCACTTGAATTGCTTATCCAACCAACACTAAATAAAAGGTCTCCCCTTAATAATACACTACTACTTTGGCTGCTGCATGTTATTCTACTATCATATATTTCATATGACCTGTATGTGCACAAGATATGTCAACATGCTTCTCATGCAGATGAAGAATAAATTTCTTTTATTTACAAATTTCATTTAATATCAAAATCTATAAAAATATACCTCAATGCTAATATTCTAAGAACTCAAAAGAATGTATGAAGACTAAATTAAAAACATATTATCAATTACTTTTGTTGTTCACATGCAAAATTTTTACTACCTGTAAGATACGTATTAAATATTCATTTTGAGAATTAATAATATTGGCACTAGATGGTGCTATCCCGTCAGGTAAGTCTACTCCTTTAAAAACAACATTTGATCCTTCTGATTGCCGTAAAAGAATGGCTTCTTTTTCAAGATGATCTATCTGGAAAGACAGAGTTCAGAAATGAGAAACACATCTCTTACACCCAAAGACAAATTTAAAAGCAGTAACTTATACTTCGTACAGAATATTTTTAAAAAGGAACTGTATGAATGCCCTACCAGGCATTAATTAAATTATACTTTCAAATTCTATTTAGAAACCTAGGCATAGGGGCGCCTGGGTGGCGCAGTCGGTTAAGCGTCCGACTTCAGCCAGGTCACAATCTCGCGGTCCGTGAGTTCGAGCCCCACGTCAGGCTCTGGGCTGATGGCTCAGAGCCTGGAGCCTGTTTCCAATTCTGTGTCTCCCTCTCTCTCTGCCCCTCCCCCATTCATGCTCTGTCTCTGTCCCAAAAATAAATAAACGTTGAAAAAAAAAAAATTTAAAAAAAAAAAAAAGAAACCTAGGCATAGACTTAGAACTTTTGTATTCTTTTTTATTATAAAAGTAGTTATTTCCCACTTAATTAAGAAAACTCCAAAAAGGAGTTTTCTTATTGTTGAATTAATTTAAGAGGCATTTTCTCAGTGATTTTAAAAAAATTAAAAGTTTCATATTAAGACTATGTTCATAATGCTTAGCATTTTCTATTATTTAAGAAAATTTTTACCTTTAAATTTGCTTTTGCCAACTGCTGAGAATAATTTATAGCCTCCTTCCGAGATTCCCTGAGCTCCTGTCTTAATTCTTCATTCCTTCCAGTAAGTTGATCAACTTGGGCTTTCAAATGCAGATTTGCATCAAAGATTCCTTCTGCATTCTTTGATTCTATAGCCTAACATATTTAGATTATATTGAAGAAATGTGAAGCAAAATACTGAAATCATCATTTAAAAAATTACCCTTAAATAAAATTCACATTTAAGCATTTTACTGTTCCCACTGCCAGGTATAACAAAATATGCTAAATCCATTTATTTAGGAACCTAAATTTACAAAACTCTAGACTAACTTACATACGCTTTACCAAGCATAGTAATTACCTCATTAAAACAATTAACAAACATTTACCTAATTTTAGTAGACTGGTAGATTGGAAAAACTGGAAGGGAATAAGAGGACTAGGGTTCAAATCCTAACCAATCTCTTACTAGCTCAGCAGTGAATTAAATTCTTTATACCTTACTTTCCTTATCTCTAAAGAGGTAATGAATGTTAGATCTGTCTGCTTCACAAAGTTTTTATACAGTCAAGATGAGATAACTTATATGCAAATACTTTGAAACTATGCAACACCCGTATTTAAAGCACGAGCAAAAGAATAAAATAGTTACTACATTTAATTAAATGACTTTTTATTGCCTCCTCTCCACACAGTTGAAGCACAGATGATAAAAATGCAAAGTATGGTAACAGAGTATTATCTAAGAGTGTTGGATAAACAAAAATAACATGTCAAATAGTAAAATATTTTCCAAGAGGCTTCACTGGTCCTAATTCTCCAACAATGGCACACATAAATACACATATACCCCATACACATCTATACAGTACATACATATAAATATATTTGCATTTTAAAGAAACTAGGGGCGCCTGGGTGGCTCAGTTGGTTAAGCATCTGACACTTGATTTCGGCTCAGGTCATGATCTCACGATTCAGGATAAATTTGAGATAAATAAACTTAAAAAAATAAAAGTAAAAAAATAAACTATACATAACAAAACTGCTAATTGCAAAGTAAAGCTTCACAAAGGAAGGCAGAAGACAAGGAAGATTAAGATGAGTAAAACCAAGTGCAATCTCCTGCTCAGGAGGGTGATCCAGAGTTTAACTTGTGGGAGTAGTTTTATAAAAGCAAGCCTTTATCCCAAGGAGATCAGAGAAGGCCTTATAGAAATAAGTTAATACTAATTCAAAAGGTATACCAGGAAGACAGAAGTAGGTGCAAGGAGGTATTGTGACAGACGACAAGGTAGTCTAGTTAACTGTCTTGCTGACAAATAGCACCATGTTGTCTACATGGCCTTTTAGTAAAATGAGGTCAACATAGATGGTAATTAGAGGCACTGAAGAATATCCTGTGGCTATAGAAAGTGACATAAGTACATAATGCAGAGATATCTAACATATCACTGATTCTGAAGATTTCTTACAGCAGGTAAGATCATGTGAATTGCACAGAGGGCATACCAATCAGAAAAAAGAATGACAACCCAGGATAGAAGCAGATGAAATCTCTGGAAGTAGGGGTCCTGAGAAGACCAGAAGCTGCCAACTGAAATAGACGAAATTAGAATTTCCTGGGCTATTTGTTCTGTTTGTATTTGGTTACTAAGTAGAGCTTCCCTCAGAAAACAGTTTGATCTTAGGGGCGCCTAGGTGGCTCACTCAGTTGAGCGTCCAACTCTTGATTTCAGCTCAGGTCACGATCTTGGGGTTTGTGAATTCAAGGTCTGAAATGGACTCTACACTGGCAGAGGAATTCTGTCCTAATCCCTCTCTTTCTGCCCCTCCCCTGCTCAAACGCTTTCATTCTCTCTAAAAATAAGTAAATAAACATTAAAAAGATCATGACCTAAGCTGAAGTTTAGAGTTGGACACTTAATCAAGTGAAACACACAGACGCCCCTTAAATATTAAGAATTTAAAATGTATATTTTATTCAAGTCTATGTAACATTCATTAATACTGTAGAATTCTCCAATCTCTACGTAGTAAATATAAATAGCTTATTATTTGATAGCTAACATTATTCCTGTAGCAATGTGTAAGCACTGGAATATTTAAAATGTTCTTACTACATTCTATTATACTTCTAAGTTTGTGGTATAAGGTCCTAAAAGCCCCATGCTTAACAAGTTAATACAAAAAACAACTATTTAAAGGTTCTGGAGATAAACAAAGGCAAATAGATTTTGAAGAGGACTTAAAACTTGGAAGACAGAACCAATGAAAAGTGAATATTCCTTTTTTTGGGGGGGAAGGGGATGGTGTGGGGTGGGCAGGCTTCGTTGTAGTGACCTGTGATCTTTCTGGCTGAGAAAACCAGAGATGGAGCCCAAAGTCATAGGAAAGTGAGATGGGAATTCCAGAAAGAAAATAACCAGCCAAAGGGAACTCCAAATTCTGTTTAAAAAGTCTGACAAGTCTCAGGCTGATGTTTGAAACAAAAATGGAGACGATAGAGGAAAATATCAGTGACCTTTGACCTTGGCCACAGCAACTTCTTACTCAATAGGTATCTGGAGGCAAGGGAAGCAAAAGCAAAAATGAACTATTGGGACCTCATCAAGATAAAAAGTTTCTACACAGCGAAGGAAACAATCAGCAAAAGTAAACAGCAACCAACGGAATGGGAGAAGATATTTGTAAATGACATATCATATAAAAGGTTAGTATCCAAAATCCAAAGAGTTAGTTACCAAACTCACACCCAAAAACAAATTCTTCACCCCAGTAAAGAAATGGGCAAAAGACATAAAGAGACACTTTTCCAAAGAAGACATCCAGATGGCTAACAGACACATGAAAAAATGTTCAATATCACTCATTAGGGAAATACATATTAAAATCACAATGAGATACCACCTCACACCAGTCAGAATGGCTAAAATTAACAACTCAGGCAATAATAGATGCTGGTGAGGATGCAGAGAAAGAGGATCTCTTTTGCACTGCTGGTGGGAATGCAAACAGGTGCAGCCACTCTGCACAACAGTATGCAGGTTCCTCAAAAAATTAAAAATAGAACTACCCTACAGCCCAGCACTACTAGATATATATCCAAGGGATACAGGTGTGCTGTTTTGAAGGGGCACATGCACCCCAATGTTTATAGCAGCACTACTGACAATAGCCAAAGCATGGAAAGAGCCCAAATGTCCATCGATGGATGAATGGATAAAGAAGATGTGGTGTGTATATATACGTGTATGTATGTATATATATACATATATACATACATATACGTATATATACATACACACACACATATATACGTATATATACATATATACATATACACACAATGGAGTATTACTCGGCAATCAAAAAGAATGGAATCTTGCCATTTGCAAACAATGTAGATGGAACTAAAGGCTATTATGCTAAGTGAAATAACTCAGAGAAAAACAAATACCGTATGACTTCACTCATGGAATTAAAGATATAAAACAGATGAACATAAGGGAAGAGGGCAAAAATAATATAAAAACAGGGAGAGGGACAAAATATATAAGAGACTCTTAAATACAAAGAACAAACTGAGGGTTGCTGAAGGGGCTGCAGGAGAGGGGGATGGGCTAAATGGGTAAGGGGCATTAAAGAAGACACCCGTTGAAATGAGTACTGGGTGTTATACATAGGGGATGAATCACTGGAATCTACTCCTGAAATCATTTTTGCACTATATGCTAACTAACTTGGATGTAAATTAAAAGTAAATAAATTTTTAAAAAAAGATACATAGCAATCACCCAATCAGGAGAAGATACATAATTAGAAGAAAAAATGAACAAAGCCTCAAAAACCTATGAGACAATATCAAAAGGTCTAATGTGTCACTGGAGTCCCAGAGACAATGGGGCAGAAAAAATATTGTAGAAATAAAGCGGAAAACTTTCCAATTGTGACAAATGGCATAAGTAAACAGATTCAAGAAGCTCAGCAAACCCCAAACATACACATACGTACACAGATATATGTGCACACTCACATACCTACCCACATACCAAGGCACATTATAGTAAAACTAGTGAAAACCAAATAAAAGAGGAAATTTTCAAAGCAACCTGAGAAAAACCACATGTAACAAACAGGAGAATAATGACTCTAATGACCATAAATATCTCATCATAAACTATGAAGACTGGAGAACAGTGGAACAACATCTTAAAAATACGAAACAACAAAACAAAACTAACGTGAAAAAACTTACGTTAACTAGTCTTTCAAGACTAGGAATAATTAGAGATGTTTCCCCTTTAACATCAGGATCTTTCTGCATTTCTTTAATAGCTTGCAATATTTCTTTCATACCTTCTTCCAGTTGCTTATTTTCTTCAACTAATTCTTTTACTAAAAGGACATATTTTTCTCATTCAGTGACTACCTTCTTCACAGTTTATACTATTCTATACAAATAACAAATATTTCATATACAGAAAAAATACCCATTTGGAAATACAAATGTAAATAAATGTAAAAAATTTTTTAACTAAAATCCAATGCGTGAATAGTTGAGTTAAATGATATACCTTATTAAATTACATGCACATATATATAAATATATACATATTTATACTTCATATTTGAAAGAAAGAAATCATGAACATACTTTGCCTTCACTTTATTAAAAATCTTTTAAATTTGTTTTTCTCACTTAACTTTTATTGGACAACAAAAAAACTGACTTATTTGTCATTACAAAAAATTCAGATTAATAACTTTCTCTGACAACAAATACAGCAAGGCAAACCAAACAGATGAATGAGACTGAAGTCTATGTATTATGGAGACAATAAAGGTTAAAAACAGACTAGAAAACAGAGAATGTATTAAAATCCTTTTAGATCCATGGTTTTCAGTATAGGATAAATAAGTACCGAAAAATAAGAGATAATAGTAACTCACATTTATTCTGATATTTGGTTATTACTGTTCTACCTCTTTCTAAATCTCTTTCCTTTTCAATTAGTTCTCTTGAAAGAAATTCATTCTGTAAAGAACATAAAGAATAAAATTTATTTATTTTTTTTTTACAAACTATCCCAATAGTTTATAGTTTACAAGTTAAGAAAATTTGATCAGCTGAGGTGTAACACACAAGAAACAAGCTATAGAAACCTAGCAGCAGTAATAAAAATAAAATCTGAAAGGTAAAACAGATGGTGATCCCCGCCCCTACAACAAAAGGGAGAAAAATATAATGGAAGTTTTTGTCTTTAGTACCACAATCTACTCTTTTAATGGTCTGTCTTTATACTACCTGTTCTGTCTGGCTTCTATGACGTTCAAGCTCTATTTCTGCATTTCTATTCTGTGCTTCCTTGATCAATAAATCCTGTGCTAGCACTTCATTCTAAAGAAATAATAAATTAGGCAAGTCAATGATTTCATATCAAACTTACTGCATTTTTAGATTTTTTTTTTCAACGTTTATTTATTTTTGGGACAGAGAGAGACAGAGCATGAACGGGGGAGGGGCAGAGAGAGAGGGAGACACAGAATCGGAAACAGGCTCCAGGCTCTGAGCCATCAGCCCAGAGCCTGACGCGGGGCTCGAACTCACGGACCGCGAGATCGTGACCTGGCTGAAGTCGGACGCTTAACCGACTGCGCCACCCAGGCGCCCCGCATTTTTAGATTTTTTAAAAACAGAATGTGTGTGCATAAATTAGTGTTATATGCAAACAAAAAATTCTTATTATAATTATTATTTTATAGAACTTTGTTAGAGAAGCCATTAAAAAGGCATTAATAAAAAAATGATCCCAGGAATGTAATTTGGAGGAAAGCTCACCTGAGATCTAAGAAATACTAGTTCTCTCCGTAGCTGTTCTATAAGATTTTCAAGTGGATCTATCTGAGGTGATTTTGATTGTGCAGTAATAGGCACAGGATCTGGAAGATTAACTTCAAGTTCACTTTTCAAAACCTCTGTCTGTAAAGGTACTTCACCCTTTCTTATACCTTCTTTCAAACTGGTATCAGCATATTTTATCTGGGTATGAACCCGTTCATCTTCTGCTGTTGCTACTTGTGATTTTTCCATGTCAGCCCTATTATCATGAATTTGTTCACAAAATATCACAGATTTTTGCCTAAGTGATAACTTCTCCATCAAGTCAGAAGCTGTTGATAGGGCTTGTAAAGATGAACCGTTTTGTGTGAAACTAGTTTTCTCAAGTACCTGATGGCTTCTAGACACATTCTTCATGGAGTTGTCAGAAAGAGAGTATAAGTAGTCATCTATTTCTTCATGGCTCTTCCTACCAAAGGTAATGACTAATGATTCTAGATTTCTTAAAGACTGTAGACATGGTGCTTTAAAAATCTCCTTTATTGTAATCATTTCTGGAGGTGAATTATTATCTTTTACTTGTACAGATGAAGAATGTTTAGTTAAAGAGACCAAAGGATCCACTTCACTTTCTACACTATGTTGAATTTCAGATAACATTCTTGATAATGATCCTATGGTGACATTCTCTTCTGGCCCATTCTGATATAACTGTGGAATACTGAATGAAGGTCTCCTATGCAGCAGCTCTATTTTATCTGAACTCATAATCTATACTCAGAGTAAATAAGGTCTCATTAATCAATCTTTGGATTAACAGGTTATTTAAATTTTAAAAAGTATCATTTTATTTTTTATTTAACAACTACAAAAAGATGCAATGTCCAAAATAAAATATGGGAGGCAGAAATGAAAGCACTGATAATAACATTTTTCTTCGTTCTCTTTGCCATAACAACACTTTATACTGTTTACCTTTAATTGTGTTTCACTTATATTTTTGAGGCTTGTAAAATCGAATTTCCTTTCTCCTACTCTATTTTCTTGAGAAAAGTTTTCAGTTAGGTTTAGGTCCTCAATGGTTAATCCTACACATAAAAGAATTAACAAATTAGAAACATAAAAGAGTTCTCCATTATTCCAATCCTTTAATTCTTAAAAAGTAAAATCAAGTTCTAACTGAAACAAAAGAATTATTTCCAAAATCCTTGATCCACATGTAGCCTATACAACTTTCTAATCTAGCTTATTTCTTTTAATTCTTCTTTTTAAGTTTATTTATTTTGTGAGAGAGTGTGTGCCAGTGGGGAAGGGGCAGAGAGACAGGCAGAGAGAATCCCAAGCAGTCCCCAAGCTGTCAGTGCAGAGCTCAAGAACTGTGGGACTCTATCTCAAGAACTGTGTGATCATGACCTGAGCCGAGATCAAGAGTCAGACCCTTAACCAACTCCGCCACCCAGGCACCCCACAGCTCACTTTTAATATTAATAATATGAGAAACTAATATGACTTTTAGCTTCTCTATCATTCTTTACCTATTCTATATTAAAGTGTTTGTTAATAACTGCTAAAATAGTTTAATGACATATAAAATAGCTAAGAACCATGAATGAGTAAGCTAGTTAATATGTTAATAAATTATGGAGTTTTTCCTTTTAGAAATTTTTTGATATAGAGACCATGATGCTAAAAAAATCGAAACAAACCAAAACCAAACCAAACCAACCAATGAAAAAACCCTCTGTTATTCAGATACTTGTGGACTTGGGTGAAGTTAAAAAAAAATTCCTTCTCTATGGTCTGAAAAAAAGGCAATGCGATGGCTATTAGAAAACTAAACCAATTATTCTCCTGATATCAAGTAAGATAAAAAAGTTAATTTTTATTCAATAAAACATTACTTAAAAAGAATAATCTGCAAAAAGTTTTCAATGCATTGCTCTTAAGGAAAGGAAAAAATATTAACAGCCACATATATTAATGTAGAAATTACTAAATTCTATTATTGATCACAATGTATTGGAATTGCCTAGAAATTAACACACCAACTGTGAAGTTTTCAAAAGTTGATGATTCTAAAGTTTTCTTTTCACTTATTTTCTGTTTATTTATTTATTTTTCTGTTTTTACCTGTTTCAGATTTAGGATAGAAACTAATGATACTCAAATACTTCTCATCAGGCCATTATTTCATTTCATTTATTAAACTTGTAGAAGACCCATGTTAATATTTCTAAAATACAGAAGATTTCAGCTCCAGACAATTCATTTTCCAATGATTCTTTTAAAGATTTGGAATATATCTGCAAATATAGATATGGATATACCTGAAGTTGCAGCTCTTTTTCCTCTTTCTTGAGCCATTTGGCGAATTTTTTTTTTCAGATCAAGTCGTTCTTCCTCTAGACTTTCAATCTACAAAGTACAAATTATTAGTATTTCTTTTTAGTTCAACCAGAAAATAACTAACTGACCATCACACTTGCCTCTTTCAAAAGAATCTGGTTTTCAGCTCTGTACTGCTGTTGCTTTAAGCTTTTGCTATTTCTAAATTCAGTTAAATCAATCATTGTCTTCGGTTCAAGGCCTAAAATAGAAAGCAATACAATTAAAACCTTATCAACAATCAAATGAACTATAAAAACTTCCTATAGCAATTGGTTATCATCAAGCAAATGATTATCACTTATTTAGCCAGTATCACTAGAGAATGGGGTACTTTTTGTGCAAGAATTTCCAGATATTTGAACTATAACCTTACAAGTCAATATTTTATCACAATTATTAATGGAAATCCTGACAATATATTTCAGGATCAGTCTTCTTCTCCATGTTAGGTTATCATGAAAGTCCTAGAATGTGTTAATTCAGAACAAAAGCTTTGGAATAAAACAGACTTGCACTCAATTCTCACTGTCAATTATTAACTAAGTTGTAGGAATAATACTGTATTTATTTTTTTGGCTTGTTGTCAAGGGTATAAAAAATTAACCCATATAACATACTTAGTCCAATGCCTGGCACACAGTAGTCATTATTAATATCAATATAAATTACATTATCATTACTAGTCTGATGTCCCCAGCGTGCCTAACTTTCTATTACTGAGTAGACATGAAGATCGTCTCAAGCAGTATAAACCAAGATTTGGAGGCTTTCAAATACAGACAATCTGGTGTTTGTGACAGCTGTCCAATTGGCTCAGTCATCTTTAGCGACCTCTAGTTTAAAGTTGGCTGTGATCTGAAGCTGATCAGAAGGCTAACCTGGGTTACTGGCATGATTCTGGGTCATACTTACATACATTTTACAAATAAATCATCTTTATAAATATTTACTTTTCCTTCCTCTAGAGAATAGTTTTCCCAGATGATCATTTTAACTCTAAGAAAGCATTAACTGGGATTTACCAAGTATAATGAAATCAATATTTCGGTTTTTATTTTCATTTCAAAGTAGCAATTTAGATTGCACTGTCATAATTTAACATTCAAATGAAAAATACTCATTAATGAACTATTTACTGAAATCAATAAACTTTCAAGCCAAATTTACCAATTACTTCTTAGAATCAATAGTAACCTTAAAATACTAGACCAAAGTAAAAATTAAGCAGCATAAATATAAAAGTCAAGTACTTAACCAGTACTTCTAAATGTCCTCATGAATTTACCTGAACAAGAGCACTTTGCAAACTAACATGGGTCATACAGATGGGGGGTGGTTAACTTCTAACGTGTGGTATTAACTTAGTAGACTTTCAATTTTTAAACAAGCAATTATTAATGAAGAGATCCAGAATGAATAAAACCCTGCTCCAGGTCTGACCACCCACCATCCCAACCCCATTTAATCCTCAACCCCACTTCAATCAGAGCAGCTCCACTTTTGTTTTAAATATTTTTAGAGGATTGATTTGGGAAAAGAAAAAAAAAAAAACACCACACTCACCTATTTTAAAGTAATACTGAATAAACAAGAAGGAAAACAAAAAAGTGACTTGACAATTAGGGTTGATCAAACTATGGACTGAAAAGATGACTCACCCATGCGCTCCCTAAGTGCCTCATTTTCATCGAGGAAATCATTGATCTTCAACTCAAGTTTATTGATTTCCTTCGTCAATACTTCAATCTCTCGATCTCTTATTTTAATCTGGTTTTTACAATTCTTTATTTCAATAACAGCATCTTCTAAACCATATATTCCCTGAAAAATATCCAATCTAATTTAAGTATAACATGGTTTATTTGAATAAATTATCAAATTCATGAATTTATTTTCTTATTAAGTCTAAGCAGAAGTACACATATATGTAAGGTTTGTGTCATAAAATGCTTTTTATTGTTCTTTCAAAAACCAAATCCAGCAATAATCATGGAAAATGGAACAGCTGAAACTTCCCAGTATAGCATCCTAATAACAAAGTGACTCAGAAAATGACATATAAAACCCATAACAAAATGTAGGAAAGGAATAATAAACCAGTGACACTATTAGAATACGTAAGCCATTAGATGCCTGTTTTAGTGGTAATTAGATTTAAAAATACCAAAAGTACAGAGTAAGCACTGTGTCGGCACAGTAGGCAGCAAAACTGTCCCTGAAATAACTTTTATCAAATAAACCAATGGTGTCACATCTAGACAAAAAAACTAAACTTGCTGCCTCACCAAAGCTGCTTATCTGGGCAAAATGTTTTGATCAAATGATTAGAAAACAGTTCTCTTGCTGAAAAGTAAATGCTACTCAAAAGTTTGAGTAAGAGAACCTTGAACACAAAGCACTTCTGAAGGCTTTTAAAGGAACACAGTATACAGCATAGAGCAGTCTCACTGTAAGTGGCAAGAATATTGTAAGCTCCTTGATGGACAAGATAAAAATACATACCGATTCATAATCTTTTAATCGCTTTAGAGTCTCAACTAGTTCTTTATCCTTTTCCCTAGCATCAGCCTCAGCCAGTTCAGCTGTTCTCTCAGCCTCTTTAGTTTTCTCTTCTAACATTTGAACCTTTGACTGAATTTTCATATAATGAGTCTGTTGGGAAAGAGTTGAAGCACCTACAGGGGGAAAAAAGAATTCATGAATTAATAGAATTGAATTGACTACTTCTTCCTTTAAATCCTTGATTCCAATACGGGAAGCAGGAAAAGAGGTGTGTCACTAAAGAAAAATCCCTTTAATATTAATTTATAATTTTATATCTTTAAAATAAAATTTGTTTTTATTTTCATGATAAAACAAGTTAAAAAGTTCAATAAAATCTTAGCTGAAAGGTTATGGATTATAAAAGACTGTAAAACACTGTTTTCAAAGAATGATCACTGTGGCAAAAACCATGAGCTATCTGTTCCTACTGTTGAACCTTTGTCCACTGCCTTAGAGCTTTGCAATTTTAGTTAGACACACAGCCATTTGAAATACAGACTAAATTTCCTCTTATACCCCAACAGCTAGATGTGGTTGTGTGACTAACGGGATACAAGTAAACAAGCCATATGTGTATTTCAGGAACTGTTTTTAAAGGAGACGATTGAATGCCTCTTCCTTCCTTCCTGCTATCTGGAATATGGTATTAAGTCTGGAACTCAAACACTCAGAACATGAAATGGATACTACATGTTAGGATAGGCAGAACAACAAGTAACAGGGTGCCCAATACCCAATATTTGAACAGGTATCATACCAACCCCAAACTAGTTGCTTCAACTTTGTTTACATCATGGAAGAATATATTTCTGTCCTGTTTAAAACACTATTACATTTGATTTTTTTCTGCCACTTGCAGCTAAACTCCATAGCTACAAAATCTCCACCTAGATTTCCCTACCAAACTGTTGCTTGAGGTAAATATTGTATTCCTATGATCAACACAAATCATTCTTATCCATGAGCACCCACTGATTTGGAGCACATACTTAAAAGTAGGTGGTACTGGATTCGTGTGGGAGATCACGTATGTTTGTAAGAAACGAGCCCTGCTCTCTGGAATAAAAAGCCTAGATGGAGAATGTAACAGAGGCTGACTCCTCCCCAGTATCTATTCTTCCTTCTTCCACATGGCTCTCCACAACATACTTACCTGACTAACCTTCAGTGTGTGTCATATGCCTCCTGCTCTGCCTCCCCTACCTTGCAGTTTGGGATATGGATAGGAGGGGAAAGGTCCACCTTGGATGAAACAGATGAGGGCAATACCCTGGACTGCCTAATTCTACATCATTACACAAGGAGAAAAATAAACTTCTGTCTTGATTTTGCCACCATTTACCAAATCTCTATTTCTAATAGCTAAACCTAATGCTGGCCAATGAAAACCTCGGTCAATTTACAAATTCACTTCAGGTATACAGTATATATTAGTAGACACACCTTCTGTGACTTTAGGGGTCATATGACTGTGGACTGACTGAAATGTCATTAGGTAAGACCTGTTTCTTATTTGATAGCAGAGATCAACTGCCTCTTTTTCTCCTGGTGGCTGGAATATGCAAAACCCATGGTATCAGTCACCCTTTTAAAGCAGTTTAAACTACTGTCAAAGTATAATTCTAATAAATACATAATACACACACACATAGAAATAAGTATAACAAATGGGCTTTGTTGTTGGCTCAACAATCATATTACATTTCCCTACTCTGTTCACTCTTCCAGATAGCCATTATATACCTTCTCTTTTCTTCTCTCCTCAAACTGCTAACACATCTTCCCCAATCCTAACTTGCTTGAGAAAAGAGAAGCAATCAATACAGTTCCACCTGTTCCCACCATCAGGTCATCTACACAGTTACCTGCTTCTGTATCTACACACTCCACCTTCCTTCCTGTTATTATGGATGAGTTCTCTGTGCTCCTAAGGCCAACTACCCCACTAGAACGCTAGCTCCCATCCCAATGCCTTCGCAAGGATATTGCTCCAGAAGTTCTCTCTCTCCTGCTTCATCAATGCATCAATTTTTTTTTCTTTAGTGGATCTTTCCTTTAATCTAGAAGCATGATTGTTTCTTCCATTTTAAGAAGAAAAAACACTTTTCCTCATGCAAGTTACTATTCCATTTTTCTCCTTCCCTTCATACAAAGTCTTCAAAAGAGTTTCCATACTGTTTTATTTCATCTCTACCTACTTTCTCTTAAACCAAAAATGACCACTGCTAAATCCACTAGTCAATTTTCAGTGCTCCTCATGACTTATCTGCAGCATTGGATATAGCTCTGAACACAGTTGCTTACTCTCTTCCTTGCTGACTTTCCTCATGTGGTTTTCAGGACTCCACACATTCCTGATTTTCCCCTATCTCTAAGCCTCCTTCAGTTGCTCCCTTTCATCTCCCTAGCCTCTAACTAAAAGCATCCTCGGGCTCAATCTTTGTTATTTTTCTTAACATTTGTTCCTTTGATGATTTCAGCCAGCTTCATGACTCCAACTACCATTTTTACACATATGGTTCCCAAATTTATATGTTGAGCCTGAGACTGTTGTCCTCCATCTCGACTTCTATAAATACAAGTGCCTATTTAATACTTTCAGTCGGCTGTCTGATAAGCATCTCAAACTTAACATGTCCTATTTAACTAAGTACCTGATCATTTCTGAACCTGCTGGAAACCCAGCCCTAAACAGGTTTGCCTACTTCTGTCCTTAACACCCCTATGGTCTATTGCAGATACAGCATGGATCAAATTATATCACTCCCATCTTCAGAAACTTTCTTTGGTGCTTCTTCTCACTTAAAAGTCAAAGTCCTTATAGTGAACTGTAAGTCCCCATATGACATGGTCCCTGGTTACCTCTCTGATTTCATCACCTATTACCCCACTTGCCCACTGGTCCAGCCACAAAGGCTTCTTTGTTGTTCTTCAACATGCTCGGTACACTCCTGCTTCAGTGCCTTTACACTCATTCCCATTGTTTAGGGATATATGCCTGGATTACTACCTCACTTGCTGTGTTTGTTCAAGTATCTCCTCAATGAGGCTTTTGCCTCACTATCTAAATTACAACATACAGGGGCACCTGGGTGGATCAGTGTGTTGAGCCTCCAACTCCCAGGGTCATGAGATCGAGCCCCATGTAGTTCTTCACACTGAGACCTCTCCCTCTGTCCCTCTCCCCCACTCACACACTCTCTCTCCCAAAAAAAACAAAAAAACAAAAAACAAAAAAACAAAAAAAAATGTAAAAAAAATTACAACCACAACTCCAACCACCACCACCACCACCACCATTATTTCACTTACACACATACACACTCCCTAGCTATTTCCCTTTGTGTTTTATTTTTTTATCTTCAGCAACTATGTTAAATCCATCATGAATTTATCATGAATAGTTTGCATTAATGTGCCCTGGTATAACTATGGCATGTAGTGCTGTGGAAACAGAAGACCATTGATGTTGCATGTGCTTCTACTTAGATGTATTAGGCAAAGCAGTATGACCCAGGGTAGGGAGAATAAAATAAGACATTAAATTGGGTAAGGTTAATTCAAATGTTGATGAGTCAAAGAACTTCTGAAAACTATCTACAATGCTGCTACATGCATCACAATTTTATTCTCTTCTATTCTTTGTTAATTATAAAAAAAGGGGATAAATAAGTATAATTAATTATATCACCATTTTTCATTTCTTCATGTAACTAATCTGGTAATAAATGTTAATGTAATTTTCATCAGGGAAAAATTACTGAAAATATCTCCATCACTTAAAAATTTAAACACTAGCAATATATGTAAAGTAGTAATAACATACTGTATAATTTTTTGAAATTATAATAAAATTCAAAAAGAAAAATCAATAATACATATAATGACAAGACATAATAAAAATACTTGTAAAATTGGATGGTACATAAAATAACTTTATATACTTATTCAACATTGAATTACCTTTGTTTCTTTGAAGCTCATTTTTCAAATCTTCAATAATGAAAGTATTTTTTTCCATTTCTTTTGTATATTGTTCCACTTGCTCAGTGAGCATTTTAATTTGACTATCTCGTTCTTGTATACCCTATAAAATATTTTTGAATAATGAATGTTATTTCTTCATGAATGTTAACCTAGATTTTAAAAGTAAGGAAAAAAGTAGGTCTTGTGTTTTTTTCAACAAGACTATAGAATATATTTTTTATGGAATCAAATTATGTCTTCTACTATTTTGTAGACCCTCAACTGCACTACACAATGTTAGGTACACTGCTGTCACTCTAACACAGATGGATATAATGGCTAACATCCCGACAAAGGGAGTTCCAGAACTTTCTAATATTAATGGCTTCATAGGACTTTCAGGCTACCATTCCTCATGACCCATCCATTACCATCTTTTACCTTACAGTGCTTCATTCAAAATACTGTCTCTTGCAATTGTTCTTATCCTCCAAATACTACTCAAATTTCCCTCTTTTGGATTATGACCACAGAGCCCAGATGATGAAAGTATAACTGCTACATGAATATATTTGTACCAAAAGAAAAATCTTTTTATTTTTTATTTTAGTAGTTTAAAATGTTTATTTATTTTGAGAGAGAAGAGACAGAGAGAGATAACATAAGTGGGGGAGGGGCAGAGAGAGAGGGAGACAGAGTGCCAAGCAGGATCTGCACAGTAAGTGCAGAGCCGGACATGGGGCTTGATCCCATGAAGCATGAGATCATGACCTGAGCCGAAATCAAGAGTCAGATGCTCAACCAACCGAGCCACCTAGCTGTCCCAAAAGTAAATTATGTAGCACAAATTACAACCGCACTTTTAGTTTTTTTCACATTATACAGGACATTTCAGCACTAACATATGATATAATAAATGTTAATAGAGTACGAAGCTATTTTTAAGTTTCTAAAAGTTTTTAAGTTTCTTATTAAATAATTCTCAATCAAAACAATATGGGTATTATCTGCATCAACACAGAAAAATACACAAAATAATTCTATTCCTAACTCTAAACTTAATTCTAATTGTTTCTTGGGACTGGACTTTAAAAGACTTTATTATATACCCAATAGTGCAAGCCACTAAGTTAGACACGTTGACTAATAAACCAAATTTTGAGAAGGTTTTACCTGTTGTAGAGCCATCACACTACTTTTATCAGCATCAAGCTGGGCATTTTTCAATTTCTCTCTCAGGTTATGTAACATTTGCTGATATTCAATAATTTCATCATCTTTAGAAGACAAAATTAACTAGATATAAACAACACAGGATCTGTTACATAAGAGGAAAATTGACAAATCATTTTTCACTTATGATAAATACTCTTAATATATACCATTAGCATATTTCAAGAAAATACAGGAAATAAAATACACTTTGAAGTAACAAAGTATCAGCAACTATTTGCATATCATTGTTCCTTTTGTGTGTATAATCTTAAGTTCAAGTAAGAAATGATTCAGAAATATACATTTAGTTGCTCTCTTAACATTTTAAAAAATTTTTGTTGTTTTAGAAATTCAATCTTTCAACCATCACAAGCTTCCAAAACCTATCCATGTTATAAATACCTTCATACAACTACAAAAAAGTTTTGCACAATTAATCTTTATGGAGAAAACTTTAAAATGCCACCAAGAGGCACAAAATATTTTGAATTAAGGATGTCTTGTGTTCTTTGCTAGAAGAACCAAATACCAAAATCAACTTATAAATTAGCTTATAAATTTATCACATATCCAATAAAATAAGATTTCTTCTTTTTCTTTTCTTTCTTTCTTTTTTTTTTCTTTTAAAGAGAGAGCGAAAGAGATAGAGGGCAGGGAAGGGGGAGAGGGAGAGAGAGAATCCCAAGCAGGTCCCATGCCCAGCCCAGAACCCAACACAGGGCTTGATCTCAGGACTGTGAGATCATGACCTGGGCCAAAATCAAAAGTTGGACACTTAACCAACTGAACCAACCTGATGTCTCTAAAATGAGATTTTTAAGAACTATTTCTAAAATTTATATTAAAAAAAATAACTTCATAGGAAAGCATGTAAAAGCTGAAAAATGAACAGCTTTTACAAATATTTATACATAACAATAACTAAAACAAAGATACATAGTTAGAAAACATATCAATCAATATAAAGGAGAGAGTCCAAAAATAAATTCAAATTCAACAGAAGTTTCGTATATATTAAAAATAAAACTATTTCAGTAGGGGAAAGATAAAATGTTCAATATATAATGTTTGGATGACTGAGTAGGTCTACTGCATCCATACCTCATTCTTCATGCCAAAATTAATTATACATGCTTCAAAGACTTAAATGTAAAATATGAAATTAGGAGCCACTAGAAGAAAGTATGAGAAAACAATTTTATACTCAGAACCCTTTCTAATTATGATAAAAAGGCACAAAAAAATAAACTATATATTATAAAAAGAAATACTTCATGGCAAAAAATACCATAAAGCCTAAAGCAAGTGTCAAACTGGAGGTATGTATTTGGATATGTATCACAATTTGTAGCAATTTAACCTGCATATTTGCAAAACAACAAATACATAAAGAATTAATTATAACACTGTTTCTTTTTTTTTTAATTTATTTATCTTGAGGGAGGGAGAGAGAGACACACACACAACATGAATGGGGGAGGGGCAGAGAGAAGGAGAGAAAGAATCCCAAGCAGGCTCCTCACTGTCAGTGCAGAGCCTGATGTGGGGCTGGAACTCATGAAACCGTGAGATCATGACCTGAGCTGAAACCTAGAGTTGGATTTAACCAACAAAGCCACCCTTGCACCCCTGTAACATTGCTTCTAATATCAAAAACCAGAACCTTGCTAAGTGTCACACAATAGGGAATCAATTAAATAACTTATCTATAAAGAAAAATTACAAAGCAATTAAAAAGAATAAACCAGTACTCTATCATTCTTAAAAGGCATTAAGTGAAAACAAAGTAAACTGCAGTAGAATACTATATACCACCATCTCTCCCCCACAAATTAAAATAATGTAAAAACTTTTTATCCAGGGATGAAAAAACAGAATCAAAGGCCAAATTTGGCCTGCTGCCTGTTTTTATAAAGATTTATTAGGAAACAGCCTTGCTCATGCATCTATCTATTGTCTGTGGCTGGTTTCATGTTATAATAGCAGAGTTTAGTTATACCAGAGACCAGATGGTGTAAAATATTTATTCTCTGGACTTTTACAGAAAGTTTACTAATCTCCAATGGACTCTTTGGGCCTCATTTCCACTCCTACTGCTTGTGTTTAAAATATAGGTTATCTGAGCTTCCCAGATAACCAGTTCCAAATAGCCAACAAGATTTATATGAACTGTTAAAAAACAATAACTATGGAAATGACAGCTTTTAAAATTAGAATTACTCATTCAGAATAGCTTCAGACTTTTTTCAAAATATATAGTCATCATAACCCTTAGCTTCTGATATGGTAAGGCCAGGGGATTTGGTTGAGGTTGGAGAGTGGGGAGGAGCCTGAAAGGTGTTTTTTGGAAAAAAACTCAGATGATTCTAAAAGATCCCTTTCCTTTCTCCCATTTCCACTGAAAACCAATAGTTTGATTTGACGTGAGAATTAAAAAAAACTAAAATTAAACCTGGAACTATAATACATATGCAAAGTAACTATGAGTTATGTTGAAAAATTTTAATTTTAGTTAGAATTATCTATTTTAGAGGACAAATATGTTATGATTTAGACTTAGACTTCTATCAAAAAGTTCAGCTTAAAGTTTAACTCACTGATGTGGAAGAACTCATTTACTAACAAATATGCTAGAGGATTCCACAAGAGAGAGCACTTAGTGCTCTTGTAACCAGGACATTTGATGTACTTTAAATATTGCCTAATAAAAATGTCATTAACTACCAAAGGCCTTTAAAGAAAACTAAGAAATTGAAATCAAAAATACAAATGCAAAACCCCTTATGTCAACTGAAAAAAACACCTTCCATTCTTCTACTTTTGCATTGACAGCAGCCATGACTGGATCATCTTCTTCATTTTTTGCTTTCAGAAGGTCTGTAAGCTCCTGCACCTAAAAGGCAACAATTATTTCAAGAATTGTTGCAAAATAGCACAATATATACATATTTGTTATATATGCACATTTACACATACATTACATATATACATTATACATCCTCATACGTGTATACACGTATACATTACCAATGCACATTCATTATTGGAGCAGTTCTATAGTTAGAGGCAATATTTAATGGTTTCTGTCTCATTACAATGGTATAATTATTTGTCATTACTAGAGAACTATATGTTTCAGCATTATTCTATGTTTTACACTAGTTTAATCCATGTAAAAAATGAGCAATGTATTGTTTTTCTAGGATATTTATATTTATTTTAAGGTGTAAAATTTAACTTCATGGCCCACAGGGCTTCTAAGAATCTTTAGTAGAAAATCCCCACATTTATTAGCTTCCCGGATTGCTGTCTACACATTCATTCAGGTATCAACTATATATCCTAAATGGCAAGAATAATGAGGTATACATAAAGGATACCTTGTGTCCCATTAGAGAAACACATATGGACAAATAGATCAGCATGGCAACATATTACAGTGTAAGAGAATACATTACAGCATAAGACAAAAATACACATCCTAGAAAGTTAAAGTACTTTTCAGCTTCACACAAATAGTAATGATACAATATGAAGTCTGCACAAATGAGTTAATCTAACAGCAATTCTTACTTGAAGCCGATAATGATCATTTTCCTTTTTTAATTGGTCCATTATATTATCTGTCTGATGTACAATAGCTTTCATCCTGTTATACTCATCAGTCATCTTTTCCATCTCCTGTACAGACTCTTCTAGATTTTTTCTCATTTCTTGATTCTGAACTTCAATTTTTTCATTAGCTTCTGTTAAAGTCTAATAAAGTTAAAAAGTAATAGTTAACTTAAGAAACTGAAATTTAAACTAAATTAAAGTTAAACAGAGTCTTAACTGTCTGCTGGAGAGCAGAGAATTCTTTCCACTTGATCTATTAGATCAAGAGAATTCTTTCTACTAGGTCTGTAATACCAATTATTTTTGACCAATTAAATATAAAGCAAATTCCACCTAAAAAAGTTTAGTTCTTTTTAAGCAATGCCCAAAATAGGCATATAAAATGAATGAATTTGCAACATTTGTAACTTCAAAGATGTAATTTCTTTCACGTTTACAAATGCATAGTTGAAGATTTCTACTAAAGGATTTAAATGTAGGACCAAACACTAGATTTACATTATAACACGATTATTTTACAAGAATCATTGCCTTGAAATGACTTCTATTTTACCTGAATTTCATCCAGATATTGGACAAGTTCATAGTTTTTTTTAGACAACTGTGATCGGTAGTCACTGTCTTCTCCTCTTCTTGACAAAAGTGTTTCTTTTTGAGAATCTATTTGTTTCTGATAGTCAACAATATCCTGACGAAGTTGCTCATTCTGGAAGAAGACCAAATACAGTATTTTCTATTAAGAAACTATCCAGAGAAACAAAAATTTCATCCTCTAAATAGGGATCTCAAAACAGATCTTGAAATTCCCAAGGTATCACCACCCTTAAAGTCTCACCTTTTTCTTTAGACGTTTGTTCTCCAGAAAAGAACAGGAAAAATGTAATTAGAAACGAGAAAGGAAATATGTAATTAAAAAACAAGCATTAGAAATTAAAACCAAAATGAGAAATTATAGGAGAATGAGATATTATTTTGGATGATCAAAGAAAGCAAGAATACTCATAATCAACCAAAACAAAGAATATTTTGATTATGTTAAAAAGATAAGAACTCCTATAAGGGTAAACAATGCATAAATATTATTTGGCTCAGAAGAGCCAAATAATAAAGAACTTCTAAGATTTCATGAAAAAACAAAACATTTAAAAGAACAGTAGGTAAAAGAAGAGCGATAAGACAGAAATCCAGTTGTACAGTCAGTTAGCAAACAAAGAATGGCTTATAAAACAAAGCAAAATTTACCCACATAAAGTAAGAGATGAATACAGTACTTGATGGCTTCAACTCTCATTTTCTATTTCCCTGAGACAAATTCCTATCATAAAATCAGCCAGCTTGAAAACATTACTAGAAGAATACAGTTCTAGTTAGAGTATAAATTTATGAAACCTTTTTTAACAAGTATCTTTGTTGAACTGCCACAACTACTAAAATTTTTTACCAACCTCTCTTCTTAATTTGCTGTTTTCATTCTCTGCCTCCTCATTTCGAAGAGCCAACTAAAATAGCAAAAAAAAAAAAAAAAAAAAAAAAAAAAAAAAAAAAAAAAAAAAAAAAAAGAAAAGAAAAGAAGATTAATAATAATAAAATCCAGCAGTGATTCAATATAAAACCAGGCTTTCAGCCGATCAATTTGAAATCCTCTCTAATGAAGTAGAGAATGATTAACTGTTAAGGATTTCACGTTGATCCAAGACATGAACAATAATCCAAAATTTGTGAAATCTAAGGATTGGGAAAAGTAAAACAGGTTAAGTTTAAAAGCTTCAATAATCAAACTAAAACCAAAACTCTAACCAAAGTTTTGTATACAGATTATCCACCCCCACCCCTGCCAAAATCTAATAAACAGTAATTTTCTGTCCAAAATCTTTAGCATTTTGCAGTTCTTCTATGTCAGGTCTAGAATATTCTGTGTTCTGTTGAGCATTAAATTACTTAGAAATATAAGGCAGTACAACATAATGGTTAAAAAGAAGCAATCTGAAATCAGACTGGCCCAAGTTTATATTCTTCGTCCACCAATTTCTAGTACAATATGAACAAATCATTTACCATCTCTTAAATTCAATTTTTCCGTTTCATATGTTGATGTAAAAATTAAGTACATTGTATATAAAGTCATCAGCACAATGCTCAGTACATGAAATAACAAAAAAAATTATGGAGTGTTCCTTCTCCTCATATAGATGATTTCAGTTATGACTCTTTTTGTTTCCCAAAACAAATATTATAATCATTATCATAGATTTTTTTCATCCGTTGTCTAAACCCCAGCCCTCTTATGACCTTTCACTTTTCTGCTTTTGCCTCTTATTCAAGGAAAAAATAAAATATCAGTGGTTTGCAATTATAATACATTTAAAAGTCTTTAATAAATAACCAAATCAGTATGTGAACCTTGATGGAACCTTGGATATTGGGTGGAGGACTGTGAAGGGCATTATTAGGCCAATAGAAAACAATATGTTTATAGACTAGATAGTAGAGTATTGAATAAATATTAATTTCCTGCATATACTGGTTATTTTGGGGAATACACTTTTTAGGAGAGACATGCAGAAATATTTCAGTGTGAAGTATCATCTTATCTGCAGTCAACTCTTAACTGACGCAGCAAAGAGAAAGAGAGGGAGATATGTGTTTACAAAGATACTGACAGAAGGGCACCTGGGTGGCTCAGTCCATTGGGAGTCTGACTTTGGCTCAGGTCATGATCTCACAGTTTGTGGGTTTGAGCCCCACATCAGGCTCTGTGTTGAGAGCTCAGAGCCTGGAGCCTGCTTTGGATTCTGTGTCTCCCTCTCTCTCTGCTCCTCCCCTGCTTGTGTTCTGTCTCTGTCTCTCAAAAATAAACATTCAAAAAAGATTTTTTCTTAAAACAAAGATACTGACAGGTAAAATAAATGTGGTAAAATTTTGATAATTGGGGAATCTATATGAAGAGTATATTCATGTTTATTTGATAGTTTTCAAAATAAAAAGGTTAGAGAAAGTTTATAACAAAATGCAAAATGCTACACAAATTTGAGTTTACCTACTACTACTACTATCATCATCACCATCATCATCATCCTCATCATCATCATCAGCTAGGAGGTAAGAAACAGTCCCATCGTTTATGAATTGGAAAATTTTAACAAGGACAGAGATGTAAAGAACACTGAAGCATTTAACACTACTCATGCTCTTTTCTCTTAGTTTGTCAAACATCACATTTTTTATTTTTGTCCTTTCTAAAGTGCTGTTCCTTGAAGCACCTCTTCCTATTCATTAGACATTTCTCAGAGATCTCCTTACAGTCATTTCTATGCCTTCAATATCTATGTTGATAACTCACAAATCATCATCCACACTTTCTTTCATGAATTCCAAATCCATAGATCTCTTTTGTGAATATGCCCACTGGGACCTTGGACTCAACATGTATAAAGGTGAAAACTAATTGCACACCTTCTAAACCCCTCCTGCATCCCTACTTAGTGGGGCCCCTCTCCTTTCCTCCCTCTTGTCTGACAATCAATCATTCACTACATCCAATTACACCTACCTCTCTAAACATGTCTCCAGCCCTTAATCCCTTGAGTTATGACTTTAATTAGTCCATCATTGGCACCTGCCTGAATTACCACACCTGTCTCCTTACTATTCTTAGTCCCCTTCAATCCACTCTCTCTAAAGCTGAATAAATTTCAAAAATATAGATCTCATCATGATATTCTTGGATTCAAAATTCTTCATTGGTTCCTTTTAGGAAAAGGAGCAAACTCCTTAGAAACTGGCCTGTGCTTATCTCTCCAGAGGATCACAAATGTTTGAACTAGGAAGGCAGGATGGTATAGTGGTTTAGAACACAGACTCACTGAGTAAGTTTGGATTTAAATCCTGGTCTTACAACTTATTATTTCTGTAACCATGGACAATTACTTAATCTTTCTGTGCCTCAGTTTCCTCATCTATAGCATGGGGAAATGTTACCTATCTTATATGATAAGTATGAAATGAGGAATAACAAATGAGTGCATGTAAAGTAACTGGCAATTAGTAAGGATTCTATACTAGCTATTTTACTTATATTTCAGCCAGAATGAGTAACTGTAGTTCCCTGAATTCACCATGCCATCTCTTCCCTCTAGATCTTAGCAAATGCTGTATCTTCAGCCCGGAATGCCATTTCTTTCACCACCAAGGCCATCCCATTCCCTTGCCAGATTAACTCCTACTTCAGTCTCAGTTTACAAATCACTTCCTGAACCTCAAGATTGATTTAGATATCCCACCCGAGTATCATCCATGTTACATTTGTTATTGACAATGAATATCAAGAAGCAGAATATTATTGCCCTGTCTCTGGCAAGCTGTGAATACTCAATAAAACTGAATGACTGGTTAAGGGCAAAGAAGAAATTGCCAACAACTCATACTCATATTCCATCTCAAAGAATCTAGCAACTAGAATGGTATATAGCCTATGTATTCAAGCTTTCTGTGTATGTACCTATGAATAACGATAGTAGTCTAAGAAGAATGGGCAAGGTAGTTGTGATTCGCTAAGGGTATGTGGTATGAATGACAAAAAGTTTACTAATACATGGGCTAGACAGAAGAACAATGGTCTAGAAAACCACAAACATCCCAACAAGCAATTCCATTACTGTATATCATAGGTTAAATCCCTTATGATTATTTTTTTTAACATTTATTTTTGAGACACAGAAAGAGACAAAGCATGAGTGGGGGAGGGGCGGAGAGAGACTCTGAAGCAGGCTCCAGGTTCTGAGCTGTCAGCACAGAGCTGGATGCGCGGCTCAAACCCACGAACTGTGAGATCATGACCTGAGCCAAAGTTGGATGCTTAACCGACTGAGTCACCCAGGCACCCCCAAATCCTTTATGATTATTAAGAAAGCCATAGGTCTATTATGTTTTACTGAGTCAACTAAACAGACAATCCTCTAAGAACTTATTTCTAATCTTTAGGTGCCATTAATCCATACTTTTTCCACTCCAACAAGGGTATAAATAGCTCACTCTTATATGAAATCTTCTAAATTATATAAGAAAATGGATACAGCAAGAATAGGGATGTTTTTCCTTACAAATAAATTTATAACAGATTCTTTTAAATAGCAACATCACCTTATAATCATTGTTGTTTATTTAAAATTTACCACCTTCTATTTCTAAGAGAACAATGGACAAAATAAGATCTCAGGATGTAATACACCATTCACTTAAAGGACACAAAGGTAGAGAAACCCTCTGAGAATCTGGGATGGGACAGTTACCACACTTGGGCAGCAGATTTTGTATAAGTTGACTGACAGGTGAGGCAAATTAGGAAACGTGTTGTTTTCCGACAGGAATTTACAAATTCATCTGCCAAAAATTTTGCTCTCAAACTAAATTTAAGTGTACACTGCATGAATTATTTTGTAAATAACAAGGAATAACCTAAAAGGTAATGACTATATTTGTATAAATGATGAAATATTATGATTTAAAATATGCATTGATTTACAAAATGCTGGCATTAACACAACTTAAGAACCTTTACTTTTTTATGGATAGCTATTTATTGCATAAAGTTGAGGTACTCTTGAAGACAAGGAATTTGATTTAAAGATGTGATGACAACATGAACAGTGATGTAAAACCTTAGAGATAAGTATACAGTACATCAATTCTCACATAAAACATACTGATACTTACCACTATAAAATGCATAATCAGGTGTTTTTACGTAACTTAAATGGTTAAGATTCATTGAAAAAAATGTTCCTTACTTGTTCATTAACTTTCTTCTCTTTCTCCAACTCCTTTTCCATGTCCTCCAATTCTCTATCTTTTTGTTCCAATTGCTTTTCAAGTTGGCGAATTTCATCACGTAAAAACCGAGTGTCACGACCACCTGCAGATTGCTGAGCCATCTTAAATTAAACCAAAACTATAAATCAATCTCATTATAATTGGAGAATCAACAACAAACTGACTTTAAATTTGTATTATAATTAGCACCAGATGTTTAAAATCATGTTAGCTTAAGAACCTGTTTTTAAAACTGTTTATTTAAGCTTTAGTTTGCAGACTGGCAAGCCCTTAAGCTTTTTCTGAGCCACCCACAGCTACAAATGGACTGTCAATCATTCAGGCTCTATTATAATCACTGAGCCACAGAGCCCAGACTAAACTACACAGGCAGAGAACACAGGCAATGAGCTATGAAGGCTTCTCCTGAGCATCAGAACTCTGAAACCAGGCTACAACTCACCAGGGCCTCCACCCAGTCGCTGACCTCTGGTGCTCTTAACCTGCCCTTTCCCTCAGACTCTCTTTAGACCATTGCTGTCCAACAGGACTTTCTAGGATAATGGAAATGTTCTCTGCACAGTAGAGTACTACAGCCACTACCTACATGTGGCTTTGAGCACTTGAAATGTGGCTACTGCAACTACAGAATTGAATTTTTAATTTTAATTGTAATGAATTTAAGTTTAAATAGCCACTTTCAAATAACCACAAGTGATTAGTGTTACTGTACTAGATTGGCCTAGACTAAGGTCATCTTTAAAATGTTGTGCCAGATTGGGCACCTGGCTGTAGGGCACTCAACTCTTGATCTCATGGTCATGAGTTCGAGCCTCACATTAGGGGATTTAAAAAAAAAAAAAAATCTTATGGCAAATTAAATCCATTTCACTTCATGTTCCTGTTATTTGGACTCATAGTCCAAAACATCCTTTTGTCATCTACCTGTCTCACATTCATCTCTTTACAATACAGTTGTATTAATCCTATATAATACTTTTCTCACTCTTTTCCTCCTTCAGAAAACCTTCCATTGTGCTCTCAAAAATCAAGATAAATTAATATTTTATACCCCCAGCCCTTTTACTGAATCATACTCTCCATCTCCCTGCCTTAGGTCCAATTTGGTTCCTTTAATATACTAATTCCTTTGGAAGTCTTTTAATTGGGAGATGCTCATTCTTTCACATCCCATAGACCTTAGGGTCAAGACATGGTGTTGATTTACCTCAACCTGCAACTTCCAGGCTATCCTTCCTCCACCATTTTGTGAAAACTCCAGCTGCTTTGAATTCCACATGATATCCAGTTATCTAATCCCTACCTACTCAGGGTAGTAGCAAACTACTAACTTCCCAACTGTTCCCTCTCAAAATTCATTGAGAATTTTTGGCACATGGCTCCTAGTCTTCCACAAAAAGCCCCACTAAGCAGTTTCCACATCCATATAACTCTCATTCTGGTCTCTCTCTCATTATTATTATTTTTTTTTTTACATGCTTCTTGAATTCACTGTAGCCTCCCACTTTCATGCCCATACCAGAACACTGTGCCAGCAGAAACATTCTCTCATGATTCCTAGTATACCTGCCCTCTGACCTCACAGGACCCTCTAATCCCTGGACTCCTCTCTAACCTCTCCCACCAATCAAATCTTGATTTCTTTACCCATCAGCTGAGATTTCATAATCACATCAACCAGTTTCTTACTAGTATCTCCCACAGCCCTATCCTTCCATTCCACAGCAGGTACCTGGCTAAACACTAACAGAATGAATCCAACTTCAGAATTAATTTAGTAAGTATTAACTGAGAGTGGCTGATATTCTTTTAGCAGATGGATATACAGTAGGGGATAAAAAATAACTCCTCCCAGTTCACAGTTAATAAGTAAAAGAATCAGGATTTGAACGCAAATCATCTGACTCTGTATCTCCTAATCTCCACTTCATTCTCCACTATTTTTGAAGCTTAATCTTCCTTAAAATTTGACCATATATCTTCCCCTCTTATTTTTAGCAATCCCTCCAATCTCTCCACTTCCAGGTACTAAACCTACAAACATAAAAGCTTCTATACACATCCATTCTTCCTATTAAAAAGAAGGTCTTTTCTCCCTTTTAAAGGCTAATTTTTGTAGCACATTCCTTCCCACATTCTCAGGAATTTCAATGTATTGGTTCCTTAACACTACATTCATATTTTGGCTCTTAGCTTTCTCAAAAGCTACTTCTTCTGCCATATCCTTCTGTCACTATTCCTCAAATTCCCATATGCCTCCATGCCAGCTCAGTTACTAGTAATCTTCTGTATAACCCTCTAGTCTGTAAACTTCAGGATATTTAATGTTTTTATTTTGTTCACAACTGAATGCTCAATTCTTAGAATTTAAGGTATGTAATAAATATATAAAATATATGTTGAACAATTAATTATGAACACAATATCACTCTTGTGATTTTTCAGACAATAGGAAATTGTAAAAGTATTAATTCAAAGTAATAAAATTAACAATTACACCCTAGGGAAATACAAAAGGACATACCTCCAGTTCATTTTCCAGTTTCATTACTTTAGTTTTTAATTGATTTTCTATTAAAAAAAAAAAGTTTCAATTGGTCAGATTTATCTCAAAACAAACTTTTACATAAATTTCAATAAAGTAATAAAATTATTTTTAAAGACTCCATCATGATTGTAATAAGGTAACGTAAGAGAAAGTAACTTCTATAATCCATAAAACAGGAGTTCTAGACATGTCTTTCAAAGTAAGTTGGGAATACACACATTTTATAGAATATGTTAAACGGAGTCCCCTATTGGACACTATGATAAACTTCTTCCAGGGCATTACCGAATTTTGCTTGTTCTTCTCCAGCTTTTTCAACTTCCTCCAAAGCTAGTTCTACTTCTTGAGCTTTCATCTAAACATTTAAAAAGAAAAGTTATTTCAATATGCCTTTACAAAAGCACTGAAAACAAGGACTTTGTTTCATTTGCTTTCCTAGTATTTAATGCCTTCAGTACCTGGGATATGGAGATTTTCAGTAAATGTTCGTTGAATAGATGACTTTCTTATTTAAGGATATGACAGCTTCAAAATATCTTTGATCCCTCTTTTTCTCCTCAATCTCATACGTGGTAATGTAACTTTTCTAATGTTCTAATTTTTCCGTAATGTTTTCTACTATCTTTTCCTATTCCAATTGTAATTATTCTAGTCCAGAATCTTATGTTTAGCCTCCTTCACAACGTTCTGTCTAAACAGCTTCAATTCCCTTCATTCTGTCCTTTTAACATACCTAGTTTAGCCTTCCTGAGGAATACTTTTGAATCAATCATGGCTCAAAAATCCTAACAGCTCCTCATAGGTGATAGCATAAAACATAACTTAGACTACTGTAAACTATACCCAACATTTATTTTCTCTACAACTTACTATTAACTTTCTGCACCTGTCTCCTCAAATGTTAAGAATAAGCACATTTTCTAGTCCCAGTTTTTATTTAGGGTGATTTCTACCTGCAGTATACTCATTGGCCTTTGCCCTTTATGAGGCCTCTCACACCAAAATCTCTCCCCTTCCTAACAAATCCCTACAGAAGTCATTCATATTTTTCATTCTGACTTCAGAATTATGTTACCATAATTAACAAAGGACCTCCATATGTTATTTTTAAACACCCCCATCCTGTTTCCCTTATACATTCTTCTAGGAACTTTAGAGCAGAAACTAGCAATGTTTTGCACACTAAAATCCTCAATCCACATTTGAAGCAATCTCATTTTCAGTGATCTTGGTACTTTCATAAAGATTAACTTATTTAAGAACAGTTCCTTAAACGTCCTCTAATAGTCAAAACCATTGTTAAAACCCACAGCATACAAACCTTCATTAGTGATTGAGTAATTCTGAAAAGGTGTATCACATTTTCTTGACTTGCATGTTTTAGCTCACTTGTTTCCACCTAAGTAAAGAGAAAGCAACTATTTTATATTTTATAACCCTTAGGCAAAATATGAGAACTCTTCCATTTGTGACATTCATTGATTTCGTGGACAACTTAATCATAGTTGTGCGTGTATGTACACAAACAACTATGTATTGTTTATCAGTTAAGCACCTTGGATAAGGAAACCAGTAAATTATCTGCCAATTCTTCTTGACGAGGCAGGTCATCTGGGTCAACTTTTATTATTTCTTTCCAGTTTATATTAGGTGGCATCGTGAAATCTTTCACTGCGCTTTACCTTCTGTAACAGAACAGGTGGGTATTAGCATTTTCAATGTAAACAACATTACTGTTTTTGTAGATTACATCATTATAACTCTAAGATGTTAGCAAAGAGCAATGGCTCCTTAATTTTATGACAGATATACATATATACAGATATATATAGCCTTGATCAAAATTACAGCTGGCACAAACCAGCAGATGCTGCACCAGCTGAATAAACTACAAGCTCCCTTCCTAAGACTCATCTAGATCAGAACTAAGGTTCTGCGTCTCCTCCTCTACGCCCCCCCTTACCACTAGAGGCGCTCGAATATCTAATGGTGCCAAGCGCGGGGCTGCCTGGAAGGCTGAAAATGAATCCTGATTCGGAGAAGCAGGAATTGGGGGTAAAAAGGGTGCGGAAACGGCTGAAATGGGCGCAGGTAGGCCGAGGAAACCAGGGCCGAAGCTAGAAGACAAATGGGTTGCCAAGCAAAGACTAGGGAGCAGGGAAGCTAGGCTGTTACATACGGGCCCTGAGGCTTAAAGAACCTGCTTGGAAACAAACTGGCTGCTCCCTCTCACCAAAATCCACCCACCTAACCAAGGATGGCAACCAGCAGCGTCCCCTCATCTGCCGCACGGACCAAGCTTGGTCCCGCCGCTACGCCCGACCGCTCCACAGCGCGCTTCCACCGGGTCTCTGGATCCCGCCAACTGGTCCAGTGCAATCAAGAGCGGCAGCGGCTGCTAGGCGACACCATTCCCCACCCAGCTAAAGACGGAACAAGGCCCCGGATGCGAGGGGAGCCTACATTTCACGACCTTGGGTGATGCTTTGCGTTTAGATTCTCCTGCAAGGTCCCTTGTACTCTCTGTTAAAGACTGGGAGAAGGTGAGGGATGAGGACTCCAAATCCCAGAGTGCAGTTCTGCATGCAAAGTTTATGCATGCTGGGAAATGAAGTTTCTGAGATGTGGAGGTAGGCCGTTCCCGGCGTGCAATGCGGGAGGCTGCGACGGTGCTGGGGTGGTGGGGGAACGACCCGGAGGCGGGAGGCGCAGTGGCTGAGGCGCGTGTGCGCCGATGACCAGAATTAGATAGACCATGACTGTGCCTTCGGTGGCGTCACTCGCTGGGCCGCTTTTCCTGAGATTTCCCTAAGCCATCCCCTGGTGGAACTGCTCCCAGGTGAGGTCGGGCTACGGGTCAGCGGCGGGGGAGGAGTTGAGGGGAGCGGTCCCGGCTTAAAGAAGCTCGTGCTTTGGGGCGGAAGGACTCGGTCCAGGTCTGAAGAGGTGGGAAGCACCCTTATCCTTAGGGGTTGCAAACGTTCCCGGGGTGGTACCCTCTGTAAGAAGAAAAAGTTTTAGTTTTCTTTGCTCTCAGAATCCATTCAGTACCGTGGAGTGGGGGCCGCGCCGCCAAGATCGTGATTTCGGGGTGAGTAAAGAATCGAGAAAAGGACACATTCTTTTCTGTCCGCCTCACCTGTAGCACCGTAGCCTTCGTGGATCGGAGGACCTGAAGGTTGAGGTACTGGCATAGAGTGAAGGCTCCAGAGAGGGGAGTTTAGAATTTGTCCAGGCTACTGCTGGGGTGGAGAGAGAAGGGCCTCAGTGCTCACCAGCCCGGAAACTGTCACTTGCTTGGTTACCGAAGATGCCCTTATATGAAAGTGTTCTCAGGTGTTTACAGTTCTTTTGGACAAAGTTTCCCCATCCTGCTGCGCTCAGCCATTCTGAAATATAATATACTAGTAGGTAACTTTCTCAAAAAGCCTTAAACTTGAAATGACATTTTCAACTGTTTGGACCATTGCCTCTTACAATAATCTTCTTTTTAGGACTTTTTCTTAATTGTAATTTATATATTTTCCTTCTGAAAATATACAGATTTTTTTCCAAACCACGTGTTTGGGGAAAACAAATAGCTCAGTAAAAAATAAAAACATACCGATTTCGTAAGATACAAATCTGATGAATGTCTTTAAAATGTAGGAATGATGATTTTGTTGTATCCTTTACTGAGATTATATGCCACACACTGTTCATTATCTTTTTCACATGCTTACATTACATCCCCAGAACCTGCGTACCTTGTAACTCTTTTACTTTTTGACTAGTCTGTTCTTTGTTTCAATGAGTTCGTTTTTGTTTTTTGGTTGTTTTGGTTTGTTTTTTTTTTTTTTTTTTTTTTTTTTTTTTTTCTTTTTTTTTTTTTAGATTGGACATGTTAGATCATACGGTATTTGTCTTTTTCCGTCTGACTTATTTCACTTAGCATAATGCTCCCAGGGTCCATCCATGTTGTCCCAAATTGCAAATCTTGTCCCAAATTGCAAGACTTCATTCTTTTCATGGCTGAATAATGTTCCATTGTATGTATACACCACATTTTCTTGATTCATCTGCCAGTGGTCACTTAAGGTGTTTCCATGTCTTGGCTATTGTAAATAATTCTGCAATGGATATGGGGGGTATCTGCGATGGATATCTCATCCAGATAGTGGTTTCATTTGCTTCGGATGTATATCCAGAAGTGTAATTGCTTGATAATATGGTAGTTCTGTTTTAAATCTTGAGTGACCTCCTGGCTGTTTTCCGTAGAGGCTGCACTAGTTTACATTCCCACCAGCAGTGTGCGAGGGTTCTCTCTTCTCCACATCCTTGACCACAGTTGTTATCTTTTGTCTTTAGGATGACAGTAAACTGACAGGTGTGCGGTGGTGTCTCAGGGTTTTGATTTGCATTTCCCTGCTGTAGTGATACTGAGCACCTTTTCATGTACCTGTTGGCCATTTGTAAGTCTTTGGAAGAAGTTCTTTTGTTTTTTTGTTTGTTTAAATGTTTATTTTTGATAGAAAGAATGGGAGAGGGGCAAAGAGAAGAAGACAGAGAATCCCAAGCAGGCTCTGCCCTGACAAAAAAAAAAAAGAAACTCTGGGCTCAAACTCACGAACCTGTGAGGTCAAGACCTGGGCCGAAATCAAGAGTTGGACTCTTAACTGACTGAGCCACCCAGGTGCCTATGCCTGTTTTTAAATCAGATTCTTTTGTTTTTTTTGCTGTTGAGCTGTTTAAGTTCCTTACATATTTCAGATACTAATCCTTTATCAGATGTATGATTTGCAGGTATTTTCTCCCATTCCATAAGTTGCCTTTTCATTTTGTTAATAGTTTGGTGTGCAGAAGCTTTTTAGTTTAATGTAGTCCCACTTGTTTATTTTTCCTTTTTGCGTTTGGTTTCAAATCCAAAAAAAAAAATCATTGTCAAGGTCAGTGTCGAGGAGTTTACCTTTATGTTTACTTCTAGGAGTTTTATGGTTTCAGGTCTTACATTCAAGTCTTTAATCCATTTTGTATTGATTTTTGTGAGTACTGTAAGATTATGCACTTTCATTCTTTCACATGTGGCTCTCCAGTTTTCCCAACACCAGTTATTAGACTCTACTTTCTTTGTTATGTATTTTTGGTCCTTTGTTCATTTCTGAGCTGTCTTGTTCCATTAATCTGTATATTTTATGCAAATGCCATAACTATACAAATGCCAATACTATAACTTTGTCACACTATCTCACTTACTCTTCATCACAGTCCAGTGGAGTAGGTGCCTATATTGTCCTCATTTTCCAACTAAGTTAAAAAACTTAAGCTTGGAGAAGTTAAGTACTGTGCTTAAATAGTGTGATATTGGGCATGGATCTTTCTGGCTGGAGGACATTCTCTTGACTGCCATACTACCTCTTCAGGCATGCTGGAACCAGTATCTGTGGAGTGCTTCTTCTTCAGTCTTGCTGTCTGTAGTAAATATCACATTCTAATGATGTAACTTTGTTTACTCAAGAATTTGAATTACGTTTTTCATGTTCAGTTTTTAATTCATAATTTAGCAAGGAAGGGAAGAGATGAGATCTAATCATGTGCTTAAAACTGCATATTTATTTTCGTGGAATCTGATTTTTCTGTAGCACCTTGTTTTTTTTCTTGTTTTTCATTCATTATCACTATTCTGTATATTCATTTACTAGTTTCGTTTGTCTGTTTTCACCTTTACTACCCTTAGTTCCCCTCATCCTCTTGTTCACATTTATATTGCCAGCATCTCAAGGTACCTGGTCTAATGGTAAATTTTATTTTCACTTTTCAGAAGTGAAAATAAATTCAGAGAAGCTAAGTAATTTCCTAATAGTTAATGAATCTAAGACTGTTACCCAGATCTCAATTACAGTCCTGACAAAATGCAAAATCTTACTTAAATTTCATTTTTTTTTACTCTAACAATATTTTTGAGCTTGTACACTGTCCTAGCATTGACTTATAACCTCCTTAGGAGCTTTCCAGGTGTAATCCGAAACTGGCTTCTGAACATGGAGGGCAGAGAGACAAAGGGGAAGGCCATTCCATGTTGGTAGGTGGCAGCTTCACTAAGTAAAGGGTACTTACCTATGAGACTTGTCTTGCATAGTGGAAAGACTAATGAACCCCTGCACCCACCCAATCTGAAAAGCTTATATAGAGAGGCCTTAACTGGGTTCAGTCAAGTATATTGTGCAGGTGTTCTCAACACCATATCATTATCTCAAGGCTATGTCCTTGCAGTAGCCTTTGGGATAGCAAAGCTTGCATGAAAAGCAAACAACCCACATTCCAACTGGAGGGGACAGATCACTTGGGCCCAATTTATAGATCAGCTGGCAGTCACATTTGTTTTTTGGTTTTTTTTAAGTTTATTTTGGCGTGCAGGTGGGGAAAAGGCAGAGGGGGAGAAAAAGAGAATCCTGAGCTGACTCTGTGCTGTCAGCACAGAGCCCTATGCGGGGCTCAATCCCACAAACATGACCTGAGCCAAAATCAAAAATCAGAGGTTTAACCAACTGGCCCACTCAGGCCCCCCTGTCAGTCACATCTTTTCAATGACCTTCCCCAACAGCTAGACAAGGGCGATACAACAGGAAACAAGTTTGCTATGGTCTAGGTCCTTATGCATTATAGTATGTACGTAGCTGTGAATCAAATTTAACTCAAGTTCTACTTCAGTCACTCTAATTTTGAGGAAAATCACTAAAACTGTTATTTTTTTTTTTATCATATTTTCTGCATCAGTCAGTTTTTACCAAGAGAAGAGTGATACCAAGAGATGTGATAATTTTATAAATGTCCTTGCTACAGGAACACTTGCCTGGACCTGCCTTCTGTCTTCTCTCTGGTTTTATGAGCAGTTTTATTTAATCAAAATCATTTCACAAAAACACTTTCCCTTTTGTAATTGCTACCTCTGTTCCCTGTATCAGTCAACTTATTTTGTTCAGATGTTACTTCCATTCCCTTTTTTGCTGCTTTATCAAGAAAATGAATGGTAGGTTATTTTCCAGCATCTATAATAAAGCATAACCATGAGAACTTTAGTGTCCACTGTGTATAAAATATTTCATTTTGTCTGTTCTAGTAGAGAAGACTCAGTGTGCAGCAAGCTGACACTTGTCTCTTGACATGAGACTGGAAAGATTAGGAAGAGTCAGAGTAAATACTTCATAAACTTTGCAGGCCAAAGTTTTATACACTTTAAAATAGTCATAAAATATAGATTATTCTTATTGGAGAAGATCATGAAATTATTGAACTGAGAGAACTCTACTTTCCAGGTTAGTCACAAATTCATATAAAATTTTCCTGTAGGTTTATTTTTTCCACAGTTGTACTACTGGATTTTTAGAAAAAGGGGTACATGGTAACAAACACCTATGAGAATCTCATCTTTGATATAATGGTCAAGTAAGCATTTTTGCTTTCCTTTCTTTATGTTTAACAAGCATGTAAGGTACTATCATCTCTAGGTAAAGAAAGAGAAGCATTGAACCCCCTCTCCATGTCACAAGGCTTCCCATTTGCAGTGAGCTTGAGCTTGGAGCAGAAGACAATCCCTAAAGTTAAATCAAGTTGAGGGTTTTGATTATTATGTTGGCATTGAGCACGTCAATTACTGAATGGAACTGTTTGCAACTTAATGTGATTGTATAACTCTTAATTACCTAACTATATTTAGAAATCCTGGGAACTGTCCAAGTTTTTTAAAGTAACATTTTATAACCTTATGTTTTGTAAACCTTTAAATTCAACCTAAAAGTCTTATTATGTTTGTAAACTTACACGCCCCCCCACCCCCTTTTTTATATAATTCAAATTGAAAGGACTAAATGCATAAGCTACATTTAAAACTTGGTTAAATTGCCTTAATTTAAAATTGCATTTATAATTTTAATATATTTTTATTATTTTTTTAATGTTTATTTTTGAGAGAGAGCATGAGCATGGGAGGGGCAGAGAGAGAGGGGGAGACAGAATTTGAAGCAGGCTCTGTGCTGAGAGCAGAGAGCCAGATAGGAGGCTCAAACTCAGGAACCCGTGAGATCATGACCTGAGCCGAAGTCGGATGCTTAACCAACTGAGCCTAATTTTTATTCAAGGACTCAAGACACCTGACTTAAAAAGCAAAATTTTCTCAGTACTTAAAACAATTTGTATACACCTAATAAATTAAACTTAAAACTATAGCAACTCCCAAGTCTTTACAAAAATTCCAATATATTTGCAAACTTGGCTAAATTAGTATACTTTTCAGCTAAAAAGCCTAAATCCACAAACTGCATGGCCAATAATTTAATATTATGTATATTTTACATATCATTGTGTCGTATAAAATTGCATTTTAAATTATTTTTGAAGCTAATATATCAAGAGTCTACAGTGTATAAGATTATTCTGAACATTATAAGTACTCTAATAATCAAATACATGTTAATTCCCAAATATAACTGTGAAGTAGTAAAACCACGGGTTTAATTTACTCCTATTTCCTCTATTTATTTTAATTTTTCCTGTGGTGAGAATGTTTAACCAAATAGTTTAACAGCAGTTTGGGGTAAGAACTCCAAGTGTCACCAGGTCAGGGACTTGACGTTATTTATGGGAGAGAGGTTTCTGACCGATACACAAGACCTGATTTTCATCTATCCCATGGTGGATGTTCTGAGTTGTTTTGTTTTCCTAAATTTCAATTACACACACACACACACACTGTAAGAGTAACATGGTTCTCACCCATGGATGTTCTGAGTTGTTTTGTTTTCCTAAATTTCAATTACACACACACACACTGTAAGAGTAACATGGTTCTCACCATTAGGTGCTCTGTTTATACCTTCTTGGGAGTGTTGTTCAAGAACCTTCTGACCTATTCTAGTGTGAAGTGGTTAGTTGACTTGCTTGCATGGTTGTCATTCTGGGCATTTCTTTTTTTGCTTTGTTTTGTTTAGTTTTTGTTTTCTTCTGGGTATTTCTTTTGTTGCTATCTTGCATTGGATCCCCTGTCTCCTGATTTCCCTCTCTCTGTTTCTTAGTATACTCCCTAATTTTACTGGTATACATCTTCTATTAGTTTCCTGAAAAGAGGAGACAGAGGTAATGTTTTTAAGACCTTGAATGTCTTAAAATATTTTTATTCTAGTTTCTTAGTTGGGTAATTTGTGTTTATTAACATAGAATTTTAGGTTGGAAATTCTTATCCCTCAGAAACTTGAAACATTACTCCCTTTTTCTTCTGCATCTAGCTTCCAGTATTAGTGAAAGAAAAAAAAAAAAAGATTTGTTTGGATTCATAATCTTTGGTATGGAACCTGTTTTCTTTGTGGAAGCTTTTAGAGTCCTTTTTGTTTGTTTCCAGAGTTGTAATATTTTATAAGATTCTATACCAGTTTGTAAAAAAGAGCTGGAGTGTCTCAAAATGTATATAGACAGACTTCTGGTTAACCCTCATTTTCAGTTTGCTACCTTCTGACTTGTGTCTTCTGTGTCAGACACCTTGTATTTCACCTATTTCAGAGAGGAAGTCTCTGATCTTCTCCCCTGCTATAGAACAGGTCACTTGCCTGTACCCAATGGGAAAGGGGTCTAAATTCTAACAAATCCATATGTTCCAACCTATTTCTTGAGATCTTGTCACCAGTTTTGAGATTGATGCTGGCAGGGATGCAAAAAACTTTTTAAGTTTTCCACCTTAAGCTTTAGATTCACTTTCCTGAGCTCTGTTAGGTCACTTGATAAATTTTGTTTTTCCAGCTTCCAAAACTTGCTATGATTGCCTCTCCAGTGGTGTTTATCCTTGGGAATTTATACCCCCCTTTCTTTTCTCTTTTAATACTTTGTCATTTTAGTGTGTAGTTGAGAATGAGTGAGGCAAATAATGCCTGGTCAGTCTCCAATCTTTAAACAAGTGCTATCAGCTTTTTCTATGATTATAAGGTATAAGGTCTTACTCTTTAGAGATGATAAATCACTTGTGGACTCAAGATAAACCCTTAGATAATTTTTCTTTTAGTTAAAACTATCCTTCAAAAGGTACAGCTAATTTCCTTTGGTGATTGGTAGCATTGGATTTTGCATTTCTTTAAGTGTAATATATTCTAAGGTTTTCCTATCCAATTCTAAAGGCACTTTAATAGGCTTGTGTGTGTATCTTTATATAAACTTACGTCTGATTTTAAATCTCTCTCTGCCCTCCCTACTGTATTCTTCCTCTCTACATCTAGGCCAGATGTATATCAGGCCTTAGATCTTTTGGCTCTGTGAGTGATGTATTGTTTCTTCTTGCTGCTATAACAAATTATCACAAACATGCTGGCTTAAAGTAACAAAAATTCTATTTATTTATTTTTTTACTGTTATTCTTGAGAAGAGAGAGCATGAGCAGGGGAGGGTCAGAAAGTGGGAGACACTGAATCCCAAGCAGGCTCCAAGCTGTCAGCACAGAGTACGATGCAGGGCTCAAACTCATAAACCGGGAGATTATGACCTAAGCCGAAGTCAGACGCATAATGGACTGAGCCACACAGGCGCCCCAACAAATTTATTTTATAACTATGGACGTGCAAAATGGGTTTCATTAGACTAAAATTGAAATGTCAATAGGGCTGTGGTCCCTTTAGAATCTAATGAAGAAAGTGGTTTTTTTGCCTTTCCACCTTCTAGAGGCTGCCATCATTCCTTGCCTTATGGCCCTAGCCTGCTGTCACATCACTCTCATCTCTGCTTTTCTGACTCTTCTGCCTGCCTTTTGTAAGGTTTCGTGTCATTGAATTGGCCCACCAGATAATTAAGGATATAATCTCTTCATCTCAAAACCCTCCATGTAATCACAACTTGCAAAGTCTCTTTTGCCATGTAAGGTAACATATTCACAGGATCAGGGGATTTGGATGTGGACAGTTTGGGAGAGGGGCATAGTTCTGTCTTCCACAAGTGATGAGCCCAAAATGATACTAATGATACTACTCAAGCTAAAAAAGTATATCATCAGCTTGTTTTTCAAGAGTACCCTTATTTTAATTATAGGGCTGATTCTTCAGTATCATCCAGTAATTATAGTGCCTTTTACTCTAAACCATTTTCTCACTGAATCCTTTATTTAAAAAAAAAAAAAAAAAAAATTATTTTGAGAGAGCACCAATGAGAAGGGGCAGAGGGGTGGGAGGGGGTGGGAGAGAATTGCAAGCAAGCTCTGCGCTGTCAGTGCAGAGCCAGACACGGGGCTCCATCCTTTGCATCCCTGAGATACGTGACTTGAGCTGAAATCAAGAGCTGGATGCTTAACCGACTGAGCCACCCAGGTACCGTACCCTCACTGAATCCTCTCTAAAACAATGACTTAATTATGAATTTTCATGTGTGAAGCCCATTCCCTATATTAAAACCATTTGTGGTAAAAAGAAAAAGAAACACTATTTAGAACTGGGTTTTAAGCTTATATGGGCCAGATAACATAAATCAGTCAAACAAGTCAGGGTTAAAGACGAGACGATACTTAAATGGCTAGTATACAGCTAGCTTAGGCTTAGAATTCCTATAGAGACATTTAAGACAGATATGTTTAAAAGGTTTTAACCAAACCAAGGCTGTGGGCTGCAAGTTTGGACACCTGATTTAGGTAATAGTTGATCTTCTAGTATATTAAGTACTAAAATAGAAGTTTCAAGATACATTTTAGAAAATCCATGTTCAATGTTTTTTCAAATATTTGTTTTCCCACAAAAATTTACTGTCCTTCCCACTAAGATTTATTTACTACTCCTTGAGTACACCATACTAGTTTTTTTTAAAGTTTTTTGTATGTATATCTCTTTCCCTGAGTAATCTGACCTGTGACGACTTATAAGGAATTCACTATCTAGTTAGCTAGAGATATAAATCCAGAGATTAAGTGGTGTGATTGTAGTAGAGGTATGAAATTCATGAAGCAGCAATTCATTTTAAGTTAGAAATTTGAAGAGAGTGGGCAGCTAATGCTTTTTAGAGGTGGATGATATTTGAGCTGAGCTTTGAAATACTCTCAAGGAGAATTAGCATTCGCTATTTTACTTATCCTTCTACTAAAATTTTACTTATTTGAAAAAACTGATGCTTACTTTATTTTCATGATTTTTCCCTCCTAGATTTTATCCACAAGTGCTTGTGGAAAAGATGGCTGATATTAACCTCAAAGAAGTAACCTTAATAGTAGGTGTGGTTACTGCCTGCTATTGGAACAGCCTCTTTTGTGGTTTTGTTTTTGATGATGTTTCAGCAATACTGGATAATAAAGACCTGCATCCATCTACACCTTTAAAAACTTTATTTCAGAATGACTTCTGGGGAACCCCTATGTCTGAGGTAAGTAGTTATTTATTGCTTATATGTATCTTAGATTTTAAATAATTCTAGTAGTTTATTACTCATAATTCTTTATCAACATTGGCATCATAGCATTTATGAATTTGTTTCCCAAAAATTTGTATGTTAGATAGGAAGTTGAAGATGTGGTTATCATCTTTAAAGCAGTACACGGTTCTTTCCTTAGATGTATACCTTGGTTTAATCTTTTTAAAAATAATATATGTGTGTGAAAACCAAACATTAGTATATGAGTAAGTGTAAACAAATCTATTTCTTGCTAATTTTCTCTTTTTCCATGATTCAGGCCAAAGAGATGACCACTTTGGATATATTTAACTATCTGAAAATATGTGACTTCAGTATAAGTAGATTAGACTTTTTTTTTGAGAGTGATAGTGCATGTGAGCACTCACGTGATCATGAGTTTAGGAAGGGTAGAGAGAGAGAATCCCAAGCAGGCTTTAAATGTGGAAGTTTCTCAAGGGTGGGGGTGAAGTCTGTCATTCCTTTAGTCACAGCACATAAGTATTTTTTCTTGTTAAAAAGCAGACTTTATTTTCTTAAACCTTCCTGTTCTCACCTAATTCTAGCCTTTAAAAAAATACATATTTGATAATGAGGAAAAAATATGGTTCTATAATAAGATACATTATTTTCTAGTCAGTTTATTTCCTTCTACCCCTACCTTTTATCCCCAGAGACCCTTAGAACCCATTCCTACAACTTAAGCTAGTATCTGTTGTGATTTTAATCATGGCATTGAGATTTTAAACTGAAAGGTTAGCTGGCTAGATTAAAGGTCTCATGAAAGTTATACCTTCGTGTCAATATGATTTCCTCAGCTTTACAAATACAATATTTGATTTTGTTCAAAGCACCTATAAGTGGGCACACTAAGAAAATACTCATAATAATAGACTCAGACAAAATGAATGAACAAATTAGAATAACAATATATGGTGGAGATTGTTGCTTCCTCCTGTTTTCAGATGGGCATCTTCTTTTCCTGTTGGGAAACATGCCACTAGGGAAAAATTGTTCTGAATAGTATTTAGGTATTATATGTTTTCTTGACAAGCCTGGAATTAGCACAAAGATCTAATGGTTGATGTCCATAAGTACTGATAGGCTAGAAGCCTGTGTGTAGATCACCAAACCTTTATAAGGATTTTTATGCCAGTATAGAGCTTAAAGACACATTTTGGGCTTAGAACATTCTCCTGAACTGTATGAATACTGGCACATTAGGGATCTTTAGACTCCTTTTGGCTTCTCAGTGTTTAGATCATCTCTTTTATAAACCCATTCTTTAGATAGTAATACTCTGTTTTTGAATGGTTCAGTGTATAATCTGGCTGCGTATTACAGTTGCCTGGGGCACTTAAAATGTTACCAAGGCTCTACTCAAACTTTTTAGTTACAGTTAGCTCAGAATGGGATGTTAGCATCAATATTTTTGTCTTGTTCTTTTTGTGTGTGTTCGCTTTTTTTATTGTAGGATTTTGGGGGGGGTGGGTAGGGGATTGGGTGTTTCTTAAGTTATCCAAGTGATTCTCTGGTGCAGCCATGGTTGAGAACCACTGAGCTGTAATGAGCCACTCTCTTCTGGCATTTGGCCTACAATGTATCTATCTTAAGGTAACGTTTGCAAATAATCCCATTGCACTAGATATTGCCTCCGCTATATGGAGATTCACATTAGCAGGGAACTGTCAGCTAATTCACTCATTATATTCATGCCTATGTTTCTATTGCCACCTAATAATATGAGTAATTAAATTTTCTTTTAATACACCTGAATTTAATAATGATCTATATTATTTTGTTTGTAATATAACTGTTTTACTGTACTTTCACAGAGTAAACCTGTTATCTGCTATGCTAATGATTATTTGTCATAGCAGAGTCTCAGATTACTAATGAATTGTGTAAATACAGTAAAATACTGGTTTGTGAGCATAATTTGTTCCGGAAACATGCTTGTAATCCAAAGCACTTATATGTCAAAGCAAATTTCCCCATAAGAAATAATGGAAACTCAGATGATTTGTTCCAGAACCCAAAAATATTCATATAAAAATGATCACAATACTGTAATGTCATAGACTCTGGGCCTAGAGTTCTTTCTTGTCTAGCAAGAAAGCGGGATGCAGGATTAAAATGCGAAAGATGGCTAATGTCCAGGAGAAGACAAGAGCCCCTGATTAAGGGTCCTTGCTCCTTTCTTATTAGGATCAGAAGGCCTATAAACATGGTGATGAACGTGCAGAAAGAGACAATGAAACTGTAAACATTAACTCATGGACTCATGGGAAAGGGGATCTTGAAGATATGCGGAGTTAGGGGTTTGGGTTAATACAAAACAAAAAATCCTGGTGCCCAGAGGAAGGTTGTTTACAGCAGACCTCAGGCACCACCTGTTTACCTAAACTTGTCTGGGGACAAGAAAGATGGAACATGTAACCTCAGAGTCAACTAGGAACCTTTTGTTAACTAGCTCTGCTCTGGGCAGCTTTGCCCTGTAGTGGTCTATAGCCCTATTTACCTGTTTACCTAATTTGGTCCTTCTGCAAAAGCAGCTTTCTGCTATAATACTAAGTTGGGGAGTTGGGGGGTTGGGGGGGGGGCGGGTGGTATCTTCCCTGAATACCTAATCTTATTTACCTCATATACTTTTGTATTGGGGCATTGGCCCACCCTCTCTATACTTATTTACCTAATCTTGTTTACCCAAATTTGGGTGTGAGTATCCTATGGCTTTTTAATTCTTTATGCCTTGTTAACCCATCAGTGCAGGCTCAGGGAATTCCTAAGCTTATTCCATTACCACACTGCAATATAATATAAAATTAAGAAAATATGAAGAAAAATTAATCTGCACTTACCTTTGAAAACTTTAGTGGCTGGTGTAAGGGAGACAAGAGAGAAGAGGGTTATTGTGTAGGACAACTTTCACCATCGCTAACGGAATCACTGCTATCTATAGACTCCATGGAATCTTTCTCTTTTTATGCAACTTAAACAAAGAACCTATCCACTGGCACTTGCTTTTGCCTCCTTTTGAGGATTTCGTGGAAATGTGACATTGCATTGCCATTAAATAGATTCATCACTCACACTGCCACAGCCTTATTTGGGTGGTGCATTTCTATAAAATTTTGCACCGTTTCCACATTTTACACATCTCCCTAATCTCATTTGAAGTGAGGGATTCCTCTACCTTTTTCTCCTCCTCTCCAGATGAGATGCAGATGTAGACTTCCCATTAAATCTTGCAGTTTCGGCCACTTGCATGCCTTGTTTGTACTGCTCAATGATTTCCTTCTTTCCAACGTTTTTTTTTTTTTTTATTTATTTTTGGGACAGAGAGAGACAGAGCATGAACGGGGGAGGGTCAGAGATAGAGGGAGACACAGAATCTGAAACAGGCTCCAGGCTCCGAGCCATCAGCCCAGAGCCCGACGCGGGGCTCGAACTCACGGACCGCGAGATCGTGACCTGGCTGAAGTCGGACGCTTAACCGACTGCGCCACCCAGGCGCCCCACAATGATTTCCTTCTTAACATCCACCATGATCATCTCCTTCTCACTGCCTTTCTTTTCAACCTTTTTCTGCATGGGGGCCGTCATATACGCTTTCAGAGATACTACAATACAATATTAATAAATTCTTGTCATATTTAATGAAACTGACAGTAAGACAGCAGAGGAAAGAGTCTATATCTGAAGGCAGTCTGACCTAAAATGAAACAAAGCATTCCTTAGCTTACTCTTGTGTGAAAAAGTGAAGTACATACATAGGTGGTTTGAAGTGACAAACAAGACACTAGTGCCAGTTGTGGGCACCCTCCAGAGTTCTGAAACCACCGATTTCTGCCACAGCCTGAGATCAAGCATGTGACCATGGGAGATGGTCACCCACAATTCCACAGCCAGAGAGACAGAGAGACAGAGCGAGAGAGAGAGGGAGAGAGTGAGCCATTGGCTCAGTTGTGATCATGTGACTTTGTTTCACATACTATTATTGTAAGACATTACTCATTTATCAAGTTAAAATTTATTAGAAATATTTCCTTGTTTTGTGGAACACTTACAGAGTTACTTTTACAATCCAAGATTTACTATAATTAGTTATGTTAATAATTAATTTTTTAATTGGCCATTACCTATGGCTCTGTAATAGACCTAACAAAAAAAATCATGTATATTGCAATTAAAAATAACCTATTCCCCCTGCATTTTCAGACTTCATCCATTCAGCTGGCAAATATGTCCCATTGGAACTATGGTAACATTTTAGGCTCTCAAAAGGTTTCTAGAACCTTTTTTTTGCTTTTGGATACAAATCATGTCAGTTCAGTATAGTGCCTTAAAAATAATTTTGTCTGCCTGAGCTAAAGCCAATGATGTACAGAAATTAATCAGCAAAGAACATTCTAAGTAGACAACACTCATGGTGTGTGTAGTCAGTATAGAGATACTAAAATGTTCCTATTTTCAAAGGAGAATTATTTGTTCCTTGTGGTTCCTAACATTCCTGGTAGGGATGAAAAGCTTACAAGTATAATACCAGGGTCCCAGCAAGATATGGTAAGAGGTAAGAGAGCAAAGAAGCTGAATTTGAATACCCTTACATAAAATTTTTATTTATTTATTTTTTCAATATATGAAATTTATTGTCAGATTGGTTTGCGTACAACACCCAGTGCTCATCCCAAAAGGTGC